GCGCAGGCGCAGGTCAAAATTCGTATGCGCAGGCGCAGGCGAAATCTGGAATGCGCAGGCGCAGGTCAATATTCGTATGCGCAGGCGCAGGTCAAAATTCGTATGCGCAGGCGCAGGAGAAAACTAGTATGCGCAGACGCAGGTGCAATCGCGTATGCGCAGACGTAGGTGCAAACGCGCATGCGCAGGCGCAGGTGCAAACGCGCATGCGCATGCGCAGGTGCAAAAGCGTGTGCGCAGACGTAGGTGCAAATGCGTAAGCGCAGGCGAAAATTCGTATGCGCAGGCGCAGGCGAAAACTTGTATGAGCAGGCGCAGGCAAAACTCCTATACGCAGGAGCAGGCGAAAACGCGTATGCGCAGGCACAAGTGCAAACGCCTATACGCCAACGCCGAAGCTGACGCCTATACGCCGACAATAACAACGATGGCAATGATGGCTGTTTTCGCTGTCGGAAGGGATATGTGCATGAAATTGCAAAGGGCTCTAAACATGCCTTCCCTTCCCCAAAGCAGTGCTCTACAGTTTTGCGCGTAGATTTATGTGACCTGTTATACCTCTGTTCATGTTGAGTTTGAGGAGTATGGCTTGGATGGGTATCCAGCATCCCCAAGCAAGATTCCCTTTATCCTCGAGGCCTATTAAATAAGAATAAATATATTATCACTTCATTGATTACCTAATATCAAACATACTTTTAATAAATGAAAAAATGCTTACCCCAAACTCTTCCTTCAGAAAACACGAGCCCCATATATGTGCATCATGAAAACTGCCTCACCATTTAGCAACAATATTCAGAATTCATCTCTGAGCATCACACACTACTTGCACGTTGATAGAATAATAACCCTTACGGTGAACATACAACATAGCTCACTCCTGACTGAGGTTTTTTATTGCAATGTGGGTGCAATCAATACAGCCCACAACCCCAGGAAAGTGATCTATGTTGTAAAACTCCATTTTAAGAGCTTCCATTCTAGCTGGATACACAACAAATCGTGGAAGCAGTGTAGCAATAGCATCAGATACTTTTGCAACTATTCTGGATACGCTAGGCAGGGAAATGCCATGCAGATCTCCTAAAATGTATAATAATTTTACTGATATCATGCAAATGACAGAGTATTATAATAATTTATTATAATATTAATTTTCACAACGAGCATTGACTTATGGTAATAACTCACCTAATTCTGTCTGGTAGCATCCTTTAGCATAGAACCGCAGGGTTACAAGTACCTGCATTGCTGGGGATATGTCGTTGTGGTGACCGGCATGAGACACTAACCTATCTTCCACTAAACTAATCACAAATCGTACACTGTCTTTCGATAAGCGATATCTGTTTCGAAATTCACGATAACTATACAATTCAAACGGATGTTACAAGTACCTGCATTGCTGGGGATAATAATAATTTATTATAATATTAATTTTCACAACGAGCATTGACTTATGGTAATAACTCACCTAATTCTGTCTGGTAGCATCCTTTAGCATAGAACCGCAGGGTTACAAGTACCTGCATTGCTGGGGATATGTCGTTGTGGTGACCGGCATGAGACACTAACCTATCTTCCACTAAACTAATCACAAATCGTACACTGTCTTTCGATAAGCGATATCTGTTTCGAAATTCACGATAACTATACAATTCAAACGGATCATGTCTCTTTTGAAAAACTTACGGATTTCTTACTCTCTCGCTGTTAGTCACAAGATGGCGTCTAATAGCGCGCTATTAGCACTAAAAGCGAGTTCTGAATACGGGCTATTATCTTTATTAAAAATTCCTGCTGCAATATATGCTACGATTTCATTAGTTTTAGCCCCACTGAACACTCTTTGTAAAGCAAATGATCAATTGAGGGAGATAAGGTGTTTCATTATTGTTCTAAGTAAAACCTAATAATAACGATCAGCGTTTCAGGAATTTTCCGTTATAAATTGAAAGATACATTTGGCTCAACGACATACATATATTAGGATAGGATAAAAGCCTAATAATAAAAGTACTCTGTCAAGTATATAAATAAACTTGTAATATCATGACCAAGGGAATATACAATGATCGTAGGTCATTCTGTTGACATACAATTTCATTAAATTGAGTCGATAAATTATGCGACTGATTTATTGATTTCTCGTTCCTTTAAAAACGTTGGTGAAAATTTGAGGATTGAGTTGGTTGAGCAGTCGAATAGACCATTCCAGGAGGCTGTTGATGTGTCATTGCATGACTTTGGTGTTGATGAAACTCTGGAGCACCATGAGGACCGTTCAGTCTCACTCGTTTCTGATTTTGCCCGTGGCTGTGTTCACTGTTCCCCTGTTGCTGTTGATTCTGTTGCTATAAAAATTCACGGAGACATGACTCTACAGGTCTTTTAAAAAAAGATCTCTACGTATAGTGATTTAAATTGCGTTCTTTAATTAAACTTTTTTATTGTAAGATATTTACCGTTTGCTGCTGGTTCTGCCTAGCTTTATTTTCAGTCTTTTCTTCAGTGTCGTCATCCGTTAGGAATTCCCTTTTAGGGTATGGAATTGGACATCCCGCAAAGATACTGTGTGATGTAAGAATATTAGTATTAAATAAATGAAAAAGGGAAAATGATTGTATATTTGATAAATGGATAGAACAGTTTATCTAATACATACTCTTGAGTTGGCAGTGGTTCCTCTTGGAAGTAGGCATCCTGCATTGAATGCTCTGATGTAATCCTTTTATTTGGATCCATCATCAGCAGCTTTTGCAACTGCAATACCCGTATTAAAGTTACGTAACGAAATGCTACTAAAATAATTGTTATACTATGCATGTTATTCTTACCAAATTAAAAGCCTTACTATCGGGCTTGATTTTATGTCGATCCATGTATTTTGTAAGTGAACAGTTGGCATAACTAAAACAATAAAAATGTGTTTTATTTGCATTACTAAATTTTTTTGTTTTCTTTCAGGTAAGCCGACTCACTTAGAACGTTTAAAATCTTTAAGTAATGTAGGATGCTCTGGCATTTTCTTGATGTCTTCCCAATCTTTTTCAAGTGGAAATCCCATGACGTTAAATATCCTAAAATACAATGTGTGCTTAATTATGATGATCACATATTCCATCACTCTCTTACCTGTCTAGTTGATCATGATGATATGGATTGCTAGTTTTAATGTCCTCTTGTCTACAATGAAATATTGGTTCGGATGTCAAGAGCTCCGCAAATATGCAACCAATGGCCCATATATCTACAATTATGTTGGCGATTAAACTTTATATAATTATAATTAATGTATAATTACATACCAATAGCTTTAGTATAATGTCTTGCTCCTAGTAGCAACTCTGGTGCCCTGTACCAAAAGGTTACTACTACAGGATCCAAATCTGCCAATGGTTTGAGAGGTGCATTGAATAACCTGGCAAAACCCATATCAGCTATTTTAACTCGTCCTCTTTCATTTCCTTCACCCATTACTAATATATTAGCTGGTTTCTGAAAGAGATAAATCAATAATATTGTATTGAAATCAATTAAAATAAATAAAGTTTTAAAAGTGTAATAGCTTTAAACCATTAGTAATTTTTAAGATTATTACCAAATCTCTGTGAAGTACCCAATTGGAATGCAGATAATGTATGCCATCTAAAATTTGATATAATAAGGATTTAACCATGCCTTTTGGTACCATAACAGGTTTCTTATTGGCCTTAGCTGCTCTATGGAACTTAATGATATGCTGCAAAGGTATTATATGTTTAATTTCTTCAATAGCTAAATCATCTTGTAATGCAGAAATACTAATAATTTACATACCCACAGATCGTGTTCTGCAAAGTCAAAAAGTAACCATACTTTGCGGTCATTATGGGAAAGAAATACACGAATAAGAGTAATCACATTGACATGTTTTAGTTCCCTGAGTAGCTGCAAAGTAATCAAATAATCTATATATATTTAATACAGATTTCACATATTACGTATTGTGATTTTAACCTCATTTAAAATCAGATCTCATGTTCCTAATAAAATAACCACAAGGACATTAGTTGCCTGAATATATTAAATATAAATATTTAAAATACTTACTGCTATTTCTCTACAGGCAGACATAGAAAGTCCTGTGCCTTCAATTTGTTTCAGTCCAAAGTCTTTTGTATCTGGTCTAGATTTTAATTCACTATCTGGCACACTAGTGAGAAAATTAAAAAATTAGAAACAAATTTTATTGAAAAGAATACCAAAGAAAATTTATATTATCAAATTAACATACTTTACAATGCACTGTATGTATGGTCTTCATATTATATCCATATAATACAGTGTAGAGATAAAATTAATAATTATATAAATTATTCTTAAATATTGGAAAAATTTAGAGAAATATCATTGCAATTATTGACATACAGGGGACTGGTAGCACAACAGAGGATACGATATAATGTGATCCATTGGAATATAAAAATTGACCCACTAAAGTTATATCAAAGATTTCAATTCATTTTTTTATTAAGTATCATGAGAATTCGAAATATTCAACTTAAATAAATTCAGCCACATGAAGGTTAGAATGCAAAAACTAACCCTTCTTTTCTTCGGGCTTTATACACATGCCCGTAGGTACCTCTTCCAACTTTACATCCTTCAAATTCGAAGAGATCTTCGACCTTCGTACGGTCCTTCTGCGTTTTTATCTTAAACTCGTAATCCATCATGTTTAGTGTCATTACAATAATTATCAACTATAGAGCACTACAGAGAGACATCTTCCCCACCGGAATATCACATATGTATGTCTGCTGCTAGTTCGAAAACAAGACGCCAACACGGAACTCTTCAAATAAAATATTACTATATTGCCTTCCTTCCTTTCCTTATTTCAGACTCCTCCAATGAGGAGATGTGCCAGATTACTATATTGCCTAACGCTTAAGTCATTTTCACCATAGATATAGAAAAGACATAGATGTAGCATAAACTGATATTTTTGGCAAGGGGCGAGCGGCATGATGAGGGGGGTTGGGGGGAGTTCGCTACATAACCAATCAAATTCAAGCTGACCCCTCCCTTACCATGGCTTAACATGATTGGTTCTCTTGGAACGATAGACCCGCGACAAAGCTTACGTAGCACTTTTACATCACTGCGCTTGCTTTCAATAGTAACCAATCACAAGTAGGCTCAGTGTACCTCAGCACCCCTCCCTGGACGGCTTCCCACGCAGGGTTATGTTACATCTATGTCTTTTCTATATCTATGATTTTCACAGGCGTTAGTGGTTGTTAAAATAAAGCAAATTTTTTTTATCTTTCTTTACTTTAGGTAATCCATAATTATCGGCTACAATATATTCTGTTACTTACTTATTTTGCATAGACAAATATACAAAATATATAATTAACAATTATTACCTATCCTTAAGATTCAAACAACTGAAGTAGCCTTTAGAAGGAAAAGGTGAAAATTATCCATTTCTTCTTGCATAGTTGTATAGCTATTAATCATATGTTCCCGGCCAATTTGTAACGTTTTACCTTTGGCGCGAAGCTGTTTCGTGATCATATTTTAAATGGTGAAAGCTTGTTTGCAGGTTTAGGGAAATTAATACGAATAATTAAACCATAAAAGGGTAAGGATTAAACTTTTTAACGTTATATTAGATTATTCGATTTCTGTCAGTGTTTTCATTCCGTATTTGTCCATATTACATGATTTTTAACTACTTTTCGTTTTATAGAGGTTAAAGAAGTAATGTATTTCTCTTTTTTCTTTATTTTAGCACTTTGCCTTAAACTACGTTATGAGAATTTAAAATTAATAAACTTGGCTTTCTGGTTTGGTTTATTTCCGAATATGAAATAATGTAACCTGTTATTATAGTTTTTACCTTCAAGGTCAATAAATTTATAATAACGAATGTTTTTCAAACAATTATATTTAAGAGTGGGGTTACTTATTCCTTTTATGAATTTTACCTATCACCTCAAATGGACATTTTGTCAATTCCATATGAAAATATAGTAGAATAATTTATAAATACATAATTTTTAAAGATGGCTTTTTGCAGGATGATGGACGATGCAGCGACTGCTCGATTAAAGTCGTTTATTATTAGTAGTAATGATGCTTTAGAATTTAAGTTGGTTCGCTCTGTAGAAGATCTTGAAGATGATGAAGCGACATTTAGACCAGAAATGTCTCATCAAGTGTTTGGTGATGGGTATGTAAATCATATTTCATAATATTTAAACATTGCATTATTTTCTTATTTTGATAAAATGGTTTATTTATACAGTGAATCAATTTTTGGATATCGGGATTTAAGAGTAAAATTGTACTACTCGGCTGGTTCATTGGAGACTTATTTGGGAATGACATATGCTGAAAAAGTAAATAAGTTAATGTATGAGGGAGTCGAACCGGATGAAGTACTACCAAAGTTTTCTGGAAAACTGACAGCTCAAATTCATGATAGTTTGGATTCTTTCATCAAATCTTTGAAAAAAGATGATACCTTTAGACCACATGGAGAACAATTACATTCTTTTTCAGTGAATGGTATAAATATTTAATACACCTTTAGGCTTTATATCTTAATAGAACTTTATGAATCTTGCAATTTTTTAATATTTTCTATGTAATCTATGATTTTTAATTTTTTAGATCAAGGTGATATAAGGCACTTTGAGGTATACAAAGCTGACATGAGTTATAAAGGATTTCGGGAGTATCACCAACGTCTTCAAACTTTTCTACTGTGGTACATAGATGCTGCAAACTTTATCGACATTGATGATGATCAGTGGCATTATTTTAACATGTAATGTATACTTTTATATAACAATAGTATGAGGAAAATTATTTTTTGGATTATAAATACATTGACAATTTTGTTTTATTAGGTTTGAAAAATACGTTTCAAAAGATGGTTTACCTCGGTATGCTACTGTCGGTTTTGCCACTGTGTATCAGTATTATGCATATCCTCATCATACACGGCCACGCATTGCACAGGTTCTGATATTACCTCCTTTCCAAAGTATGGGACTGGGTACCCAACTCTTGCGAGCCATATACCGCGAATATACTGGGAGAAATGAAGTGAAAGACATAACAGGTAATAAATTATTATACAACCCAATTGTGACTATATCAATTTGCAAAAGTACAAGCTTATTCATACCGTATTACTTTCACTATCGCGTATGAGTGCACACGCACAAATCCAGAATCGAAGCATACATTGCTGTGCACGTGTATTCTATCAACGTCACCAATTTTGTTGAACGACATTTTCCGCTAGATTTTTCGTTTGCATGTACACTGAAATACAGGCGTTAATATGAGAGTTGTATGCGCATGGATTTAATGAATATGCTATGATTATTTTCAATTTTATAGTGGAAGATCCATCTATGGATTTTCAACGGCTGAGAGATTATGTAGACGCCGTTAATTGTTCTACATTACCTAGTTTTGCAAGAGATCGCCTGAAAGAGGGATTTAACAAATTAATGGCTACTGAAGCAAGAGAAAAGTTCAAGATTAATTCGGTATATTTTTTATTATAATCTTAAGCTTGGAACAAGAATTATGTATGTCTGTATAATAATTATGCAATGTCTATCGTAAAATTGTAGAAACAATCCCGCAGAGTCTACGAGATTCTCAAATTGCGTGCGACAGATTTGTCAAATGAGAATGAGTATCGCGAGTATAGGCTGGATGTGAAAAGAAGACTGAATGTGCCTTACAAACGCGAGCAGCATGATCAGAGAAAGCTAGAGTCTTCACGAAAAAATAATGAGAAGCTTCCGAATATGCCGATTCCGTCAACGGAACAGCGCATACAAATTTTGGAAAAGGAATACCGTTTGCTCGAAGAGGAGTATAAAAAAGTTGTTAAACGTTTGGAAGACGCAGCTGAACTATAATTCGTTTTTATTTTTCTATTTTCTTTTTTTAAACTGCAAGCATTACATATCGTGCGAGCAAGAGGAATTAAGTCTGCACTGTGCAACATAAAAATTGCAAACTTCAATTTATTATGAGGAAATAGATTGCACTTCATTGGACTGCGTGTCGTGCTGTGTTGAATTTTCAAAATTAAATACCTGTTTCTAATATAAGATGCTGATGTATAATTTCACATGATTTAAAATGTTGCCTATATTAAACGTATCGTGATACCTCAAAATGCTCAATGTACACGAGAGATGATTGTATTCGGATTCGAAATTTACAAAAGTTTATGCGTTCTAATATGTTTGCATTTTTCAAGTTACATTTTTTTATTTTTGTATTTGTAGCAATTGCTCGCGATTAAATCGCAATGGCAATGTAAATATTATTCACATTGTATGTATATCATAAAAATACAAACTTTCGTACGTATATATTTATGTGGAATTATTTAACTTATTAACAGCGATGGGCATTTAGGTACAGGACCACTTTCTAACGAACCAGGACGGAAATGAAGTGAATGTATGTATGTAAAAAGTGTTTCGACTAAATATATTGCATGTTCTAACTTCAAACAAAAATCATATTATTTTACATTAAAATGTTGGTTAATGATATCCTCAATGATAGATATTTTGAATTGATATAAAATTTACACGTATTTTCATTTAACAGCTAAATTCACGAAAAAGATAAAAATATAAATATAGAACATTAATTAGGAAAGTTAGAATTCCAGGATTTTATTTTTTATACGGCTATCACAAAATAGCCATTCGCTGTTCACCAAGTTTAGAACATGCGCAGCTAGTCATGGTTTTCTTATCGGATAAGAGTTCATTACTCAATCATTTTTCGTTACCAGGTATTTAGCAGTATTTACTGTTTTAAATTAGTGGCTATGTTCCACTGGCATCAAGTTGAAAAGATGAAATACGTGTGTGCATATCTGTAGATATTCTACTATACGTATACATTCAATGTATCTCAACTCTCCTTCGACTCCGGTGGAAACATAGCCAATGACTATGAAAAATTTTTCAGAGTGAAAAGCTGGTTTTATGTAACGAAAAACATGGCTTTGGGTAGAAAAAAGGTGATTTTGTGTAAAGGCCAAAATGATAAAGACCAAACGCAAAAAACGTATACAGAAGTTTTGGAATCAGCTGGTTACACGTGCGAACATCTACCTGCTTTGCGATTTGAATTTATGAACCTTCAAGAGCTTTTAACGTGTTTATTAACATCACAATCATATTCGGGTAATCAAGTGTGAATTAGTTTTTTCTTTGTATAAATAGACTATCATGTTATTTTGTAATAGGTTAATCGATAATTGAATATCATATTAACAGGTATTATTTTTACAAGTACTCGGGCAGTAGAGGCAGTCAATTTGGCAATAAAAGAATCTAAAAATGTGAATATTATTAATTTGTGGAAATCTTTGCCTGCTTATTGTGTTGGACCAGCTACAAGAACTGCAGCAAATAATTCTCTGGGTTTGGAAAATTGCCCTGGAGCTGAATCTGGTAATGCTGAGCAACTTGGAAAGCAGATTCTAAATGATCAGTGTCAAGAGAGTGCTCCACTGTTGTATCCATGTAGTGAAATTGCACGAGATACTCTTTCTAAGATTCTTACTACTGGTGGAGTTAAAATGAAAAAATTGGTTGTATATAGAACATTGCCTAGTAAGACTTTAGAGGAGGATATTCTTAAAACCATTAATCCGCTGCCACATGCTTTTGTTTTCTTCAGTCCTTCGATAGTGAAGTACACATTAAGTCTTTTAAAAAATCATGGTATTTTAGAAAAAACAAAGGCGGTAGCTATTGGATCAGTGACAGGACATGTTTTAAAAGAAGCTAATGTGAAAGTTTATGCTATTGCAGGTAAACCTGACCCAATTAGTTTGGTGCAAGCCATAAAGGCAGCTGATAATAATGAATCTAATAGAACAAATATGGAATAACTAGATTTTTAAGTTTTTTGATTACACTTTTGAGTTGTACCACATTTTTTGAATATGTAAACAATCTTGCATATTACAGGTCAAACGTTTTGCCGTATGATTTATACTTCATAAACCGTATTTTCAAATAAATTAATAACAATGTGACAGTAGGTATTGAAGAAGGAATGCAACAATTAGTGAAATCATCAATTTATGACATATATTTATCGTTTATAAACGCGGTATCTAGAGACTATAATAATATCAATAAATAATGACTTTAATACGTTTTCAAACAATAATCTTGCTTTGTCAAAACATTTGTTAGTTCACATTGATACAATTATATAATACTATATATAGTTAACAACGTGATTATAATTATTTCCAAGTACTTTGAAATTACATACAGTGCAATTAAAAGGTATCTTCAAAGTACCTTATAACGATTTCACACGTTACTAAATTTGTTAACTCTTTAATAAATGAAAATCAGTCACTCAAGTATTTATTACATAGTTTTCTGCTTGTTACATAAAAACAATAAAACCATGAAATGGACTATTTTATTAACCCTCCGTCGGGCGCGGCTGGCCTGTCAGGCATAGCGATTACGTTTCAGTTTACCCCCCTCTTCTTCGTCTTTTTTGGTTTTGTCTTTGTTATAAATAATAACTGCTTTTTTAGTAATTCTTTAGATATTTCTTTTGAATACATCCCTACGAAGGTAAGTAATTTTCATTTTTAGTATAAGATAGTTTCATATAGATTTTATACACGATTTTCGGAAATGAGCTTCTCGGCACAGCCCGCCTGACGTAAAGAGTTTTTGAGGGGCGCTCGGCAGAGGTTTAAATATCATATATTTTTGCACCATTTTCGATATAGTTGAACATTCCTTTTCAATATTTATCAATAATATACTACTGAGCCTAACAGGTTCAATGAAATCCAATATTTAAAGTTTCACAATAACCAGAAATAGGATTTATGAAAAATATATGCGTGTCAGTCTTGAAATTACAGGAAAAACGCATTAACTGTTTTAATCAAATCTCATTTTAGTTGACGTTAGGCACAATTGGATAAAACTTTGCATTGTCATATTGCGTATTTGCAAATTACAACTCCAATAAAAAATAAGTTAATATCTACTTCGATTAACTGCGGTACCAAGAAGGCACGTTAAATCCTGTCCAACAATAGTCGATTGATTCGCATAATAAGGCTGTGGAGGATTTCCACCATTATTGTACTTCATTTGTACGGCCGTCTCATAATCTGGCGCTGGCCTATAAGATGGCAACAGCGCTCGTAAATTGTTAATATCTGTCGAAGAAACTGAAACTACTGGATATGGCGAAGCAGAAAGGTCATTATAACTTGTCCATCGAGTTTGATCTTCCGCCGTCCGATTTTCTAAATTAACAGATGCCGCCTGTTCACTCGAGTCATTTGTATCGCTATCCTGAAGTGGATAAGTCGTTTGTGTCAATATGTTGATCATATAATATACTGATTAACTTAATGAATTTGAAGCACTTACGAAATAGCCATTGGTTAATCTATCTGCCGGTCGGCTTTCCTGATGTTGCATATAAAATGTATGTTGTGCTATACACAAACGCCATGTATATTTTGCACTACGCGAATCTCCAAATATAAATTGCTTAGCATCTTCGACCTCTGATTGACATTCTATTCTAAATGTTTTTTTGTGATTAATGACGTTACTTATATCTTTCCACCTTGAAATCAGAAGTAGTGTAGTGATTGTGAGTATTAAGATTTGGGAGCACAAGATATACAATCAGTTTTCAATAAAGTTATAGCGTTTGAACGAAAGAACTTCTGAAATTGTTAATATTTAAAGTTACCTGTAAAATTGTGTTATTTGAGTAGTAGGATACCCAATCATGATTCCATTGACTGAGATACCTAATATTACTTCATTGTTTCCTTCATCCTGCGATATGATGCATATTTAATAATAAATTTGAATTTGGCTTGAATTTTATGATAGTATTTACCTTTGCTGTAAAAGTTTCATGGCCATAACCCTCCAATTGAACTACAATGGAAATGTAGAGTTCTTCTGATGCTGCTTGAGTAACACCACCTAAAGTTTTATACTGACACATTGCAGCATTTAGTAATACATCTTGTCCTCCTGGTTCTGCTTGAATCACATCCTGAAGAAATTATTAATAATTATTTTATCAAGAAAAGAAACAATGAATTTAATAATTATTTTATGTACTTTAGGAAAGAATGTGCATTGTTGAAGACATTCGACAGTATGACGCTCAGCATCGTAATTTCCAAACTCAGCTTGCATTGAATAACTAGCCAAAAGACTGGCTTGTCTGGGGTTACAGTGAATTCTGCCCTCTAGTACATCACTTTTAAGTTGGAGGTAATAATGGTATCTATAAATGTTTATAAGAAATATTAAAATAAGTTATTACTTTGTATTAACAGAGATAAGACTAATATTCAAGATGTATATTTTTATATACCTTGTCATTTCATCCTGGATAAGTTGAATATCCGTAACATAGTACATGACTCTGAGATAAAGATTAAAACTCTTTGCCTCTTTTTCAAGTTGTCGTTTTAATGGTTTGTCCATATCAACCCATCGTGGTGAAGGTGAACCATGCCGACAGATATAGCGTAGTCCAAAAAACTCAGGTTGACCAAGCCCAAGCCTTTGTGTTAAATTGTTTAAACACTCTTGGCCTATACTGTCGATACTCAGTGTACATTCTATTGTCGTAGTGTCCAGTAATTCAACACAAATCATATACTGATTTTTAGAAACTACATTGTATTGGCGACTTTTCTTCAAATGAAATTTGAACGGCATTCTTAACAATCAATTGCTAAAACCATAAATATTTGTATGCATCATCAGAATTACCTCAATTGTTAAATTTAAGATAGGATATAATTATCTTGAGAATTAAGACCCAGCTACACTGAGCCAGTAACAATTGCTCTAAATATGAATATACATATATCAATCACATAACTCAAAACAATATGTTTGCAACACCACTACCTTCAAAGTACTGACTTTTCAATAGCATAAGATATAAATAGCAAATATATATTAATAAGACATAGCTTCTCAGACTCGTATATTTTATTATGTATGAAATGCGTTAACAAAATATGAAAGCCAAAACTTTTACTTTACATCACAAAATACGTATACGTAAATAATATACAACATAATTAGACCAACCTAACGTGACGTTAGCACTGAGTTGTGATATTTCGTTATATAGAAGCGAAACAATGTGCCTTGGGAATCACCAAGGTGTTCATCACTGTTCGCCACTGCGAAGATCATGGATGGGTTTTTATAAGGAAAGGAAAGATAAAACACTTGGCGAATACAATAGTATTGCGAGTAATTGAATTATTTACAATTGGAAATGTTTTCTCAATGTCGTTTATTAAATTTTGGGTATCTAAAATGTAGTTCTTACACATATTATTCTTGTCATTGTATATTAAATATGTGATTTTCTTCATTTACGTAAGCCGCCATATTAGGCCTGTGTTCGAACACTCAGTGCGGGTGTTGCACACATTATAGACTACGCTTACACAATTAACTTAACTGCTTTACTTAATACCGATCGAAAGGAATTGACCAATCCTAAATATACCTTACAAGTAGAAATGTCTATAATTTGTCTATTCCTTAAGACCAGTATTAACTGAATCGTTTCAGATCGTAGTGTAAACATAACGATGTGTTGCATAGTTAATTGCAAGTGCTGCAAACAATATTATATCCTTTTCAGATATACGACGATAATCACAGTACTTGCAGAAAGTTGTGAAATACACCCTAAATATTCCGTCATGTTCACCATCGATGTCAGCTAATTACTCCTAGAACGTCAACACTTGACCAATAATACATCGTGTATACAAGAATTTGCATTGGGTGATTGGTGAAGCATTCGGTTTGTTGCGCCATTTGTCAATATGATAGGCTTTAGGGCAGGCGGCCAAAGGTAACTGAGCTTAACAGACGTAATTATCCATTCAGATTAAGAATTTCCAAAAATACATGCATTCAGTAACTAATTTCATCAGTTACTTTCCACCGTGCAGAGATTACACAAAGTTTAGCGGCCTCATTGGTCTATTCCATTCAACTCCTATATGTGATTGGTTAACCCTGTTTAAACTTTGCACGGTGGAAATTGAGCTAATGCATGTGTTCCACCATGCAGGGTTGAAATAGAGTTAACCAATTAAAAACAAGATTTGAGCGGAATAAGCTAACTTGATTGGTTAACTCTGTTTAAACTTTGCACGGTGGAAATTGAGCTAATGCATGTGTTCCACCATGCAGGGTTGAAATAGAGTTAACCAATCAAGTTAGCTTATTCCGCTCAAATCTTGTTTTTAATTGGTTAACTCTATTTCAGCCCTACACGGTAAAAACATATGCAATGAGAACGCTTACGCGCTCGGAGTTTAGATAGGTTTAAATCACGTTTGGTTTTTCTTATTAACGAAACTATCTCTCTAAAACCAAAACCGAAATCAGAGACTGCAAACAAAAGAAATATTGGTTCGGTTACAGTGTTTATAATGGTAAAAGCTTGAATTTCGGTTTGGGTTTTTTCAGTTTCGGTTTTCGAATTTAATAGATTTCGGTTTCGGTTTTAAAGAGAGATTTTGTTTAAAAAAACCTAACGTGATTTAATCCTTTCTAAAACCGATGCGTGTAAACGTACTCAGTAAAACAACTAACACGTACTACAGTCAACTACTAAATTCAACTAAATTTACTTAGTTATGTTATTGAAGATTATATGTTTAATAGCGTTTATCCATTCTAGCTTTTTGTGGATCCATCTATGCGTACCAAAATTTCTCTAAAAAATACTATTATCAGCTATTAATGCTCCGGAGCACGTAAAAACGCTTGCACGAACTGACTTATTATATAATAGCAGCGGAGCAATTAGGAAAACATAAGTAACATTTTTAAGCATTAAAAACATAAATTTTTATTTTTTGACGCTAACTTCTCGATGGTCATTGGACTCTGTTACTTGTAATGCATGTCGGAAGTAATTATGCATGGAGACTAGAGTACTTTAGTCTCCATGTAATTATGATTAAATGAAGTAGCAACCCTAAAATCATTCCTGGCAAGCACGCATCCTTGAATTTTCCCATACTGACGGAAACTGTAATTCCTTTCTTTATTTATCAATTACCAATTGCAGTTTACAATAACCGATTTATCAGTTTTACTGTTGTCTCTTTTCCTCTACACTCTATTCAATCATAGTACAAAAATATTCTATAAAGGTTGCTGCTTGTTGTTTCCACTGAAAAGTTACCACTACTCAAATATGTATCTCACTCTATTTTACTAAACTGGATCAGCAGACCAAGTTTGAGCGTAACACAGAGTGAAAGCAATGCAAGTTACATTAAAGAGACGTTCGAAAAAATGATCTTAAAAAGGAAAAGGTATAGAAACATAATTTCTCACATATTTGGTAAAATACAAACACTTTTACAACTGACTTGATATCTCTTTTACTTGAATTTGGACAATTGATTTCTTAAACTTAATTTGTGAGTTAAATTCTATGAAACTACAAACATCCAGGGAAGGGATCCACACGATTTTTCCTAAGGATAAACTTAATTTTTCTGCTCATATCCTCGTCGTAAATAGCTTTGCACCTTTCATAATTAATTCTACGCCTGACTTGAGTTGGCTTCTCATAATATCTTGTTCGTCGATACTGATCCAAAATTTCTTCCTGACCAAGAATTCTATTCAAGATACGAAAAGCATTTTCCACATTATTATTCTGCACTAATACCGTGCGGGATATAAACGGAACGTGTCGCATCTGAAAATGAAAGAAATTTTAATTGTTGTCAGGTATAGGTTAAGATATTACACAATACTTTAATGCACTGAAACATCACAAATTTGTACATCACTGAAATACTGATTTTATTCATTAAAACAATACTATTATTTATCCATATAATTCATACCTTGATGTCTCGTTTGTGTTGTTCAACAAGAATTAAACAGAATCGGAGAATTACTTAGTTCTCTTAAAACGAAACATCAATGCCATCTATAATATTCGCTCCAAGTATGATTTTATGAAGAGCGAATATATCAGATTGCCTGTAGTAGGTGTATGTAATATAAATTTGAGCTATTTCTAATTTGAATTTGGTGCGAAAGCCTAACAAGCTTCAAAATATTTCCAAATTTATGTAATATCATTGATGATAACGCTATTTACGAATCGAGAAACCGAGGACGTTTATACTTATGGGCTATTCTCGTTGGAACGACCCTGGTGTTATAGTTGAGTATCCGTCGACAGGCGCAATTACATTTCTTTAAAATCTTACATTGAATTGCATAATGTGAATAATAAATTGAAGGACAGTATTGGAAAAATAATCAATTCTGAAATTACAGAACAACATATTAAATTTGTATCGAGACAAGACAGATAAACAAGATGTAAGAATAAACACCGGCGTATATCGCGATTAAACGCCACCTAACTATGGTCCATGTTCAGTAGATGCAGTTGCAATCAGCTCTCTGACGTCAGTGTACGATCGAGCTGAAAAATGTTGCGTTCCATCGTATTGAATCGTGAGTCATGCGAAATAAATACAACTAATTCGCAATAACCGTTCGGTTAATAATAACACGGGTCACAAATTAATTACTTCGAATTTTCATGAATACTGATTGTCACTTGTTTCGTAACAACTTTGACGACCTACCGTCGTGGAATTACGCATTTTCGGGATCACATAGATTTCAAATACCCTATTCTATATTATTATTCGTTTATTAGCTTCATATACAATATGGAAAAGTAACAATTATCCCTTGTCTCTTGTTTTACAGTTTTATCGCCTGCTCTGTATCTGACATAACCTCTATTTCTTTTCCTGGGCTCCGTACATGATATATATATATATGTGTATATATATAATAAATTATGTATTTGATATCATACGTTTTTTTTTTTTCTTTAGAAAATGCCCAACAGAGCTTGGTGGCATTGGTTCGAAAGAATGTCGGCGCTTTAAGTTCTATTGGCTCTAGTGTACAGCAAAACAGAAATCAGGCTACCGAGGCTAAGGATTTTCAATTACCTGCCAAAAAGGAGCCTATGCCTTACAGCCCTTTTCAAAATACAAATAATCTAGCTGAGTTTGCATTAGCTCGTTTAGATGACTTACTTAATTGGGGTCGTAAGGGATCTATTTGGCCTATGACATTTGGATTAGCTTGCTGTGCTGTAGAAATGATGCACATTGCTGCACCTAGATACGACATGGACAGATATGGAGTGGTTTTCCGTGCTTCTCCAAGACAATCTGATGTGATTATTGTTGCTGGAACATTGACCAATAAAATGGCACCAGCTCTAAGAAAGATCTATGATCAAATGACAGAACCACGATGGGTTATTTCTATGGGAAGCTGTGCCAATGGAGGTGGATACTATCACTACAGTTACTCTGTAGTCAGAGGCTGTGATAGGATCATTCCTGTAGATATTTACGTACCTGGTATGTAGAAATTGCATCTTATTAAAATCCTAGTAACCTATTTTATTTTTGAAATTACTATACAGGTTGTCCCCCAACTGCTGAGGCACTCCTCTATGGCATATTGCAGCTACAAAAGAAGGTGAAGCGCATGAAGACGACTCAAATTTGGTATAGAAAATAAATATAGCACTGTTCAACCAGAGAAATAAATGTGTAGTAAAAATATGTTGAATGTAAATTAATATAAATATCTAATATAAATTGGATTACATACATTATCCATATAAAGTGGATCATATGTGAATCCAACAGTTTTTTCTTCTCAGTTAAAAAACTAAATGTTTTTTGGAGTTCTCAAGATGCATTAAAAGTAAATGTGGATCTACTCCCGAGGCAAAAGCGTTGTACTATAGTAAAGAAGTATGCAATAAACTTTTAATATAAAATACAGCCACAGCAATTGCTTTGTTAATTAAAGACACACTTCTCTTATGCAACTAAGTACAAGCCTCTAAAAGTGTGAAGGTATAGGTCCCCTTGACATAGTATGTTTTTTTCTTTTTCTTTGTCTAATATTTAAAAAATACATACATTTGTGGTAAAACAGTCTGTACAAGATTTTGAAAAATCGTGGCTCACTCACACTCTCTTTTCTCTTTCTCTCTTTCGCATTCTCTATTAAACAGCAACAAAAAAGATCTATCACATAACCCATTGTTATTTAAAGTCCAGTCCAAATGATCCACCAATTGACTCCATTGCAGAAGCGCATCGTTTTGAAAGATCACGGATTTCCGAAAAAATAAAATAAACATTAGTCCTGGTAATCTCGTGCATACCTCTAAACCGTTTCATTTTATTTCCTTAGGCATCCTCTGAAGACAATACGCATATCACACTTGCTTACCAACACAATATATATACAGTAATACTCATATACGCGCACACGATGCGCCCAAAAGGAAAGTTTAGAAAAAAAAATTAAGCCGTTTTCCATTTTTTTTTCTTCTAATACATTAAAGCCGTGAAGTTTCTTCTATATAATCCTACATAGTGAAAACAGCAGTACTGAGTATCATAGATGGACCGAGATAAGAAAACAGAAACAAAAACCCATTTTTCCTAGTACGTATTTCGTACAACTTCAAACTATAATATGCATGACATCACATGCCTATCAACGTCATATTTTATAAAAGTACTAAAAAAGGAAAGAAATAAAAAATTTACATTTGGCTCAGGTTAAAGTATCTTACTCAATCATACTTTCTCTGTAATTTGACAAATTTTGTATTGTTTCCTCCGACCACTCCCATTCACATTTTACATATTCATTCATCACGTCCACACATACACGCACGATTTTTTACTCAAAGCACAAAAGTCTTTATACAAGAATTCACGTTTAATCTTTTTTTTTAATTTAATCTTACTCCCTATTGGCAAATCAGTATGAATTTCCTTTACTCTCATTATCGTCATCTCTCTTTCTCATGTTGTCTGCCTATCATTCATCCAATATGATCCACTCACCCCTAGCCCACACACAGAATGGCGGTGTATGTAGTCAGTCCACAAGCAAAATAGCTTAGAATGACAGATAGAAAAATGCGAAGTCCGTTGCCAATGCATTTTTGCCAAAGGAAATGTGCGGCACATCAATGAAAAACCATTCCATTACCTTCCACAAGAGCAATGGTCATTGAGAAATTTTGCTACAGGAGTCACTAGCACGAAACACGTGTTCTCATTTGTTACTTCAAGCTGTTTTACTCGTGCACCGACTATATAACAACAACAATAATAATAATAACTAACGATTCTTCAGAATGATCGTATCGCAAACGGCGGTTTGTTCCATTTTTCGTTTCGCCTATCATTCTATGCAATTATCAATATAATAATGGAAATTATTAATATATACAAGTTATTGACGTGACAAGGTGACTCGAGCTACGGGCCAGAAAAAACAAGCACATTCATTTTCCCATTGTTCGAGTGACCGAGCGCGCTAAGGCCCCTGCTGCAATGCTATCATTATATTCAATATGATACATATATATATTATTATGTTATATATATATATGTTTTATATATATACATATGTCATGTTAATTCATCTTCAATATTATATAATCATGTTAACGGCGCGCCTACACCTACAAAGATATAGGTTTTTTGATTTCAAAGTGTCCGCCAGATAGTCTTTAACACTTCGAAATCGGGTAACGTTTATACTGGACTTTTCACGCGTACCATTCTCACTTTTACGGGATATATTTTGTCTTGAATGAAAATTCAGTAGCATAAAGAAACATTAATTAATCGGGCAGTTGGATTGCATTGAGATCATCCGCGCAATGATACACACGCATACAGATATGAAAAATACTCTCGAAAACTATTCGCACGTGCATCACGTGTGAAATGTCCTGTACAAGTGTGACCTACTATCGCCTACATCGCGTGCTTGTATGTCATATTTGTAGATCTGGAAAATCTCGATGACTTTGCACACTTTGTTGGCCAACTAACCCTCCTTAGCTCCTTCGGGCCTTATCTCGATATCTCCTTCGGTTCTGTCCTTTTCATTTTCCTTTCTCATTTGTATAATTTCTAATTTTTTGTTTTGAGATAATTTGTACGATTTTTCATTCATTTGATAACACACACCATGATCACATTATCCCTACATTCCTCGAAGACTGATAAATTACTCGCGACGAGAATGAAAATCTTCCGGTTGATCTCTTGATCTCGTTGTTATATTACAATCACATTGTACTTATAATTAAAAGGATCCGCATGACCATATAACTGTGACAATATCCGCGTCCAAGTATTTCTGTACGGCGGAATTCAACTTTTCATTTGTTCAATTCATATCCGTCAGTGTAAATAACAAATGCCAGTTATTTTAATGATTCTTGAATTATTTAAAACAATATGTTGATGACTGCAAAATCATTAAAACAATAAATTATTAGCCTGCGAGGAATTAAGTATTGCCACCGATTCTCCTCTTAATTACCAATTCCGATATACGATTATACTGTTCGCATTAATAGAGTCTGTAGAAGCTTTCTTGCGTGCATATTAATTCGGAATAAACGCTCTTTCATTGTCCAAAGAATGAAAAAGAAAATAAACGTAAAATGAAAATCTACAAAAATCGTAAACGATGTTATGAAAGTTGCACATAAATGAGAGCGAACATAAGAAACGTGGATACTCCGTATATTTTATATATATTCTGCATGCAATGATGTTTTTGAAACAATAGTAAATACATTTTTTTCAGAATAAAAGGAGGCACAAAATAATGGTATAAAAAATGTTTGTTGAAACATTGCGTCCGGATGTGAGAAATGCGGGAATAAAAAACGATTCGTAGAAACAAGAATGCAACGAGAAACCAGAATATAAAACTACACGCAACTTTTCGTACAGTTCAATTTTTCTCGCTGGTTGCGACACGCCAACGTGCTGCGCTTTTGCGCATCCCGCAACGACTAAGCAGAGTCGTTGAGCGTTAATGCTCCCGAGCCCTGTATCATCTTCACTCACCCATACCCCTTCTACTTTTTCAAGTCGCAAAGATAATCTAACACTTATTGGAGACCTTCCTGAGAGCCTTAACTCTTTATCTTAATTTCTGTTCAGAATTCTCAAGAATTCCCGATAAGAGTTTGGGCCTGATGCGACCGTTAAGTAAATTCGCAAATATCCTTAAGATTCGTGGAGCCCTGTTAGAGGATCGCCTGCGAGGTGGATGGTGGCGGATTGCTCGGCAATGCGGGTACCGGGCCGTCAGTCCATTGAATAAGAGAGTGTTCACTCATCTGCGTACTTTGGAAGTGATCTTTCAGGAGCATCTGCGAGAAATTGCAGTGCATCTGATATGCCTCACTTTCGCGATTCGGATCACCACATAACCTATACAAGTCTGCAAAGATTACAAACAAAAATATAATATATTATAATATAACAGAAGAATGACGGTTATGAAATAACAATGGTTTTCTATGATTAATTTGTTCCTTCGTTTACCTTTCAAAATAGCGCTTGCCCAAAGTTGCACGTGAACGTCAGGTATCTTGGAAGCTAGCTGCATTGCTGGTGTCACCATATTCATGGATTCTCGACTGTTTCCCACAGAGAGGAATATGTGACCAAGGAGTACAAGACTGCAGGAAGTTAGTCTGTTGAGGTCCTCGGAATTGGCCATCTTTAATGTTTCTCTAAGATACCTCCTAGTAGACAAACAAGATGAACAATAATTTCATTTATGATATTTAGCTAGATATTACTTTAAGATTCTGATGTTTTCATACTTGGCTTCATTATATCTGGCACCGAAAAATGCTTGAAGACCTTGGACGTAGTACGCAGCTGCACGTAAGGAGTGCGAATGTGACGGTAAAGACTCTGGATTTATCCTTTCAAGGAGTGCTCCCAAATCGGCATCCCTCTTTGTTCTCAGATATACTATAGCCAGGTTTAGATTGGCGAACGTCCACAGTTCCCTTTCTTGAGATGTCTATAAACGAAAATTAGAATCAAACTCATTTCTAGTGGACATCCTCGATTGAGAAAGTTGTTAGTATTACTGATATACTCTTCTTTAAGCAGAAACTTACCCCGAGTGCAGCCTGGAATTGAGCTTCGGCGGCCTCCATACAGTTCATGGACATTGCATACAGCCCTAACAACGCATGAAGTTGTGGTCTGTGCGCCTGAAGAAGCCGAGGCTGCCGCCTACATAGCTGGCACGCCTGAGAGATTTCAGCAAGGGCTAAACTTTTGTTTCCCATAACCAGTCTACACATTACTATGTGTTCCAATAGCATCAGTTGAAAAACTGATAGTATTGGCTTGTTGTCTACAACTGCGAAATCAGGAAAAACTTCTATTACGTGTGTTTTTTAGTAACGAATTGCTCTGAGTACACTGAACTTATTCTTACTTTTAAGTTTTTCAATTTGCGTGAGAGCCTTGTCCGTATATTTTTGTGCTTCAGCCATATATCCCGCTTGCGTTGAATGCATCACCGTTACGAGGTAAACCAAAACGTATAAGTGTTCCTTTGGCATCCATACAAACATGTCACCTATGTTCGAACCAGTAACAATTTCATCGGAGGGCCAACTAGGCGACATTATTGTCTGTATACTTTGTTGCAATTGTTTTAAACAAGGTTTGACACTTTTGACCTAAAATTAAAATAAAAACATCTTTGTATCACATAAAATTATAATAGCTAACTTTGCTACATAAATTCACATACCTGGCCTGCCATGAGGAAGTGACAAACTTGAAGAACCAAAAAATAAACTTTCAGGTATTCCTTTTGATGTGTACTACCCTGCCAATTTTCTACGAGATGTCCTGCCTGATTAAGAAGTGGATGTACTTCTGTAAATTTTTTATCAATCAACAGAAGCATCCCTCTGCTTAATAGAAACAAGACCCTCGTATAACTGGCATTGCTTATATGAGAATAATCCACGCCAACTCCAAGAAGACTACTTGCAACAACAAAATCTTTTTCGGATGCATGGATTTGCTAGAAATAATTAACAGAAACAGTTATACCACGGTTCTATATTAATAATCAAATATTGAAAGACATATTTTTATAATACTTACAGCCAATTGAAATATAAGTCTACAGTGCCAGTAGACATTATGTTGCGACAATTCAATAGCTTTCCTCAATATGGGCTTACTAAGATTGGGCTGCTGTTGCTGTTCATACAATTCAGCAACAACACTGGCAGCCTCAAATTTAACATCATCAAATGTATTTATATTTTGACTGAGCCTCCACTGAAAATATATGAATGCACTATCACAATCTCTGTCGCTAATCTCTTTCTCGTAGTTCTAGCATAACAGTCACCCATAAAACTGGTTGACAAAATGTCAAACAATTTGAATACAGGTTAGGAACAGTTTGAATTTTTCGAAAAACCTTAAATAATATGTCAATACAAAACTCAGAAAAAATCCAATTGACAATAAAATAATATAAGACAATTACTGAAGATACAAGAAAAATTGTAACAAGAAGACCGACCGCCTGCTCGAGATGGGAACGCGCCAGGTCGATGTTCTTCGTATGGGTGAGGAGTATGTTGCCAAGCTGAAGATGTGTACGAGCCTCGACCCGGGGCGGCGGCTTGAAGTTAAATACAGCTTGTAAACACTGGATACAGGACTTGATGTTCGGCGGACTTGAGGTGCGAAAGTTTTCAGCTAGGCCCAACAACGATAGGTACCAAGCGTCCTGGGAAGACGCCATTTTGACATTTCTCGGCGAGCGAGACGGTCAACTACCGTCGTGAACGAAAAAGTTACACGATTCTTTCTACCAGATCAATCCGCAAACACGGTTATTCTCATTATTCTACACCACAAACAATATCAAAGAAACTGTAGCGAGACCCCCTTCGCGTCTTCCTATAGTTCTGCTTTTTTTCTCTTTCTTTCTTTCTCTATTCTCCTCAAACTCTGTAGAGTTTTTCGTCACGCGTCACACGCGCGCACGCACTGTTCGTTAGCACTTACGTTGTATTAAATCACATCTGATAATTCAGATCGACTGTGCGAATGCGTACAACATAAAAATTTCGTGGAAATTCTTGTGAAAACCGCTGTATTGCGTAATATTTATGTACGGCGCTGGCCACATCGTTTCACGGTGGAGATGCCACTGGCGAATCACACTAGGCAACTTGTAAAAACTCCCTAGTATCATAATAATTCCCTAGATACACCGCTGCACTTTAATTTTGTTTGTCCGATGTAGTCACTATACCCAATGCAATACATTATACGCGAAAGAATATAATATGTTACATTGAAGAATAAAATACTATTATATATATAAGTAGAAACTATTATGCTTATATCTGAAATATCCTGAATGTATGAGCAATCCTGCGAGTCTGCAAATATGATTTTGACTATACAGTGCGGCATATTCAAAAACATACATAAATTCCATATAAAATGCTATTGTTAAATATTCGCTAATTTAAGTGCTATGATTCACCATCCTCACTCAGCTATACTCTTTCTCATAAATCTAATTTGCTCTCTACCTGTATCTGGATAACACGTCATCGCTCCCACCCTAATTCTCATCATCGCTTTTGCCCCTACTACATGGAAGAAGTGAAATGCACGAGATTGAAAATCGCGGAGTCCACATTACGACAGTGTATTTGACAAGTCGTCATTTTCGGATTCTACGTAGAATATTATACATCAGTAAAAACCGCAAGTGCCAACAATTAATACCTTAATTTCATCGTCAAATTTCGCTCATAACATTGCAATGCGTATCCTCACTATATTTCCGTATCTCACAATTTTTTTAATCGTCGCCAGTTGTCTGGGAAACACTACGAAAGAAACACAGAACGAAAAAGCATTAACAAAATTGGTGAAACTCTTTTCAAAACCGGGTGCGTTCAAGCAGGTTAGTAGAAACATTTTTGCAAAATTATATCCTCCGTAAAAAAATTAGTCCGAAATACCATTTCACTTTTTACTCTAAAATTATGATTCCTATTTTTCATTCTAGATTGCGGAAATTCTGGGCGAAAACAATATTACGGAAACATCCACAACGTGCCCCCAAGACGAGGATGGACTAGAATGTCGTAGAGCTGAAGCGCGCAGATCGGCAGATTGTCCTCGTGGTGAGTATTATTGTAATTATCGGAAATTGCATGTACATTCACAGCCGCATGCGTGTTCCTGCAATTATGAAAACAAAAAGAGATTAAATTTCTACAATTTTCAACCCATTATTCTTCTCGATAACAATGAACCATGACCTTGGTTACTATACAATAATAAGCCACTCCCGAACGACATTGCCGATCCTCCAAAGCGATAACTCCACCGAATAGAGAAAAATGTTGAATCGTCATGATCTCCGGTAAAACATAAAATACATTCCACATCAACGCGCGTACCGTGTTTAATATTAATTCAGTCCTTCGCCTTTTGTATCCGGAACTATCACGGGTAGCCAGCGGCAAAATTTAGGTAATGGTGACAAAGTCTATATAAGATAAGTAAATCATTGAGCAAAACCTTGAGATCAATTCCTGGTTGTACTGATTTATATGGAAATTCTTTGATACCAGAATTTACGATTGTCAACAAACCTTCTACTCATAGTAGTTATTTACGGATTCTATACACAAGGTATATAGTAATAGATCCTCTTTCAGGACTACCAAAAATAATTTTTCAAAATACTTCAGACTGTATACAAGATCGTTATGAAATTCCAATGCATAGAAAACGTAATTTTCTAATCGTACCCTGAGCTAGAAAAGAATTATTCATAAACCACATATATGCCTTCTCTTCGCAGGTGACTGTTATTGCAACAACTGTGCATCAGCCGGTCCCGAATTGTGGGCCTCATGCTGTCGCGAGGGCGTGCGTTGCTGTTCACACCTAGCAGCAGCATGTCGGACTTGCGACCAGCCGAGCCTCTATCCGTTCTGTTCTAAGCACTTTAGAAGGTGTCTGGGACAGTTGAACGAAAAGAAGCAATAGAACTAGGTGGTTTTAAGGTGAAAACAAAATTGTTCAGCGTTAAGATATCGTTTGCTGACGAACGGACGTAAGAAAGTGACAGAGAGACAGAATCGCACCGCGAATGTTAATCCGAATAAAATGATATACTCAACTTTCAAGCCCGTAAACGTCCGTAAGATCATTGCGTAAGGGACATCCAGTACGAAACAGCATATATATATGTAAAAACATGAGTACATAGGTGTACATAAACATACAACATTCGTGTCTATTGACTGGCTAAACTGGGTCGTAAAGTCGAGGCAGTCCGGTGGGTTTCGTTTTTTTTTGAAGGTAAAGTTTTCTTTTCAGTTTCCTTAATTTTCTGTATCCTTGTTATTTTCTGCGTTTCCCTTTCATTTGCAAAGCGTCGTTCACCTCTTAACGTTGATCAGTCAACAGTTATATGAATTGCTTGTAAATATATATTTTTACTTCCCTTTTAAATTTGTTCACTTTCTTTTTTTGTTCGTACACATACTCACCATTACGCTTAGACGCATATGTGCGACTTTTGCCTTGACAGTTTAAAATAAAATCTTGAAATACAATCATTGACAAGCTTTATTCGTTTACCTTTCGTAATAGTTTATTGGATTATTGTTAAATTTATCGATCGTACGTGGAAGGAAGGACATATAGATTCCTTTTTTTTTTATGTTGACGAGAATGACGATGTTCAAAGGGAAGCAAAAGGATTCCACGTGAGTGACTAAGATGAAAAGAAAAGAGAAGAAATAAAACGAACAAAATGCTCTAATCAAATTTGACTACGTTATCATCGGTTTACAAACAAAAAAATGGTACATTCGTCTCGTTTTAACTCTTTTCGTATCTTCTAACTTTTTTTTTCGTATAAATATTTTTGACTTTGGAAGTGCGTGCGAGTGCGTGAATAACATTCCTGTTTTTCATCCCTCACGAATCAGTAGCACCGTAAACAGCGGAAAAACACACACATACAATATTAAACTTTTATATTCCCCGTCTAGCGTTGGACACGTAGATATAAAAAAAAAAAAAAATAAAACAAAAAAAGAAATAAAACAAAAAACAAGTATTATCACTTCCTGAATAAGGGACGCACGATCACTCATAAATTACGCGAATCTAATTTTTGGACGATTTTTAACGAGCGACGGCTTTGCTTTATCTTCGATTTGAACCTTTTTCTCTTTGTTCGTTACTTCGGTCGAACATTCTATTCTTTTTCTTTACATTATTCGTCGATATGTATCTCTCTATTTCTCGATTGGCCATTATATTAATAATCAACGTCCGCACGCGTCTATCACGTCTTTAACACGCAAATTAATCGTACGAAACTTGCCATGCGTAAAACATAGGAATGCGTATGTGCATACATGTACTCTTCTGATTTATCATCCATTTGATTGAATTTTTTTCTGTTTTATTATTTGAAGGTCGACAGAACCGTGAACCCGGTGACGCGTGATCTTGCACATCGGCCAAAGGAAAGATTAGCATCCTTGGGATACGTCTATGCCAAAACTGAATATACAAAACACAGATAGAAAGAAAGAAAGAAAGAAAGAGAGAGAGAGAAAGAAAGAAAGAAAGAGAGAGAGAGAGAGAGAGAGAGAGAGAGAGAGAGAGAGAGAGAGAGAGAGAGAGAGATTTCAATATCTATTATGCAGATTGTAAGACTTATTTACGGCGTACCATATACGTAGAGAGTACTTTTGCATATTTTGTTTGCTACTTTCTTTCGTTTCTCTTGAAGTAGCTCGAAGAACTATCATGGTAGTACAAAGGGGAATTATGCTAAATGTTTATGTATATGTGTACGTATGAATGGCTATAACGTGTACATGTATGTATTTTTCGCTCCCTTATCATTGTCGTTTCATCTCTCCCACTCTCAACCATCCTTTACCTATTTCCTTTTTGTTTTTGGTAAATTCTCTTATCTTTTTGTGTAACCGAGAAACATCGAGACTACAAAAAGAAATGTCTAACAGCATTGACATTTTGACGGTTGTAGAAGTTTAATTTTATGTTTGTCTATGACTGTTTTTGGATTAACTTGGTTTCCGGTATACAAAGTCGTGTGTACAGAAACATATCGATTGTTAGATGGGCCCATTATAAAATTAAGTTTAGAAAGAGCAGTTGCTTTCGTGGGAAAGAATTCAAATGTGAAATGAATGTATGGTCGCGGAATGACGCGGTCAAAGAGACAAACGAAAGTACTGGTATTATCCAATTATTAAATACTCGAGAGAATAGAAGTATGTACCTTTTTTTGTTTCACATATTATATTATATATACACACATATACTATACTCGTAATAAAAATCTTGCGATACAGCAACACTCTCGGAGCTATGCAAAATGTTACAAATGCGAGATTTTTCTTCAGTTGACCTCATCGTCACTTTCGTCAAAGATCAGACACGCAAATGCTTTGCTAATTGCTTTTTTAAAGAAATATAAAGAAAGAATGAAAGAATGAAAGAAAAAAACCCAGGAAGAACAAACTCGTCGTCAAGGACACACTGGCTGTTTCTACCGTGCAGAGTTTAAACAGAGTTAACCAACCAGGTATAGGAGTTGAATGGAATTGACCAATGAGGCTGCTTAACTCCTGTTCAAACTTTGCACGGTGGAAATTAAGCCACTCAGATTCATACATACGTTTATACACACACTTTTTTGTTGTTTCTTTTGTTTTTGTGGGCGAGCGCGACAAGGTTACGTCAACGTTCATCTTAAAAAATAGCTAATTTTTGCAAAAAAAAAGAAGATACGTAAAGTACAGGTACTACCGCAAGACCATGGGTATGTGTGTGCGTTGCGTGTGTTCCATGAGCGTACATAAAATTTTCTGACCAACGGAAGAGATATTTACTTTTTTCTTCTCGTTTTTAATTCTACTAATTGTGAAAGATTTTTCCCATTTCTGTCATTGCTCCTTGCTGCTTACTCGATTCACTCGGTGCACTTGATCTTTTCGCGAGTGCGTTATTCTCGTGACCCCCATTCATTGTTATTGTTAATTAATCATTACGAACGAGTTAATCGTAGAACACTTATTACTGTCTTAGAGCTTTACAAATTCCTCCATTCTAATTGCAATATCGTATAATAATTGTTAATAATTATGTTTACTCCTGAGAGTGCATAACATGCCGATTTCGTCAAACCATATTCATTATGCACCCGTTCGTTTATTAGCGTTCATTTTTTTTTCAAACTCCTTCGAGCTCTTCATTTTAACTTCATTCATAAAGACCCTTGGCCTTGCACACGTGTTAACCTCAAAATAACCTCTTCCTGGAAAGAGCAGTCAAACACACGTAGTAGTACACAGGGACCTCTTATTGGTAGGAATCTCATTACTAGTACGATAAACTCGGCCGTATAACGGCCAAGATATTTTTTTCTAGATTAAGATTATAACGGTTAAAGTAAACTGTACGCGCAAATGACGACATTTACAGGAAATAAAATATATATGCTATGATAATTGGAGAAATCTTTAATGAGCAAATTCGACAGCTTTCCAGGTTGAGTTAGGTTATGGCTCGTGTGTCTATTCGTATCTTCGAGATTCGCGCACGGCAACGTTGGCTTATATTCCTTGTTGTTGTTATTATTATTACTCTCGAGCACCTTCGGTTGCGAGTCCGCGCGATTCAATTATTAAAACAACCGCACTTGAAAACGTTTAGCGTTCAGCGTTTCGGCACGTCCGTCGGTTACGTCTTCCAATTGTGAGGATGAGCCCGCGGTGGGGCCTGACTTCCTTGCCCTTGGGATGCTTGCGAGGGTATCATGTCAAGCAAGTATTGACGCTGAAGATCAGCAGCCTGCCGTTGTAACTCGACGAGGCCCTTGCCTCCGGCGGCCTGCGCCATCGCTAGCTGATAAGGATATAGGATCGGATTGAATGGCGGCATCATGTGCGCTGGTAGCGGCTGATGCGGCGGCAACCCAGAAACTGGATTCTTCGCCAATTCTGCGAATAAGATTCGTCAGGTATAAGTTACAGATATAATAATAATCATGGTTTGGTTAGGTTATAATATAGACAACTGCATCAAAAAACTGACCTCTGAGTAATTGCTGCTGAAGGGCTGCCGCAGCGGCAGCGTGATGAGGACTGAATTTTCCACTTTCGGCGAGCTTCACCAGAGGATGCTCTTGGAGTTTTGGTGCAGGAGGCGTTGGCGCTGGTGGTGGCGCTTGAGGGACCTGCGGTGGCGGCGCAGGTGGTGTCGCTACTCTTCTCGTAGGCGTAGCCGCCTTCGGAACCGGCTTTGGAGCTGGCGGATCCGGACTTGGACAGGCTGCTTGGGCTAATCGTTGCTCTATTTCCTGTTCTTGTTGAAGAGCCTTCACGAAAGCTGTTTTTAACCGGTTAGTGTGTTCCGCTTTGAGTGCCTTCTTTACATTGGTCGTTACACAGTGCTCACAAATGACCCTGGGATCACGACCAGCTGGTGGTCTCTGGAACGTCGCATGTTGTCCCCTAGGTCCTTCCTTTTTACCACTGCTCGCTGGTTTCTCCCACTTCCAGACGGGTGTGAAGTCTGTCTTGCACTGGGTACACTCGAATGGTTCCGGCGGAGGTGGTATAGCTGGCTCTTTTGTAATAAAGTCGACGACGTGCTCTAACCCGACGAGATATATGAACTCCGTGTTCGAGGGATTCGGCACGAAGTGCATCTCTGGGGGTGGTGGTTTTGGAGGAGGTATTTGAAGAAGGGTCTTCTCCAGCTGCTTTCTCAAAGCCAATTTCGCAGCCGCCTGACGTTGAGCCGGGGTTTGGTTATCCTCGCGTGGCCTTTCCTGTATTCATAAAAAATAGTGCGATGCGAAAAATATTCCGAGAATTTCTATTCTTTGTTTTTTAAACAAAAATGACGAATAACATCGACATTCGAATAGCGAAAACAAAAATTACGATTAGATGCAAATCAATTGAGTTTTTGTTTCGTTTAGAACAAAATTATCATACTCGATGAATTATATGTAGCAGAAGAGAACCAGAAAAAAAAGTATACGCTCCCTACATAAAACAATAATCTCGCAATAATTTCTTTTGTAACATGGAACCAGCTTTTTGTATGTACCTGTTCGGGTATTGGGGTGGGTGTATTTATCGGTGGCACAGCTTTATTTTCTTGACTTCCAATAAGCTGCTTTATGATTGTACATAAAAATATGACAATTATTCGCCAGGTAACATGAATAACTAATTCATCGCGTTAACTATATCCCTACGCCAGGGAACCAACTAGTCTCAGAGTCGATAACTTCAGCGTATCTCGACCACCTAGCCCATGCCATACTGTCTATATATCTTGGTTAGATATACAAATTCTTAAAATAGACAGGACATACGAATAGGTCGTGTACGAGCACGTAAAATGTTACGAAAAGTGCAATACAAAAAGAAATGTGTACACACCTGGTGAGCCGGAGCCGGAGTAGGGTCCTTCGTAGACCTTTCAGTCCTATCAGCTGGTGCATGGTAACTGGGAACATTAGGTGTACCAGTGGTGGGCCTTCCTCGAGAATGAGGTGGCTGTGGTATCACCATATTCGGTGGCATGCCCGTACTCGAAGTCGCACTACGTCCGGCTGTCGGTGGAAGTAGCATTCCTGGAGGCGGCGCATGTAAACTACTACTTCTACTAGGTGCAGGTTGTCCTCTGAGTAACGGTGGTGGTGCCTTGCTTGCCCTGTGACTAAATATATCCTTCGCGTCAAGAAGATCCTATACCGTGTACCCAACAATGCCATCTACGTCAGTAACTCCCCTGATACTTACCTATGAGCTGCTGGCTGAATCGTAACTGGTGGTGGTAATTTACTCGGTACCTTCGGTACCGCTGCTATATTCTCCTTAAGCTGTTGAGACTGTCGAAGCTTCTTCAGGAGCACTAACTTCATTTCCTCCGACCTGAGCTCTTCACGCAATTTACGCAGTGTTCTCTCGCGCTCGGCTAACTCGTCGGAAGACAGTTCTTTGATCGGAAGTAACGGCGGCATATCTCCTATGAAGGAACAAGTGGTCTTTGAAACAGTTTCCATTTAACCTGAATATTTCAGGGATAACCTATATTATTAATTTTATCGTCGTAAATTACCTTCGTCGCTATCTGAAGCATTTCCATTTAAATAGCCATTAATACGTGGTTCGTCCGGACTCTCAGCGTAACTACGTTCTGTCCGCGGCCTTAGATTACGACGTGGACGCCTATCGTCGCCGGACTTTGGTGCCAGGATGCCTCTCGCAGCATTTTGTATATTTCGTGCTTCCGGCATATTATTCTCCAAACTTGGATTAGAGAAGTGTATTCCTAGATCCAACGGAGCTCCCAAGTCGCCAGAATTTGTTGACACGGACGGGGAGTCCCTTCTTCCGCTACTGCTGGAACAAGATCTTTTCAATACCAATTTCTTTTTAGCTATGTCAATATTCGACAGTTTTACTAAAGATATATAACTAGTGAATATTGCAGGTATATACTATGTATAGCACTCGTGGATCGCGATAAGAAACAAGTTTTTTTTTCTTTTTTACGTAAGCATACATATCTGTACTAGAATTTTCTGTTGATAGGTAACTCTATACTTACAACATTCCTTCTTATTAAAGATAACACAAAGTATACTTCTGTCACATAAAAAAGAATTAGAAAATATTAAAAACAAAATCTATCGACATCACGTACCTGACACTTAGGTCAACTACAGCATCCCCATCCAAGTCCATGGCTTCCATTCTCCCCAGTGCAACAACCCTGTAACAATATTAACATGAGCAACCCTTAAAAGTCACAATACTAAAAATGTATACACAATACTTAGTGTTAGTGAATTCATAATAGAAATCATTAACAAAATCAAGTGTTAAATTTTAACAGAGACACAGTACCTTCGTTAATACGTGAGGTATAAAGTACTGCCAATAGTACTGTATAAGGTAACCGTTCGGCAGACAAGTACTATTCTAACCTCCACGGGTTAAAGTCTGTTTGAAAACGCGGCACAACCCTACCACCCACATATTACCGTAGCACTCAAAATGTTACTACAGAGCGATATAAGAGCCAACTCTCCGTGGAAGATCCTAGATGAACGTACACTAGAAAGTCGCGGAAGTATTCGAATGAAGTGCGAGCGTGGAATTGAATTTGATGCTTCGGAAGTGGCGTCTCGGCACAATGGCAGCTAAGCGTAGCGGTACGAGACTCGAAGCGGGTAGGCAGGTCCGTACATAATAACGGGAGACGAACGGGGCCCAAAGCAAAGCGGCAGTAGTTTTCAGGGGTTCTCAGGGAGTACCAGGAAGAAGAATTAATGATATTAATAGCAGTGGCATAGTATCTAACAAAGAAAATAATATCGGGTACTACTACTGCGCATATCAGCTGCTTCGAGAAATTGCTAAGTCCTACTACTATCCTTTAAGCCATCCTCGTGGCACCCTGCGAGGATGATTGACAGAGTTTGAAAATACTTCAATAAAGTTTCTATAAGAACGTTAGGGTCATCACCGTAGTCAGTTGTATCTAATATCATTGCTATGTAATATTTTCCTGTATACACATGCTTATACATCGTAAAAAAAATATATCCCACTCTTACGGTTTTCTAGGAATTTTTGCAAATTATGACCATCGCTCTGTCGCCTACCGGTTGAAACGACCACCTTCACGTCAAGAGCCCTACGGGAAATCGATTTTTCAACCGGGACCACGGCCAGCCAGCCCTGGCCACCCATTCTCACCCCACGTTCTGATGTCTACCACCCACGAGGTGTATTTGCGGTGATTTTTTATTTTCTTTTTGGTTCACCCTCCATCGTCTCATCCAACCAACGGTTCCCTAGTTATACGATTTTCCTTGTAGTATACTTTTCCTCCATACGTTATTCTTCATAAATCCGTATGCGCATACGTTTATACGTGGCCGTTTTCATTAACTTAGAATCTTGTGAATATACCGGCCTAACGACCTCTCGACGTATACATGGTCCTGTATTATAACGGTGGCAGTACACTCTGCCTAATTCCCGCCCCATTTTCTTACAACCGATCACGTGACTATCGGCACCCCTGGTATGACGCTTCTCGCACTAAAATTGTCCAAAACTGTGCTAACAAGATGTTTTCTTCTCTCTTCCCTTCTCCTCGCCCTTATTAGTTATCCTCTCTTTCCTTCAAGAACATCAATAACGTTTTTACCGCGTATTTTTATCACTGTTATGACAGCTGACAGACTACAGCATGAGAGAAATTTTCATAGTTTCTCCAATTATTTCGCAATTGCCAGATATTTCATAGATTTGAAATTTGACTAAGTTACACAATATTTGGTATAGTATACATAATAGGCTTATTTTAAAGTTAATCATTTCTCGTCATAGCCAAACATTCTGTACATACAACAATGTATTTCTTGATCAAACAATTATTTTGACACACAATACGCCCACAACTCTCCAAGCCGGTACGTACCTGTTGTTACGACGAAGCTTCTTCCGAGTATGCGTAAATCGTTTGAACACACAATCCTATCCCAAGGAATTTGGTGGGAACGAACGGAGAAACGAAATCGGCTTAGCTGCCAGTAGAACCCATACAGATCGACAGGCAGACAGACGTAATGAAATCTTGTCGAATGAGCCAACCAAGCAGGCAGGGAAGCAGCCGGTTAGCTTTCCACTGTGTCGTGGATCTCTTACTACACTAGTAATACACTAGTACACCGTAGTACATCGAAGTACACTAAAGAGTACACTATTATATACACTAGAGGCGCTACGCGCCACGCATCAGCACGAAGCTCAGTAATCTTAGTGGCAGGGCTTGTCTCTTTTCCTTCTTTAATCCAGATATTACTTGATTTGTGTATAATTTCACAATGAGATTAGATGGCGGTACACTGTACTTTATGCAAGTAACTTTTCTACCACTGGGTATATACCGAAAGGCGCACACCACAAGGAACAGTAAATCTTCAACAACATATACACTTTTCTACAGACACGAAATCGTACACGCACGACAATTTCGGCACGTTTCCGCGAGGGCCCCTCGCACCCGGGTGTCGTACATCCTCCGGGAGGATTGACCGAACTCGCGGACAATTCCTGGTGATCCGGGAACTCGCGATGTCCCGTAGGGGATAGTACTTGAGGTCGTGTACCCGGTAACACGGCCGTAGATATTCCGTTTTTTTCAAGGAAAAAATTTCTCGCGGCGCGCCTCCGCGCAAAAATTAACGAAAGTGATTCAATATGGCGGACTTATTCTGCTGATGTTCTTTTGCTCCCTCTAGGTGGAAATCCTGGGCTCTATCCCCACTCCATTAAGCACAACCCCTTCCACGTGAACCATAGCCACTGCCACCACTGCCGACCACATAAACCGACCCACCAGGGAAGTGCCGCCTCTGCGCTACGGGGCTTACCGGAAGGGCCCCAGGGACTTCGTTAATACCAAACCACTACCAAACGAGATTGACAATTGTCTAAACAAATCCCACGTGCTTCTGCGCATTCCACTCGACACGCGCCCACCACTACATGCGCGTGCGAAGCGCGCGCAACTGCTGACACTTCCCCACTACTCGAACGTCTATAGGTAAGATGCTCCCCACTTTCAGCCACCTTCTCAACAACAGCCAATCAGAAGAGACCCCGGGCCTTTCGAAAATCCACCTAGAGCGATCACCAGTGTGTCACAGTGCGTCAAGGAGCGCTTCAAGATGCAAGTTTTATGCGCTCCTTGACATTCCGCAGATCTATACTAAATTAAAGGATATAATACATGAACCTAGATATTATACCATACATGGATTTATTAATCGATATATTTTTTAAAATTGTTTTATACATGCGAGAGAATTTTTATTTCTATTACAGCAATAAGGTAAAAATGATCGACTGTTTTTTTTATGGATTCGAATGAAATATTTCAGAAACAAATACTGATGGTTAATGTTTTTTGTTCGATACATGGGCATGTGTACATTAATCTTGTTTTTATGATCGTAGAAGTACAATGAAATACGACGGAGTGACTTTTCAAAAGTATCCTTGGCAAGGGCTGGCACTTGCTGTGACAAGACGCATGGCGGCATTGCGTCCTCTAGAAACTCATAATACTGTGTACATATATATATTTTTTGTTATATATATATACACATACCTGCCTGCATCCTTCTGGGAACCCCCCAGCCCGCCAAATATTCGCTAAATCCTCATATTAACTTTTATACAATATTTTCCCGATAATGAAATATATAATCTATATATTATCGTACGAGCATTCGATCGTTCCTTTATTAATGCGTATGACGATCGAGAAACTTGTACACGCATCACGACAATACGCGATTCGCGAGCGAATACGTATTATTGTTATAATATATATTTGTTTTCGCATACTAAACACAGTTCGTTGAGGATTCACGAATTCCTTCCTCCCACTCCTCTTCGCCCTGGCTTAGTCATTGTATCAATTTTCCTCTTTACTCTAAACCTACAGCACGTTTACAATGGCGATTAATCACACACCGACGAATCGCATGTGTAAAACGTTGCTAAGAATGCGGTGCACGTGCGTCCAAAAAATTTACGGGACGCTAAAATTAAAAAAAGAGTAAAAACACGAAATCGAAAATAAAACATGATAGCAAAGCAAAAGTAAAAAGAAGAGAGGAACAAAAAAAAAGATGTAGAGAAAATTATATAAAATATACACAGGCGTATGTTATGGGTGTGTGATTATTGATATATTATATCATAGGTGCTTATATGTATATAGACTGTATAAACATTATATATATATATATATATATATATACATATATATATATACATATATATGTATATAATATATAATTTATAACGACAGACTCGACATGGAGCAACCCCGCGGGACTTTACGGGGAATCAAAGAACCAAAATGTTTATCTCGACAAAGGCCACACGATAACGCTATTTTCTTTTAATCCATTTACATCCTTCATTATTTTTCTTATATTTTACCGTTAATCTCATATAATTGCTCTCTCACTTAGTCGCATGTCTTGTCATTCACTTTTCGTTGTCCCATTGTGCAATTGATTATTCGTCATAGCGTCACCTCGTGATTACACGAAAATAAAGTACATTCAAGTTAACTATCTCCCTCTCCCTATACGCCTGCCCTCTCTCTCTCTCTCTTTCTCTCTCTCTCTCTCTCTCTCTCTCTCTCTCTCACCCTCTATCTCTCTCTCTGTCTCTGTCTCGCATTCAGGCATTTTCTTCAGGCTCACTGATGTATAATACCTCCTAATCGAGTTACTTCGCTATACTCTGAACTATTATTTTTTTGCGTGTATATTGGTTTGCCATTTTTCGTCTTTCTCATTCTGTCTCTCTCCCTCTCTCTTTACTTCTTCATCTTTCTCTCAGTACTCGCATATCACTTGCCTGTCACTCTTCCTCGCTTGCTCTCTTACAACTGGTACAGAATCTCGATGCCAGCGTATATACAGTGATAATTTTGTCGCACTTACTGGCTGCTTGAAAAATTGCCAAAAATTCTCGTTCTTTCTCCCTCTCTTACGTACAGCTTTCTCTCTCTCTCTCTTTCTCTTACCCATACAGTACACGCTTGAAAAGTTATAAATCAACGATTCTCATAAGATTCACGTATCTTTGGAATGAATGTACCTTGCTCAGAGTATAGACGACTGTTATTTCGTGGTCACTTCTTTTATTATCATTATTATCATAATAATAATTCTATTTACTTCCCTATCTCTTAAAACGGAAGGGTGCTGCCTGAGTGTCTCTATATCCATATATATAGATATCCGTGCTGCACAATATGACACGTGTTTTTTTTTTTTCATATCTTAACCGTGTGTATAATCTAACAATAGGTGTAATTGTCCTGCGTTTTTTTAAATAACTCCAAGTTTCGCATTTTGCTCATTTGTATCGTACGCCATTACGGCGATTTCTAACAGCGTTACAAGCATGCAGAGTGGCATTGTCGTCGTAATCGTCACTACACATTTCTTTCAAATAGGAACTTATAATACTGCTCGTGGAGGCCCAAAGAGTACTCGTTTGGGTCATATAAAAAAAAGTCGTTCTCGTTTCCCAAAGCATACGGCATATCTATGCATATCTATACTATATGCATAACCCAAGTTCCCGTGTACTGGGGCCAATTCCACAGTTTCCTCTTTATTTCTTTTTTTTTCTTATTCTCATCGTTTTTTTTTTTTTTTTTTTTACGGGGCACCAACAAAAACATACTCATCTACATTTTCATCATGGAATGATCGCTCTTACTCATACTCATCTACATATGTTTTTCTGTATGACTTCGTAGCTTCATGCATTTATATAAATAAAGTATACGTGCGTTCGCGCTAATCTTTTACTTTTTTTCTCTCGTTCCCTCTCTAATAAAAGAAACGAATAAACAAAGAAAGAAGAAACGAGCATCGATCATTCGTTCGCAAAGCACGCCGGTTAACCAACCACGGATAACTCATGGAATGTCGCGGTTTTCGCGGTGATCGGCGGTCCTGGTGCGACTAATCGATTTTCAAAATGACAATCGATCGATCGCAGCAACGATTTTTGCCCCGTACCTTTGCTCCCCTCATGTCTCGATGACGGTGCAAACATCGTCGTATCGGCGAAGTAGCAAAAAGTTCGAGTAGCGCAGGTACCTTCATAAACGCGGATGTCCGAGCTGATTAGTTATTGAATTAATTGCTCAATCAATACACCTCTAATCATTATATATTTTTTTCATCGATTCCCTCCATCAAATATCGATCGATGGAATCGTCATCGTAGACGACGACAAGAAAAAACCATTGCACTCGTTTGGGAAATTCTCTCTCTCTTCCCAGTCCTTCCCGTCCTAAACGATTTTGTTTCTTCTGCTTGTTATCATTGTTTAAATAGTTATTATTTTATCACAGATCTTTTATTCGCTCGCCCTATATCCTTACGGCCCACTCGACTCTATAATTCATCCACGCTCGCAACATGCAAATATCTTAAATATCTTCAAAAGTACCCGGGGTCTGACTATTTTTACGCATCTCATTCACTGACTACGTCGCTTGATCGTCGCTTGATCACATCGAGCCCCATTTTCGACATTTCACTCTCGCTACGGATATCAATTATGTACAAAGTGGACGTGGACTTCATCGCTTCTGTATCATTTTACTCGTGCTCACTCTCGCTTCGCTTTTCACGTTCGTTCGATCTAACATTCACACGATCGCCCACGCGTTACCTCGGCCCTACGTTTTCTTCGATCGCCAGCGATTTCGCGGCTTGTTCATTTGATACTTATCATTTGTTCTTTCGAGAATTATCGCAACCCATACCGTTACTCGCTTTCGCTCTTGTGTCGCAGCTCTCTCACTAAGGCCTGCCTTAGTAGAAAAATATACAATCGCATCTTAAAAAATAGATCTCGGCATTCTGTTAATACTTCACTAACGTTCGTTTGATATTATACAGTATTTTTGATTCGTGGCAGGTTCGTATCTTCGTCTCAAAGGGATATTAGTTGGCTCTCAAGGTATTTGTGTTTCCTCTCTCTCTCTCTCTCTCTCTTACTCTCATTTCATCACAAAACATATTCATCATTCGAGTGAGCTTCAGGGCTTATTTACTGCAGATCTCAAATATCTCGCATTACATATATATATATATATATATCGATATATAGGTGTTTTTTTGAAATATATCGATATATCTTGATCTCTCTCTTTCGCTCTCTGTTTCTTGCTATACTAGGTGTCATTACCGCCACTTTATTTAGTAAATCGTCGTCATCATGACGCACCATCTCATCTGCCATTGAGCTGTATCTACGCGTCTGTTATAATACAATTTGATGAATTTAAAAGGTAATGACGATATCTTCGATCAGCTGGGATAGCTTATTATCGTTAGATACGAATTATCGTAACAGATTGTGAAAGAGATGGGAATAAGATAGTTAAATAATGAACGAAATTTGCACGAGACTTCAATGGAGATGGTGCCCATACGTAATGTATGCTTAACGTATATTATGTGTGTAAGTGATAATTATGTTTTCTTTGTTTGCCTTTGTGATTCTTAAATTCCTTGTAAAATGCATTCGTTCTCACTCTAGACATTCGGATATCCGTTTCTTTTTCTCTCTATATTCATTGCTACGAATTTCGTCAATTTTCTGCCTACGATCGGCTCCACGATCGATATAAGAATAATGATCAGGTCAATGACGATGATATCGTGAAAGAAGTATAACAGAAGGAGAAGCAATAAGAAGTTGAAGAAAAGAGACATAAAACAAGGGAAAACATAAGAGACGGTAAAACGTGATGTAACGTGATCAAAAATAGAAAATAAATAAACCATAAGTGTAAACGATCGAAACAAATTTTTCACGGTTAACACCCTTCTCTGTGGTCTCACTCTTCCTTATTTCACGGACTCTCTAATATATATCTGTAAGTCATAATGTTTCAACGAGATACATACGGTATCTGAAGAGAAGACGTAAAGACGTTTTTGTCGCGCACGACAATTTCTCCCTGCAGAGAGCTTGACGTATATTTCCCTATGCTTTTTGTATATTCTCACGTGTCTTCCTTCTACTTCTCCTTCTTTTGATTTTAACCTGACTTATTTTACGCGTTATTCCCTCGTCAATTTATCTACATACAGTGGGCTCGAGAAGAAAAGTGGAGGGCCGCGAGCAGTCTCGTATTTTCTTGTCGAAAATCACGCACCCGTTTCAAATCGTCGTGGACTTAAACTTTATCTTGTTTTCTTCTTTAGTTTTGGTGGGGGTTGTTCGTCGCGTGACAAAATCTTACTGCACGATTGAAATCAATTTTTATCGCGACTCAGGTACATATTAAGGCCCGTTTTTTTTTATTTCGTCCTACGCCTTCACTCTCTTTTCCCCTCCAACCCGTCCCACCACCTTTCTTCTTGACCTTTCACCGTTATCCCCTTAAATTTGCCGTCTTGGACAGCCACCAGTTATCCTTTTTTTTCTTTCACCCAAACATAACATAAAAATAACAATAAAAAAGACATTCTCTCTCTCTCTCTCTCTCTTTACACGCTTGTTTGACTTTCTCTCAATTTTATCTCGGCTCACCTTGCTTCTCTCTCTTTCTCTCAATCACACACACGAACACAGACGCGCGCGCGCGCGTGGTCTTCTATCGCTTGCTCTTTCATATACACGTGGTTTTACATTATTATCATAATTATTTTGTCTGTTTCTTGACTTTGCGCGCAACCTCACGACGTAAGTAGGTTTTATAATTTTTGTCGTTTTTGTTTGTTAAATAGTCTCTCGCCTTCTCATCTCTTTGTTGCTCTCACGTAAACAGAGGACGTACTCGATCACAGTGTGTATAAAATGAAAAATTAGTGTTGTGTACGCGGCACATAAGAACGATATACGACGATCATAATAATATTAACAATAATAACCATATAATAATACACCGACTCGAAAAAGTAAATAGCATCTCAGAATAGTTAACTGTATAATATATAAGATTGCTGTTCTGGTGTGTATATATATATATATTTTTTTTAATTCTCCTTGCACGATCTTCTATGTTAAGCGCTGTCAATTTGCGCGTCTTGCATCTTTTTTTTTTCTTTTATTTAATTATCATCTACACCTTGTAAACAATTCAAAATATTCCCGAAGAATCGTACGACAGAAACGGATGCACCTGCTCTCGTGTCTGACTTTTCATATTCGTTAACGTTTCTCACATATATCTTCGACTTTGAATTCCAACCTCGTCAGTTTTTACTTTAGGAAATTGAATGCATGCAAGGTCTTTTTTTTTTTGGAGGTATTCATTGTGCTTCCACACGATATCTTTTGCGCATTTCACGCGTTGCACTGTACGTCAGCGCGTTATTTTCATTCAAGTCGTGTCTATATATATACGGACACATACATATATACATATAATATGTATATACATAGACACACAATATATGTATACACATATTACATAACGTATATACGGAATTTACATATATATATATATAGTATATTATTAGCAACTAATTCAACTAGTTTACAGTTAGCTTAGCATTCATTCGACAGTCCGTGCCGCGTAAATGAATGTAAAAGTTTACATTTTATTATTAATATATATGGTGTGTTGGCCGATGATAAACTTTCCATTCAACTTCGCGACGCGTTCTGCCCACGAGGATACTTCATACACGTTTTGTTTCCTTCATTTATCAATTTTTCTTTGCTTTTCTTACTTTCTCCCTTCTCTCTCTTTTTCTCTCTGTCTTTACACGGTGCGTCCGATTGGTTTTGGTATTAAAAATAACCTCGGATCGCGATTCGATATTACATCGTGTTCGAGCGGTCGAGCTCGTTTCATTTGTCTAGGCGAGTCACATCATTTTTTTTTTTCTTTTAAAATATTTCTCAGACTCATACATGCACGCAGACGCCCACTACTGTCTCTCGTTCTTTCTTCTCTTTCTCCTCGTATCCTTATAACGCTCTCGACTTGCTTTTTGTCTCATGCATACGCCCATTCATGCTTTTACAGTCGTGCACACGTATCAACTACAAACTAAATTCCAGCAAGTTGGAAAAATATCTGTCATCGCGTCTTTCTTTATTATTGGCTTATGCTTTTAACGCTTTCCTCTTTTTTTTTCTCTTGTTAACAACGGAATATTTTCATCCTGACGCGTATCTTATACTCTTTTGTTTTCTCACTTGCTTCTCATGGAAGATGACACTATCGCGCATAACTGGAGGCGCGTGTTGTTACTATTTGTTGTCATTATTGTTGCCCGGACCCATTTGCTTTTGTCACTACATTAATCTCTCTCGATGTTGATTAATACTCTCTCGTTATTTTCTATCTTTATTGCCCGGTTATCTTGAATGCCACTCATACGTGTCCCTATCTTCTATCTTCCATAATTTCTTGGATACTTAATACAGCTAGTTCATTGGATCCTTTGAGTCTAGATTACCCTGCGGTACAGGTTTAGGTTACTACAGGCCATTCAAGTCGGCCCTGCTGTCTACACACCTTTGTCAGTGTTTCTGATAATATATCTGGATAGCATCCATATAACTGGGACTCTACATTAAACATTCTGTCTCTCCCTGCGTACATGCAGCAGGCACGGAAACGGTAAACTATATCGGTTATCGGTGGGCTTATATACTTTCAAAGTGTTTTAGTCTCCTTGTTTCCGTTTCACGTTGCTTCTGTATCTTTATGGCTGCAGGATAAATGGGAGAAACTGGTCAAATTTGCGAGAGAGACTGTACAACAGTTCGATCATCGCGAAAATATATATATGGGGCTTACGGTAGGTCCGGGAACAGGAGGACAGTCGCGATAATATATATGTACCTCCATGCAAATAAATATTGAGGAATATAAGAAAGAAGCACAGCCCGGCATATATATACGTACATATATACATAATATATATACGTTCATAGATATAAATGTATATGCACCCTCTAACGCATGTGGCTCCGCGATAATGTGCATCCTTGCGCGGATGTTTCGTTCAAGGGTCATATATTCTTTGTGTTGCCCATTGTGATATTTTTTTTTCGCCTTTCTATGCGGAGCCCGTCAATCATTTTACTGAGGGTGTTGAATGTTTATTATATCATTCTCTTCTTTCTTTCTTCTCAGTTTTCACGAGTCGTTTTTCGTTTGGTGTCGTTCCACTTTCATTTTTGGAAAAACCAAAAGCAATCCACTCTTGAGGATTATCTTTTCCATCACTTTAAAAGTGACGTGATCCTTGTTCACGTGATAATGCGATCACTTATCGTTTTCGTTTTAGTTTCGTTTTGTCGCGACCGACAATATTGGTACACTTAACGCTTTAAGGATCGTTGCTACTCTCGCGATTAATGGGTAATTCAATTAAAAAAAACATAACAAATAGAACATTACGCTCTTAGTTGTTGACCTGCCGTCACGACGGATCGCTTCCTTGGTACCTGGTGAATAATATAGTTTTCGGTGCTGACGGCTATCTGTTACCGATACATATTGGAGTTGATGATCTTTGATGACTTGTTGCAATGATGGTAGATATTACTCGTACCCAAGGTCGTCGACCCTTACTTCTGGTCGCGCAGGACCATTGGCATTATGACTTCTCTGCTGTCACCTTCATGTGGATCCATCAGGACAGTTGGTAATTCCGCGTCGGTTAACAAGTTCCAAGCACCACCCATTATCTCTTGAATTTCCTAAGAAATCGTTAAAATAAGTTCATCTCTCCATATTCCATTAGTTTGGGCATTGTCTATTATTATAGTGTACCATCGCATTATCTTTGTACTGAATACAGAGTGAATTTCTAATGAGAAGTTGTCAGGGTGAAAACTAGGAAATTCGGATCAGTGCGTTATACTAACTTTCTCACGGGCAATTAACACACTGGAGATGATGCATAGTTAGCTTGCATATGCTATGCTAATACGATAGTGATACTTACATTCCTTATGGCGGGTCCTTCGAACCAGAATGTTTCGTTTTCACTGGAAATGTCATTTTCAGCGAATTCCAGTCGTTCCAGAGTGCCTTCCCGTAGACGGGCTATGGCCAGGAGGTTCTCTTGATAATACTTGTATCCCAGAAAGACGATTTCCACGAGTTTCGTACATTTCCAAGCTAGCAAGACTAGTGGATCCGGGCTGCAAATCGTATGCTTGCATTATTAGTCGTGCAAGCTTAATATTAACTTCTCTTCTCTTACCTGTCTATATCATTTGGGTCATAAGTAACTGGGGAGTATGGCGCGGAATCTAGACAGTCTATCCACACTAGAGACCTCAGAGTATTTGGATACCAAGCTGCCAATCGATGAATTGCGTTAGCGTTAACTGTCTCACAAAATAGCACCTTCAAATGAGTTAGTGGCATTGCTGGTTGTAGAATATGCGAATCTAGGATGGTTACGGCCAGATAAGAGTGCATAAGGTTTAACCGGAGTTCACAGTGCGGACTGAAAGTAATATGAGTCATAAACATCACAATAATATTTACAATAGCTCAGTTCAAACAGATATGAAGTGTATACTCAATCTATATTTGCTTTTGAATTATACTCTCGCGACGTTAGCTCTCCTATTATTGATAAATGAAAGTATCGAAATACACGACTACACTGTTCTCCAAGTTGAAATATGACTAGAGGCATATAGCAAATTGATTAAACGAATATGTCGACTCACTTCTTTCCAACGAAGTTAATCCAGGAGTTATTTGTTGTTCCAGGATGATCTTCCTCATATCCATGCACATGGATTACTAGCCTCTCCATAAGACCACTATCTAAAGCCTCGAGCAAGCTGTTGCTCACATAATCATAGTCCACAGTTAAGTAAGATAATCTGACAAACGATCTGAACATGCAGCTGTCTAAGTCTGAAAGCACATAGTCGCCAGGATCATCTTTGACTGATGCTAGGCTTAGGTGCGTTAGGTGCTTCGCGTGATGACGCTGAAGTGACTCCATGATCGGACCGGCACTTGCCGTTAGATCTTCAAGACATCCAAAACTTAAGGCTTCTAAGCAATTACTGTTTTCCACGATTTTATGAAGTGATTCCATTATGTGAGTGCAGAAATATCGACTGTAAAAATAAAACATCAAAAAATGCATGTGTTGAATCATGAAGTCTGTCAGAAAAGATATACGAAAAATGCTTACTCTTTCTTTGTGCAATCTACACGCAGAGTGGGCCAATATAAGGTGCAGGAACTTGGTTCCAGGAACAATTTGCGTAAGTATGTATTTCCACCAAGCTTCTTTAAGAGCCTGGAAGCTTCCTTAAGACACCTATTGACTATGTCGCACCTTACAGTTGCCTCACGAACACTGAGTCCAAAACAATTTGTCATAAATCTGACACCAGACATATTGTCATCCTCTCGAAATCTGAAGGTGATCTTCTTCCAAAAGCTTGGATGAAATAAAGCGTATCTCCAATTTCTGCATACCTGTCGATCAAAGATGCACCACAATATAAAAATATACTAGGAATAACTGTGATAAAAAAAGAATAGTGATCTGCATTATTATTTTCAGTTATTTTTTTCTTAAATATCCGATAATATGGAAGGTCAGTGATGATAATAAATGTATATATATATAGTTGACCAACAACTTCTTCCTGCCCACCCAATAATAACAACACATACATATACACACACTCAGTGATTGGTACCAAAGCATCCAGTAAATCTACAGGGGGTACAAATCATCTTTGTAGCCACCTCACCTGTGACGCTCTTATTCGATTTTCTTGTGGCAGGTATGAAAATATCTCGAACAATATGACACTGGGTAGACTATCCCAGCAGGGGCTGTTATCTTCTTGCGCCATTTCTGTCGTACGATTTACACCTTTGCAGGACGAACAGCTGTTTGTCTTCGTCGAAGACAGATGACCCTCGCACTTTCTCATGGAGGCCTCAAGTTCCTCGGCCGCGTCGTTGACACTCTCCTCCGTCCGATTCGTCGTTTTTTCAATACATCGCAAACCATCCGTGATACACTCACCGCCCACCATCTTCAGCGAGGTTTTTTTCCTGATGCGCGATTATCCTAAATTCGCTGTCGCTTTCGTTTCTCGTTCCTTTACTCCCTGTCGCAACGCCTCTACGCCATATACGACTACCGCACACGACGTATTGCGTCCAACTCAATCCAACTGTCGCTGTCTCAGCTGCACCGTGCGCGAAAACAGCTCGTTTATTGGTTGAAACTTTATCCCTACCATTAAAAATCTCCCCCACCTTAGCACTTTCGCGCAAGGAAAGTGGCGCTATCTTTGTAATTTGCGCAGTTGCTTGCTGATATTACATATTGAAAAAAAATATCATATTTACATTTCTATAGAGTATTAATAAGGTATTTTTCATTTATTCGGGAAATTTAATGATATTTTATGAATTTCCGTCATTCACAAGGAAAATATTGAATATTTTCAGTTGTCAGAGTCGATTACAGATTTTATGTGTTTGCGTGACAGCGGTATCTTTCAAATATGACATTGACCGTGTTATTTGAGGTCCGCAGGTGCACAGCTGCGAAACAGCTGTGAATAGGGAACACGCGTAACGGACCGAATCAGACCGAACCATCAACATGGGTTTTGCAGTGAAACGTCAACCGGTCTCATCATATTATCATTCGTTTTACAACTAGGAACTTATAAATGACAGGAAATAATGACGCTCTCGAATTTACACGCTATACGACTTCTCATTTTCTGGATGATCCTCATTGTAGCACGCTTCGCATTTTGCGCTGAGGATACACAAGTGCTTGATATCGCTGAAAGCCCCGCCAGGAACACGGCCACATCGCCACACCCTAATCTTTTGAAGGAAATGCAAAATATCCAAGACCAACAAAAGTCTGCACAAATTACTAAGGATGAGAAATCAAAAGGTAATGGAACCTTAAAATCTGGGAAGAATCTAAACAATGTCAGCACATTGATAGCTACCAGTACTATGTCTCCGAGCTTGGTAGGTAGTGTGGGATATGTTCAACTGAGATAGTCAGTGTACATTTTTAATCTTCTCTCTCATTACAGCCAAGCCTGGATCGTTCTGCATCTTTGAACTCTGGTGCCCTGCTGCGTGGTTTTTTAGTGTTTGTAGGTCTCAGCATTGTGGTGATGGCTTACATCGTGTTTCGTAGTCTCAGGTTTGTTTCTCTCATCTCTTTCATTGTATGTGAGTGTCATTAATGTACTATTTGTTTTTTTAGATTAAGTAAAACGCGACCTCAGATGATACGGAAGTATGGTATCCTTGCACACAGACAGGATGTTGAGATGAGACTATTGCCCTTGGAAGAGGAAGATGATGATGATACAACTGTTTTCGATGCAACCAGCATTTCTACCCAAAATGCTCATCAGGAGAACCTCTAGAACAAATTTCTCCATATATTTCCTATGGCATTGAAAGCATCTTAAAATATTGGAAATTGAAAATAGGTGTTCCATATTTGACATAAGAAATTCATGAGACTGAGTGTATCATTTGAGGTATGTCTTGTCGATGAATTAAGCAAAGAATATCAAGTAATTTCTAACGGCTCTAATAGATGCCATGCCTTATTGGCATTATAAACTATATAATATGAGAATCGTAAAAAAGAAGCACTTGTAAAGTGTACTTTTGCGTTTCGATACCTGCATTCTAGTGTGATTGCGCTAAAATGATGAAAGCGTCCAATATTTTCCTCAGAGTTCCTTACAAGATATTTTGTGATTCAACGGACACGAGTTACACACAGTTTAACTAATATAAGGGCTCTTGTTATCTTTCGAATTATGCAAATACAAAAGGTCTATATTTTATTTAATGCTGTGCATTGATATAAATCGCCTATAATATAATAATTTTTTTCTTATTACACTATATTATCCTTTTCACGTGTTGTCTTAATGAATAATCGAATACGAATTTAACATACATTATTAGATTTGTCATGTTGTAGTTATATTATTTATTTTTTTTTGTGAAAAGTGAAAAGTTATGTTATAATTTTTCAATATTTTCTCGTTATATTATAATGAATCAATAATTGCCTTAATACTTATTAAAGTAGTAGGAATAACTAACGCTTGTGTCAGATTCTTTTTACAAGAATAAATAGTTTTTTATTAATTGAAACATATTTCTATGCACAGTGATATTTGTTCTCATTTGCACAATGTTGCGTATCAAATCATAATCAAATTGTGATTATGTGAACGTATGTGATTCCATTTGTCGCATATATAAAGAAATTGATAACCAGTTTTTACAAAAATCGTCAGATACTAATTCTATTTTTCTAACGACGGGTGAATCCAAAAAAATGGGTGAAGATGTAGGAGAATATTTCTGTTTCGTCCATATTCTTTTTTATTGGAACAAATTGAGACATATTTAAGAAAGTGATATTTAGTGATGATTTTCAAAATAAGTATTCAGAATTCATAATGGATTCTGATCAAGTTCTTAATGCCATTTTATACTGTATCTATATCTTAAGATGCGCGTTTGAAGATAGTCATATGAAATACGTGTAAGATCGTTTATTGACATACAAATTGATTTCACATAAAGCTTACATATTTTGTCTCATTTACAGTGAGATTGTTAATCTGTCTTTTAATAATGAGTCTCTTAGCGATGATATTCGATAGAAAAGAGTATGCACTTTAATTAAAACATATAGCTTAATGAGAAATATCGTCGAATTCCTTTCACTTTCCTATTCTTGTCTTGCTTGACTTTCGTACACTGCTTTTCTAATAATTTACACTATCCCATTATTATTTATTCTTCTGTATTATCTGTGATAATATCATTAATACTGTTAATATTTCAAATAACCTGTAAAAAAAGAATAGAAACGTGATACAATACAATTCGTCTTCAGTCTGGGTACTCTACTATATTCCATATAGCAAGAATTCCACTACTGCTACTTGAAAAAGTCTTTGTGTTTCATCAACTTGATTAAGTATTCTCCAAATTATATGGTAGGAATATAAGTTGATGATGCGATACTGCTTCTCAGCAATGTATCCGTATTCGGTTGATGGACAGAAGCCTTGCGTGACAATCGTTTATGAGGATGAAGGTTTAACGGTGGCAGATTCGGATGTTCAATTCTCGTAGGAGAGCTGACTCGTGGGCGTAGAGTTCCTCTTTGCATTCCAAAAATACCTAAGTAATAAATATAATTTTTTAACGTGCCGTATTTGAATGCCGTGATAGAAGAAAGGAATCTCTACAGAAGGCTCATAATATTTGAATCATACATTGATAGCTGGCGCTCATATTCTTTGAATTGATAATTGTATGAAACCTAATGATTCTAATTAAACAAGAAACAGTTTATCAGAAGAAATCACCTGGTTCGTTGGGTTCCAAAACATCATCAAGTTGATAGTATTCAGTTCTGAGCGACAAGGGTTCTTCGTAATCTACAAATGCTGTGTTGTCAAATGCTTTGTCATCCTTTGGTCTTGGATTTGCAGGTGAACTAACAGGAGGTTCTGCGTAAGTCTAAACAGTAGCAGTGATATATTTGTCAGACTATGTACTTGTAACAGATATTCACATGCAGCTGCATGAAATTATGTGATGAATGTGATATATAATGCCTAACGAATTACAGTCGAATTATATTATCTTAAACTTTACATGCTCCGTTGGTGTCACTGTTGCCGCACGCTTATGAAATTGTCCATTGCCAATAGTTTCGTAGGTATGTTCTTCTAAGTAATGACGAGTAGTTCCTCGGGGTGTAAGTGTTGCCCACATTACACGGCTGTCTTGCATTGCATCTGCTGCACATGGATACAGAACAGCCTCACTTTGAATTCGTCCACTTTTTGCTTGCATATTAGATGCAGTTGCTGGCATTGAAATCACGCCGTTCTTACCGCCGCCATTACTGCAATTTTTGTAATTTTAGTAACGTGAATTATCATAGTTTCATTACATAAATGATATACATCATTATTAATAATGAAAATGGCGTTAGGAAATACAAATATTTTAGTGCAAAATTATATTTTACTCACAATTTGCATTTTAACAGCAATGCTGCTAGTAATATTCCAACGAAGATGACTCCAATGCAAGATGATATTAAGACAAGTAACCATGTGTCATCAAAGACGGTCCCTGTAAAATAATTATTGACAATTTATCTGTATTATTATCTTAAAAATTAACAATTACACAAGTACAATACGTCATGCAGTGATGTAGTTTTTGCATTGATCGACTTTCATAATGGCCTGTAAGACTTATCTATGTTGCACCTGTCGTTCTGAATGTAATAGTAGTCAAAATAAAAGTGAAGGTCTGTAAATTAATTTTTCCATGAGGAGTAAAATATAATAAAAACAAACGTGATACTAACATAAATTGACTCAGAGGTCCATTGATGTAAAGGATGAAAAATCAATTGACCTTGTTGAGGCATCTCGATGTACTGCACTCCCTCGGAACGCCAATCGCACAGGTGCTTACACGGACTGTCATTAACATGTGGGGGGAACGGTAATGATTCTGAATTTGGGTAAAATTCTGATGCATGTTGAAGAAAAGATGGAATTGGTGGAGGTGGGAGGTGAAGAATCATATTAGGTGGAGGGCCCAGTTTACAAAGAGCACAACTGGAGTCGTTCATGATCATGGCTGCTACGTCCATTTCTGCCATCTATAAATTTAAAATGAAAAGAGATGATAATGGTATCTATTAATGGCCTTTAATAAACTAAATGTATTTAAAAAACTTAATGGATTGTCAAGCCCGAAAATATACTCCCAGACACCAATTTGATTCTTAGTGAACTCTTTTATAATGATTATCACTGGTAGTTGCAAGTCTGCTCGAAAAATTTATTCGGAAGATATTCTGGTAATATTTGACAAATTATCAACGCGGTAGTGACTCTATGTATTAATTCATTGAACCAAATTTTGCTTTATACTTTCAAAATAATTTCTATGTAGTTTAATTACTAGAGTTATTTTATCACTTTATTATTCATTGTGCTCCTGGCACTAATATACATTCAATTGCACTTCACATTTATGTCAAGAATGCCGTGTCCTTTGAGACTAAGAAGAACTCAAAAAGTTTTGCACAAATCTCACTGACAAATCAATTGTTTCAAAAAAATATTCTTACCATTGATTAACACGCTTATACGTCTGTAGCATTGAAGCGACTCCGGTATTTTCAGGCTGAGAAGCGCACGCGTCGCAATATTGAGCGGTCAGTAGTCTTCCATGTGTAGTATTTATTCAGACAGAGGCATATACGCTTATGTTACGCTATGGTTCTATGACCGACACATCTATATATATATATGATAAATAGTATAAAAAAAGGTCTACAATATATTTATCACCTACGTATGAAGAAGTTTATAGGCTGTTCATTTTAAAAATAAATATGTTATATAAGTATAATATTTGCAATCTTATCTTCACAACTAATTTTGTATACTTCCCAGGATTCTCTAAATTATTCAAGATAAACGAAATGTTTAAGCCTCTCTTTAACTGTATAATACATTGTCAGTTGTATCATTAAAGAGGCTTTACTTTGGAATAAAGTTGCACATATTAAGGGTTGTTATCCTGAATCAGGACTGACTGTATATTGTTCTATAATACGGGTTGCTACACGGCAGGCGTTGCCTATGTGCAAGTGATTATCGCGGAAAGTCTTTATTTCAATCATTATGTTGTGTGTACCGTACAGTAGGACAGGCAGACACTATTTATAATAAATATACTGAATCCGATATTTGTAACGTATTTCAAATTTAAAGTGCTAATTTGAGATTGCCTCATATGTTCGATCTACCGGTTGCTATAAAGACACGTATGTGATTTGTCCTTTAATTGTTTTCTCGAATTGACATAAGTATTGATTGTAATCAAAGAAAGTGTACGTGATGCTGATTTGTGATCAGCATATTGGTTAGATGTAAATCTATTTCTTTGTTGTAACAAGTTTTTTTTTATGTACTTGACGCCAGACTAGAGGATCATCTACGTTACTAGTCGGAAATTGTGTTGACAATGATGAACATTATTAAGTATTATTTGAATTGTGTATGATCAAATATGTGTTTAAAATATGCTGCTGCTGATGGTTGGATAATATCTCATTTAGATCATCTTGACAATAGTTATAAATATGTTCGAGAAGGTGATAAGATACTCAGTTTGAAATTCAATGAATTGTTATTTGATATAAATTCGCAATATTTACGGGGTAATCAAGTTGTTAATGATGACGAGGAAAGTGCAAGTAGTGGGAAAACAAGAAAAAGGAAAAGATCGAAACACTTTTCAGGCGAAGATATGGAACAAGTAAATTAACCTATATGTATATTTTTTGTTGAATACTTAATCTTATTTAATATTTGTTTTATATGTGTAATCGATTATTTGCAAAATTCCGTGAAATTAATTGAATCAATCCATTTGGCAATTTAACTGTAAATTATAAATAATAATATAAATGTTTAAATTTTATTTAATTCTTCAGTGTAGTAACTTACACTATGTTCTTATTATTTCGGAATAAATATAAGTTCCAAAGCTTTAATAGAATCTAATTACTCTACAGATGAATCCTATTAAAGAAGGATTGGCCAGAATTTTATCATCAGCAAAGGCAGAAGGATTGTTTCCAGATGAAATAGTTTATGATAACAACGAAGCAGCTCGTATGATATCACAAAAGTTTTATTCTGATACTGTTACTCATAACATAGAAAATTTACATGGGTGCAATAAAATGAACATGGCAATAATATCTGAAACTCAATCAGAGAAATATGTTTTCCCTGAACAATGTTATTTTTACTGCAATGACATAAAAAATATAGCAGAAAAAATGGAATTAAATAATCAATTTGATTTGATTTTATTGGATCCACCATGGTGGAATAAATCTATAAGAAGAAAGAAAAGAAAATATTCAGAATCTAGGTAAATTTTCAAAGTTGAATATAAGCATGTAAATGTTTATTTTTTAGGATAACTTTCTCTGAAATAGTAAGTATTATTTTTTGTTTTGAACATATATAATATTCATGTTTAGACAGTTATCTTACGCAATTTTGTAATAAACAGTTACAAAATGATGTATAACGAGGATCTGATCAAAATACCAATTGGAAAATTACTAAGTACAAATGGTGTAGTTGCTGTATGGTGCACAAATGCTCCCAGTCATTTACGCAGTATCTCAAATGATATGTTCCCAGCATGGGGCGTTAAATTTCAAGCAAAGTGGTATTGGGTTAAAGTAAGTTAATGTGACTTGGTTACATATGTTCTTTTTAGCAAGAACGAATGGTTCCATAATTTTTAGTAATGATCATATTATGCCAATTGCAAAATATAATTATTCTCAATGAAAATTGAATATATTTTAGGTAACTAGATCAGGGAAACCAGTTTGTGATTTTAATCCAATGCCAGCAAAACAGCCTTATGAACTATTAATATTAGGAGCAGCTTCTTCTAATAATGAAATTAAAATTCCTGATGGTAAATTACTTGTTAGCATTCCCAGTGCAGTTCATTCACACAAGCCACCCATAACAGGTACATCTGTGTAAATTAAATAGTATGAACAATGTGTATGATGATGTTTTAATACAACTTTATCTTCTAATATTAAAAAAACTAGAGTAATGTTATATCATCTGTATTTTTTGTCTGTTTTGGATTGCTGATGTACTGCATTTAGACCTAATAGCATCATATCTTCCGGATAACCCAAAATGCTTAGAACTATTTGCACGGTATTTACTTCCTGGATGGACGAGCTGGGGGCTTGAGGTATTGAAATTTCAACATTTGTCTTTATACAGAATTCATGAATCAACAATACAAGATAATAAAAATATAAGCACAGAAAATACTGAGAACAAAAGATAATCAGCTCGACAAACAAAAGAAGAAATTGATATGCATTGTAATTCTCATTTGATTTACATGATTGTATCATCCGTTGAAATAAACAAATAAATTTAAAATTATTACAACACACCATTACACCTGCAGTATTTATAAACCTGTTAATGCATTAATCCGTGTCTTTCTTTTTCCATAAGTAAGAAAATGCAATTTTTTACACTCATCCACCTATTCTAAGTTTATAAGAGATTAAATATTATAAAAAAAAATAATTTCTGTGAGTTCTCCAATGATTATATTTCCCGTACAAAAGTCAAATAATGGCTACGTTTCCTCTGCCACTGGTACAATTTTGATTTTACATTCATTATTAAATTGCTACATATTGTTACTACAATTTCATTACTTCACAAACTGTATACTATTCAAAATTCTTACATAAATGATAAATCGAGTTTATCGTTTGTTTTAAATTGTTTATCTCAGTTTCATAATGAAAAAAAAAGATATGAATCTATTGACATTTCTTATCACTAAACTATTAAAATCTGCAGTACTGTTTAAGGAAAAATTCAACAAGTGAACCACCTACATTATTTACGTATCATTTCTTTGTCGTACCATTTTGTAACGAACTGCGATATCCATGAGGATTAGTAGACTGCCACCTCCAAAAGTCTTTACCTGTAATCAAAATTTTTACCACTTTCAGAGCTCATCTTATGGCATACATAATATATAAACTGACTTATAAATTTATCTTCAATCATATACAAACAACTTCATTTAATAACTTACACATTTGGTTGACATCGTATTTAGATTGCCATCCCAATTCTTTTCGGGCTAAACTTGTATCGGCGTACATAGAGACAATATCACCATCTCGTCTATCTTGTATGACATAGGGTACCTTTGTACCAGTTACTTTTTCAAAGGTTTTAATTAACTCCAGAACGGAAACTCCTTTTCCAGTTCCCAAGTTATAAATCTTTAGCCTGACATGTTGCTTCCTTAAAGCATCTAAAGCTGACACATGACCAGATGCAAGATCCATTACATGAATATAATCTCGAATTCCTGCAGATAAAAACATACCGATGCTCTTGATCTATTTATATACATGTACAGAGTATTAAAATAATTATTAATTAATGGATATCAGATCATTACAAAATTCAACGCACCTGTACCATCCTTTGTAGGATAATCACCACCGAAAATCGTTAATTCAGATTTATGACCTACAGCTACTTGCGCGATATACGGCATTAAATTGGTAAATGGTTTAGTGGGATCTTCTCCAATTAAACCACTGATATGTGCACCAACTGGATTGAAATATCTCAGTACGATAATATTCCATTTCTGTGAAAAAAAGATTATGATTATGTTATACCAAGGATATAAAATAATTTTACACTTATCCTAAAAGTCTATATAAGAGGACTATAGTTAATTATAGACGTTTTCACTCTGAAGCATTATCATATTTAACAGGTGCACTGCTGACCTGTACAATGCAAATGCTCTGAGTATTTAGAATTATTTGAAAGCGACTTTTATTACTTCGCTTCACCTGAGCGATCGCCTTTTGTTTAGCGGCCATCAATTATTCAAGGATATATAGAAATATTAATAATGAAAAACGTTGATTAGTTTTTATTATTATATACTTGACCCCCATAAATCTTGATATCCTGATTACCTGTAATGTCAGCTAATTTTTAATCTTTTGCGAAGTACTAATAAATTATTTTACCTCCTCAGCTCTTGATATATCTTTGAGCATTTCTTCAATGAAATATTTCGTTCGTCCGTAGACGTTTGTTATATTTCCGGTAGGATGATTTTCCTTAATCGGGAGATGAGCTGGTTCTCCGTAAACAGTGCAGGAGCTACTAAAGACCAATTGGAAGCATCCAGCGGCCTTCATCACCTAAAAATTGAAGGAACAAAATTTTTAAAAGTATTTCGGTCATTGACAAAATTTTTAGAATATTGCTGTTTGATATTTACCTCAAGTAAATTAATAGCACCAATAATGTTGTTCCGATAGTAGTGAAGTGGTATTTGCATAGATTCTCCTACTGCCTTTATCGCCGCAAAGTGTATTACGCAATGTATCTTGTGCTAGAACGTTAGATATTATTTCCTATATCATGTAAATCAAAATAATTATTATAATACAAGCATTCAAAAGTATTGTATATGTATATAATAAAAATAGATTTAAACTAGTATAGAATCATATATAATATTGTCATTCGAAAAACGAATGTTCGATACCTTGTTAAAAATTTCTTCAAGTTTTTCCCGATCGATTAAATCGCAATTATAAAATGTAACTTTTTTCCCTGTAATCTGCTCCACTCTCTTGAGAGCTGCGGATTCTCCATTCTTTCCGGTAACGCTGTTAGTAAAATTATCAATAGCCACAACTTCGTATCCGCTTTCGAGAAGTTCGACTACACAGTGACTTCCAATATATCCAGCACCGCCCGTGACAAAAATGGTTTTCCATTCTTCAGGCATTGCAATACTGAAATGTTAGATTATTAGTCAATACTTCTACTAATATTTAAAAAGTTGCAAGAGAATAAGAATTTTTGTTTAACATTTGAATTTAAGTTACGTTACGTTTTATTAAGTTACGTTTTAATATCATTTTGTTGCGGACTTCATATACGCAAAATTACACCTAAACTGCAAACATGTTCGTAGACTCGATAAAATAGAATTTAAAGAATTACATTTTTGCACCAAACACAGTATTATCTTTATAGAACAGCGAATTTGTCAAATGGTAACGACGCATGCAAGACTGAAAATGCATAAACTCAGAATCTATAGCCGCAAAAGTATTCGTGTAATGTAGATCACATATGACGTCACGTCTTTTTTGCTGTTACTATATAGAAATTTTCTATTTGGATTGATGTTTGATATCTGTGAAAGAGTTTCAAAAACAAACATTAAATATAATAAATTGCTGTGATAGGTAAGTCATATTTGGAATCATTGTTCTATTGGAAATACGTATATATGTACAGGATCTAAATTATACGGAGAGCTACATAAAGCTTACTAGAGAATCCATTGTTCTCGATTTATTAAAAAAGATGAACTCGTGGACCGATTATACATACATACGGTTTTCGTCTTGCTTGATTGTATCCAATTTGTTAAAGTGTTCTGCGAATAGTATGTGGATGAACTTTTTTCTTCAAGGTTTGTTTTAATTCCGAAACTGTTGCAGAAACACTTATTAGAGGAGTTTTTTGCACTAACTGCATCACGAATCGTTGTTCACGTTCCGTTAATTTTTTTTGACGAGCGCTTCTACGCTTATTTTCTAACATATTCCCTCTTTTAAAATGTGTATAACCGACTGTACAGTCGATCAACTTCGACCAACAATTTTCGATATTTCCCCATATGACTTATTTTGTCTAAACAGATCAAGGATTTGTTTTCTTTCACTGATCGTAGTTTCTTTCCCTTTCCTGCGATCCATCACGCTTAACAATACGATAGCAACTGACGCTGCGATGCGGGTTAGTACATCGTACACGTTAAGCAAACGTATGTTCTGTGTAAGTTCGACGCATTTTCGTTTCGCTTTTGCGTCTATTCACGAAGATCACCGCTGTAAGAATACTTTCGTGACTGTAAGTTTCTGAGTTTGTAGAGTTTTCAGTGTTATGTTTCTGTACGCGTGATTTCTTACATCATATGTATATCACTTGTAAATTTTACTGTCCAGTAAAGATAAATACTATGTTTAGTGCTTTGTTTGTTGCAAAAATATGTATATTTCTACAAATTTAATTTTGTCCAATGTACTAATACTTTTGCGGTTTATGGGATTAAGACTTAATATCAAATTACTTTCACTACGTAATACGGGATTTGTATAACTTCATGTACACTCTTACCACACGTAATATGAATGGACCTTAACACTAAACTTGTTCTACATAGACAAACATGTCAAGGTCAGCAAGTTACATGAATATATATTTGATTTTACGGTGATTCCCATCGAATACTTATCAATACCGAGAAAAATGATGGCATCTATGAATTTTGTAAAAAATAAGAGAACGAAGGTCTCGCTGAGATTGACCAATCATTAATGATGCTCATTCTGAGTCTTTACATCAACCATTTGAATGTTAGTTTAAGGCCCAAGTTTTGAACGTTTTATCATACATACTTTCAACACGTTCGACACTTCATGAGTTTCATGACTGCTTGGCGATACGTGCGGTCGCGCCTAACGGTATATTCGCAACCGTGTTTTTTCCGTTAAGCGTATTAGCACGAAATTCTATGAAATAACTGAATCCAGTTGCCATAATCATATAACATTATTATTACTAAGCGGCTTCAAATATATTTTATACGTTTAGAAATAATTCTACTATGCCAATGATTTTGCAAAATGAATATTAAAACACAGTGAATTAAAATAAGGTTCACAATAAATTCTGCAGGGGTAATGAACTCCATTATGGTTTAAATCAGAAATCGTCAAAGTCGTCGGAAAAAGACCGGTGACTCCTACTCTTTCGGCTTTATATGTTTAATAATTTTTTGTACTTACTTGGTTGATCAATCTGACGATTAACTTCTTATAATAATTATGGAGCACACCAAGCTTCGATAGTTTAAACAGAATATCGTTAGTCTGTTTTATTTGAGTACACTGTTCTTAGAAGCTGAAAGTTATCTTGCTCACTTGGTTCTCAATAACCCGTTGCTGCTAAACCCTGTCTGTATCCTTAACACATATCACCACGTCGCTAACTAGTACCTGACTGACCAACAAGTGGAATTCAGTGGAATTCCGTTGGTCGAACCTTCCTTTCAGTTGCGCTCCCCACTTTTCTCATTTACTTACTAGCATCTCCGTCCCGTTCTTGGAATCTTCTGCCGTCCCTACTCTTTTATACAATTCCTACGAATCACTCTGGTAGCCGCACTTTATTCTTACTAAACAACGTATCTTTGTTGTGTGCATTAAACACAATTTATATTTAGTCTAATGTATGATTAATAATATTAATTTTTTATTGTTATGAAGTATTTTTTATCAGCTCAGGTACAAATAAATACTTAGTCCTTTGAGGAGAAAATCTATGAGAAAATGAAATAATATGCTTATTTTATACTTTATATTTTATGATTTAATATTATTCATTCGTTCACAACGTACTTCTGCACAACACGCGATAATTTTATATCATTTATAGAACCCATAGCTTCTTTGTATATTGTACGAGTAACAGTGTTAAACATTTAATAAAAAGGATAAACCATAAAATGATTAATCTTATTATATAGTTCATCTGGTTGTCATAATTTGTATGAGCTTTCGTAACAATTCCTTTTGTTGGGTATCCAAATATATCCAGAGGTCACCCTCTAATTCCAAAAGCGCTTGGCAATCATTTGATTGACATGCCAATACTAAAGATTGTAATAGCAAAACTTCATCTTCGCACATCCCTGGACCTATAAACAGAACAAACATATTAAAATGTAACATATGTATAGATGTATAGGAAAGAACATTTATATCTTTATAGTCATGTGACATACCAGCACTTATACCATCCTCAATCCAAGCGTATTTTTCTAAAACTTGTGCTAAAGAAGGTGGAATTCTTTGAGGTGTAGGCTGAAGTATCAGTAGCAACAGTACCCTGGTTACTTCACATCTAAAGACAAATTTGCTACATATAAAAACCATTTAATGTATTATATCATCTTATTATGTTATAGATACCTGTGTAAAACAACAACATAATTGCCTGTAGAAACATTTGCAATACCAATATTGTTATCGATCACCTCAACAAATGCATTAAGAGCTTGTAAAGCAGCTACATAATCATCTAAGAAAGTAAACAAGAATGAAAATTATATATATTTGCAGTACTTGGGAACAGTGTTCAATATATATTTACCTTGTTTAATGAAGTATGAAACTAATGTGTCAATAACTTTAGGAAAAGGATGCATACTAATAGCTTTTTTTAAATGTTGCACCCCTGCTGTACTTGGACCTGAAGCTGCTGCTAATTCCATAGCCAAACTGACAGACATAATGCCAAATCCTAATTGGCTGTTACGTGCGGCAGAATGACCAAAACAACTTACTGCAGCCTAGAATGTATATGCAGAATGGTGATTTACTTTAATGATCTTATATTAAAAAATTTGGTCAACATTGATATCACTTAATACCTACTTGGAAGTTTTCTCGACCAATCGATGAACATCCAATATCCTCATCTTTCTTTTCAGCTATGAGGAATTGTCTTCCTGCTTTTGTTAAAAAATTTGTTTCAGCAATATTATTACCCAGTGTTGCTTGACATCGTGCTGCTGCTAGCCAGCAGAATCCTGCATAAGGCCACAATTCCTTTTGCTCACATTGCGTCCCCAGTGCAGCTAAAGAGTGATATTAGAATTACAAAATCATAAATTATTTCATTTAGAACTGCAATTATATTTCATAACAACAGTGATAATGTTTAAAAGAAACATGAATAATTTAAATGGTTTCAAAAGAACGATTATAATATTTACCATTACAATGTTATACATTAAAAAAATCAAAAATATAAAACTCCATATATTACCAAATTGTTCACTGGCTTCGGTAACATTGGGCTTTCGTAAAAATCGTCTAAAATATATAATACAATATATTAGACTTTATACGAGTCTTGATTATTCAGATCGAAAGAGTAGTCAATATTAATTGTTAACGTACTTTTTTAATTTGTTGGATATGGTACGATAGGTATTTAATATTTCATTTGATTCTTTACTTTGTGGAATATTATAATCAGCATCAGCCATAGTGAAAACATAAAGCTCAGTCTACACCGTCTACACAGTTCATGACACAACTACACGGTTGCGTTCGAAGGCGTTTGCCCGCATTTAAAGGCTGTTCTTACGACTTCATCTCTCACATAAAAATACTCTAAATCCTCTAAAATTTTATTTGAATCGCTCATCGTAAACTAATTTCATACTTTTAATTAAATTCAAATATTTTTGTGATATACAGATTTTAGCGCTTTATTTTCCAATATAAATTGACTAAAATTTTCATGCTGTCTAAGAAATAAACAGATAAAAGAAAAAACACTTAAATTTTATCACTTTATATATTTATAATACAAATTGTTTAGCTATTGAATTTCGTATATGTATGCATATTTGAATATAATCAATCGCTTTCTAATATTATGAACAACACTTAAGCCATTCATATACATATATGACTGTGGGCGCATGCGTAAAAGTTATCGTAGATCAAGAGGGCGGATGTTCACAAGATATTAACTCTATAAGAAAAGATTTTCGTGTTTATTGTGACTGCTGAGATTTGCACAGAATGGCAAGTATTTGACAAGTGTAATAGGTGACCATTTATTGTTACTTTCTTGAGAGACACAAAATATCCACACTTATTCGTGATAAAATTGCAAAACTTTTTCTTTCATTTTTGCCAACTGTCATTCGGCATTGTAATTGTCATTTTGTCAAGTAATAACTAAGCGCAAGCAGAATGAAGTACACGTATAATGATACTGATAATATTTATTTATAGATACGATTCATCTTAATTCAAAACAGAGCAGGAAAGACTCGTCTTGCAAAGTGGTATATGAACTTTGATGATGACGAGAAACAGAAATTAATAGAAGAGGTGCATGCTGTGGTAACAGTTAGAGATGCCAAGCACACCAATTTTGTTGAGGTTTGTGTAACGGAGAAATATTAAATAGTATTAAATAATCATTTGATAATGTGTTGCTAACTATTTTTTATTGCAGTTTCGTAATTTCAAAATTGTCTACAGGCGGTATGCTGGACTATATTTTTGTATTTGTGTTGATGTGAATGACAATAATCTTTGTTATTTAGAAGCAATTCACAATTTTGTTGAAGTATTAAACGAGTACTTCCACAATGTTTGCGAACTGGACTTGGTCTTCAACTTTTACAAGGTTTGTTTTGTCTATATCAATATAATAAGAAGGAATACATTGATAGTGTTTCACAATATTTTAAACATTTCTTTCAGGTGTATACTGTAGTCGATGAGATGTTTCTAGCTGGGGAAATTAGGGAGACCAGTCAGACCAAAGTACTCAAACAATTACTTATGCTCAATTCCTTAGAGTAATACTGCCAAATAATTTCATTCCAATAGAAAACCCTCGGCTCTCACGATCTTCAAAATAAATTTACATTTTGCAGTTTTTGTCTTGAATGTACATATAATACTCATAAGAATATCATGGTAATGTATTTATTTGGACGTAAGAAAAAATAAATGTTAACGAATATGCTACCGTAAACTTATAAGATAAATCTCATCACTTCAGATACAGCATCATATTAGATTCTGTTATCCATAACACAATCTACTCGGTATCACATGGTAACTTCAATCTATTTGCAGTACCAACTTAGTGCAGAGATGGCAGCACCATTAACACTAAAGCAAAGCTTGAGAATTAGCTGTTGAAACAGATCCTGGCAGTCACGAATAGTAAAAAAATGTTTCCATAATATTAATTATAAAATATCCCAATCTTTATACCACTACGAAAATAATACAACCTCGTGAAAATTTGATAAAATTAAATGGTATCGCAATTTCCGTATGGTTTATCTTGGTGCAAAAATTACAACTTGGACCATAATTTTAATAAAAGGATTTTTCATTTGCTATTTGTCATTCGACTTGCATAATTCAGAAAGATCAAACAGACTTATTGTAAGGTATTAAATTCAAAGAATCATTAAATTTATTAAATTAAACCAACATTCCTAATTATAATGTCTCAACAGTGATTTTTCTTTTGATTAGATACATCTGCATATCACTTTTGGTAAAAAAATAAATATTAAGTGCCACCTCACACAAATGAAAATACGCGGGTTGAATTTGATACGTGAAAGCCTGAACCTGTAGAGTAGGGGAACTGAAGAAAAAAGGGCGTAGCGACTAGGAACGAGTTGCAATAAAACCGTAACACGCCTACACACGGCCAATAACGTGGCGCCATGCAACGGATCTTTAATTAAATCAACCAACAGTTTGCAAACTAAACAAAACTCAGTGTTTTCCTTTATAAAATGGAGAGCAACCGCATAACGGATAAGCGTAAGAAATTGGGTATGTACAAAAATAACTACTTTTCCATCGACTGAGAACAAGGAGATTGTACTGTGCTAGCACAAGAAACAATGAGTTACAGATGTATAAACTGGGAATTAAAAATCCTATAGAAACGCATGATTTCTCTCTATGTCTTTTTAGCATTGAATTTAATAAATCTCTATCTCTTTTTATCACACGTTTAACCAGAGATCTAAGACACAATTTCATTCATTAACCATTAATCATAACTAAAATGCACGTCAATTCCCATAGACTCCATTGTCACCAGTTTCCGCAACTGAGAACAATGATAACCTAACCTTATTGTACATATGACGGACAAGATAACCATATCCCAAATATCCTTGAGTTATTTTCATTGATACCACAAAATGTAAACAATCTCGTTACGCGTCATTGAAATTCGCGAATCACAAAAAACTCTAATTTGCACACGAGCAAGCTATATTCGGGCCACGACATCGGTTCCACTTTGAGAGGACTTATTTAGATATTGGTTCGTAAAGGGATGGCCCTTCAAAGTAGAGCTGAAATCACGGCCCGACTATAGAAAACATTAAAGGCAGATACTCCAAGTATATAGTGAGTTTATCGCGTGCTTATCTTCACTATCATTGAAGATATATTCAAACGAGGACGAAGGCTATGAAGGGACGAAAGTCATCGATAAACGTCTCTAATATTAATTCGTCCGCTGGTGAACTTATCGCTGCTTGGATAGCCACCCATACAGCAGAAAACATTGATATACGTTTCAGAAACATTGCCGAAACGTATCAATGTACACGTTAAGTTTCATGAATGTGTCTAAAACGTATCTGAATGTTTTCTGTTGTACAGGCAGTGACGTTATTGCAGCGTCTCATTACTTACAGACAGATGGATAAAGTGTCCTCGAAGTCAGAATTGCTTACCTAGAAGATTGAAGATAAATAAAAACGTTAAAAGTTAAAAATTTAACGTGTATAACATATTGCATAGGGAACAGGGTTATCAAGAGGTTATCGCACGAGAGTAGGGAGCTTGTAGTGGCGGCGACCCCTGCAACTGATATCGCGCGTCGCTTCGCCTCGATACGCCTCTCTTGTGTTCTCTCATAATATCTGCTACACGGGATTCCTCGTGTAAATATATAATACAAATTATTTTCGTCTGCTTCCACGGAAATGAGACACGGCAAGTAAAGTGCAGCGCCTTTAATTTACATAATAGCAGAAACCACAAACGAAGATCAAAATGGCCGTTTGTCCGATTCATCCATATTTCTATTTCCCCCGCGAGCAGGACCAAGTAAGGAAAAGAAATGATTTGATTAATCAGGAAATACAAATTTATCGTTTATAACCTATAAATCTACATGCCGTCGAAGTGCCCACATATAAAAAAATCCCTGACAATATTTTTCGTGACACAAGATGGCGTCTCTCTCTGTCTTACAGTCAGGCATCTTTATGTACCTATAGGATTCCCTCGGTAACTTCGGATGGACATATGCGTAGGTGCGTGTGGCAAAGTCACACAAGGGTAAGAGAGGAAGGATAGGGCGGGCCGCGTAATTAAGAACGTCTTGAGTTGTCCTCTCTGTTCAGGGTACAAATAGCCTTGCGACCCCAGTTCGCGTCGGCGCCTCTCATGTATCCTCCTCGAGGAACGGCATTCACGGAGCACATGCTTTATGCGCTGTGCCACCGATGCCCGATGGCGCGATGGTTTTAATCTATTTCTTTTTCTTCTGCGGAGCCGCAGTCGAAGGAAGCGGGAAGACGGTCGTCGGGCGGCGGGTATGAGAAGAGACGAAACGACGGCGCAGAGACACATTAGCTGTATTCCAAGTTTGCATGGCGGAACGCCCCTGCTAGCTAAGCTTGCTAGTAGCTCGCGCACTCTTCTCTGTGTGCCATCTTGCTCTTCTGCCTTAAGATATTATATAGAACATCCCTTTCTCCTCTCGTACCCTCATGTACTTTCTTCTTATGTTACCTACCCGGAGTTCTTCCTAATTTTTTTTCTTTTTTTCTCTCTTTCCCTCTGTACGTTCACGTTTTACTCCTTGGTAGCTGAGCGCATCTGCTGGGCTAGGTGCAAATCGAGGCGGGATGCCGTAGAAAGATTTATGCTTTTTCTTCCTTTTCTCTTATACTTTTGACATTATTTTCTTTTACTATAGGGTGACTCTTTGTTCTATGAAGATAAGGGAAATCGCGGTTTGAAATCGATTAATAATCGTTTTATAATAAAGGGAGTATAGGTATATGTGTACCTAGTCAATTTATTTTTTATTTTCTAGTTTAAGTTGATTTACAATGTTCGTTTTTAAGATTGATCTTGTTTGAGGTTATGCGATTTTTTTGGAGGATATTTATAATTTATCTCGTTCGATTCAATTAAACGGGGGTGACTCTTTCTTATAGGCCTGTTAAGTTCTTAAGCAAATTACCCATGGCGAACTTCCCGTTTGACTTTCTCGACTTTTACGAAGTTTCAGTAGCGGACTAATTTATTAGCGCTACTTTATCATGGCGCAGCTGCTAATCGAGCGGAGCGCATCTGCACTCGCGTGCACCGCGGCAAGAATAAACGTTCCTCCTAGGACGAGTCTTCGTCTTGGTTGTAAATTCACGATCCACGAACAAGAGAACATTGTATACGGGTGCATCGTTACACGAAAATTTTCTTAGTTGACTTTCCGTGAACGTGTCAGAGGTAAGAAAAAAAATATTCCCTTCCGAAGCCAACTTCATGGGGAACCACATCCTTGAGTAATTTCTCCATCCGGAACCACGAGTGACGGTTACGACGACGTCGAATATATCGTCGAAGATCGTAAATCAATGCTCTTTTCTTTTTTTATTCTTTTACTGGTCCATTCTGGATGCAGGTATACGCGGGGTTATCTGTATATGCATATTATCCATATTAAATATAATCTTGTCTAATTCGCGTCGGACGCGTCTGATTTTTTATTATTGAGGCCGTGCAAATAACGGCTGGTGTAACGAGCATATGGAGGATCATATGTTAGGGTTTTTCATTGGAATTGCTATCGTTTGAATTTGGTAAGAATTTTTTAGTTTTTGAAAAAATTATTTTTTTTTGTCTTACACAATTAATAAATTTCCAATCAATTTATGGATAAATTTTAATCTGATATTTAGTAACTAGTACCTATATGTCAAATGGTACCTCTCTCTTATTTCAATATACAAACGGGGTGCTGAGGAAAACTGATCAGTTGTTCTAGAGAATGTCGAAGTAACAACTCGTGGTTCTAAGGGTTGGCGCTGTTCTTTTAAGTGACTAGTGTAATAGAGTATCTTAGGGCGGAGTAGCGGGCCTATTCGAATTTCAAAGGGACGGCTTGGCGCGCCGCGCAGTCCTCATTATGTGGTGACTATATGCACAAATACCCCGTAGGGTCGAATGCTCTATAATTCCGCGTGTTTGCAACTTGCCACTCTCCTTGAGGATGAGGCTTTGAACGTCTTCGCTTGCGGGGAGCTAAAGGATTACTTGGAATTACCGAATTACCCATTACTCGACAGACTTCGAGGAAGCCAGACGCACCAGGGTTCATAGGTCGCGTCGACACGAGCCAGAATATTTCTTTTATTCCTGTCGTTTAAAACTACCAAAAAGTTCGACAAGTTACCCTCAAACGGTATTAAGGGGAAGAAAAACGTTTCACCTTAAATTTTTCTCTAGCAATTTTATAAATAATCCCTTATTTATTGTGGGCAAAAAATAATTTTTTTTAACATATACATACCGTCATCTTTTCTGAATGGGAAATTGGCAAAATTTCGGAATCACACAAGAAGCCAAGTTTTGCTGTGGTTGAGGACGTCAAGTCCATCACTGGAGGGTAGTCATGTTAAAACAGAGAAAATAAGCCCGGCACGAAGTGGGTGTCTAATTTCGTGAAGGAGGGAGGTCTTTCACGCTCGACCGACGCTGATTGGACGGCGTCGCGACGTCTGCTTTTATAACCGATATAGCACGTGCCAAGTCACTTATCTACTTGTACTAGATAAGTTATATTACGTATGGTATATCAGAAAATGTTTTTTATGACACCAGGTATAGGTAAAACGTGTTAAATAACATTTTACATTACACACTTTCGCGAAAAAATGTCAGTATAGGTTTAGAAATTTTTGCTGCTGATCCGATTCAAGATTTTGCAGTCTGAGAAGAGTGTGTCATGGATCTGGGCTGTCTAGGCAGATGAATAATTTCATGTTGAGGCAATATAAATTATATTTTGTTTATATTTCGAAAATTCCTCATCACTGTTTTCCTAGTCTGAGTTTCTCTACATAGTTCTTGGTCTAGGAGTTTATCGTCATTGTCCTACACTCCGAAAACTACGACGAAGAATCTCTGGGCTCTGGGAGCTAAGATTACGAAATCCTGGGCCCTAAAAATGATTATTGTAGTATTTAAAAAATTTTATTTTTATCCCCGTCATTAATGGCATGTATCATTAATGTGAAAAACTGTAATTATTTTTTTTTCATAAACTTGAACCAATATTAATTACATGAGGGAATTTGTAATAAATTTTATTTCAATTTAATGCTGATCGCTATATACTTGCTCGTATCAAAGTTATAATGAAAACACTTGTACTTGTAGCGGCTATAATTTTTAAACGGAGTGTAACTGTTACCTGTGTCAAACGATGGACGGTGCCTTTGTGTACTCTGGCCAGTAGTGAAGTTCTCATAGGGAACGACATTGGTTATATCGCGATTTCATCGTATTACTTTAGCGATACCCTACCGCGTTTTAAATCAATCTCCGCGCAATGCGGTATTTCCAGTGAGACTTCAAACACGAATGATTTCTGCGAGGGTCGGTGCGATGAATTACGAGCAATCATTTACCGATCCGACATTACATAAAGTATAAAGCCCGTAAAACGCGTCGAGATATGATTTGAGCATGAGCCATGGGAAAGTCCAGTTACGTTACACGTGGCGAGAATATACAACTTATGTTACAATTTTTGTATCTTTCATTCTTGAGCGTTACGTTGTTTCGTTTATTTTTAGAATTGACTGTACGTCTAAGGTCCACGTTCAACGGAAGGAATAAGACATAAGGAACGAGGAACAGTGAATTCGACCAATCGTATTACTATCCCACCGGACTCTGAAATTGGCGGATTTTAAGAGCTTAGAGTATTATTCGAATTTTCATTAGTTTTATCGAATTAGAAATATACATATTCTCGTGTTACGCGCAACGCCGTCTCAGAAACTTTTCCCTTACGTAATTTTAAATTAAATTTACCTTTTTCAGGAGCTCTGCATTTATTTCACCACATGGTCAATGGACGTTGATACGATAGAAAATTTCTGCTTTGTAGTAAAGAAGGGTATACGAGATGTTTTAATAAAAATTGCTCAGCTGTTTGTAGCACGATCGTATATTGCATAACGGTAGTAATTACCTTGTACCATGGCATGATCTTACATTTATTATAGTAAAATATCAATCGTATTTTAAATAAAATATAATATAACATCTTTCAAGATTTAATATAAGATTTCCTACTTGATATTATAAATTGTGCCAGTGTTAATACATGCGTCGTTTATAAATCCTCTTATAATAATCTAACAAAAGTAAATGTAACACGGATTTGAATTAGCATACTAAAGATCAGAAGAAAGTGACACTTGAAGTAATAATAAAAATAATAATACCCAAGACAGATTGGAATCGCAAGTATAAGCCAAAAGTTATAATAATAAGTAGGAAATATGAGTATCCTAATTAAATGTATTAAACGTGAATAACAATGGTTCGCGTGCAATTGTCAACGAAATAAATTAAGGCACGTTTACAAGGCAGTCAAAATGGTGTTTCCAGGTATAGGGCGCCATATTCTTCTCGTAGACTCAATAAATAACAATAATTGTAACGTCATCGTAACCCACATTCCTCTTACCACATATTTCACGCATGCTAAAGCAAATGTTCATTGTATACATATATCCATATATTCATCTATCGTCACAGTCATTCCTCTTACAAATTTAATTATTGCACGACTGCTATACTGCCCTGGGCAGTCAGTCAGGCTTGTAGGTAGGTTGGTAGGTAGCTAAGGTAGGTTAGTTTAGATTAGGTAGGCAGCCAGATTGTACACATATGCGAATGCAGGTATAATACACAAAGCAGCACTGTACTAGATTAAACGCAATAGCCTAATGCGTGAACACAAGCCGCTATGGTGTTGAGCAAATTGAATACCTATTTTGTATACCTTCGCCGATTAGGAAGCTGATTTATTGCATTCGTCGACAACTAAATCTTAAAGGCACTCGGTGCATTTGCTGCACAATTTCTTACGGTTCGATTAAATATTCCAGTCTTATGAAAATATTTACACTGCTGGATTAAAAGTTTATAATTGATTTTGAACAAAAATTATATTTATAATTTCGGCACCAGTGTGTGATATCGAGGATCGCTTTATCAAGAATAATGACATGACACGAAAAGGACAAATTATTAATGTAATTCACTGTTCAACACTGGAAAGCATTAGCGATAGTCGATACAAATACGTTGATATATATTTAGTAAAAAATATATTTCAAATTGTGCTGCATCTGTTTATTATATTCTTCATTCAGGACATATCCTATTACTTACCTAGAATTTCGTTATTTTCAAGAACTGGATTACCAAGCTCCAATTGCTTTGGTAACGAAAGATTCCTACAGTACCTTATTTTTATAATATACAATTGTTTTTGATCCGCATAATAAGTACGTTTGAATGTAAGTCCAGCTCAAGAGATTCGCAATATTTTCAAATTTCATTTTCTCAATAATTCAATGTATTTACATTAATCTCTGCACCTCAAAAGCATCAGATCATTTTCAACGTCATTCGTTTGATATATTGTTCTGCCACGAGTTTAATCTACAGGACAATATTACATTTATCAAAAGAATTTAACACTATTCGTTCACGATTGCAGTAGTATGATAGTAATTGAATTTTATCAGCCCTCCTCCCCAGGATATGTAAAACTGCACATATACCACATAAAATCCTGCAATACGAAATCACGGGATTCCATAACAAAGAGAAATCTGCATTAGTACATCACTCGGCACAAACGATACTATTCAGTTAATAAAACCGTTTCGAAGCACAATAGTCATCTGCACTAATTACACGGACTGGCCGGTTGACTGATATTAGACGCTTGCATCATAGCTGACTGTACAGAGAGGGACGTCGAAGTCCCGACGTTGGTAGCTAGAGTGGTGGCAGTACCGGGATGATGATGATGCCGATGATAAAGTGCGGAGGCGTAATACTGTTGGTGATGATGATGATGCGGATGATGTGAATGAGAATGATAACCAATCGGCGGTGAATCGTTATTGTTACTATTGTTATTATTATTGTTGCCACCACTCGCACCACCGTTATCATTGTTGTTCTCGTTGTGATGAAGATGATGATGGTGATGATTATTATTGTTGATGATGGCGCAGAGCGAAGAGGTCGAGGACGAAGAGTTCGAGTTGGGCACCGTCGTGACACTGTTCGCCAGAATGTCATGCACGGTATGAGGACTCGGCCACTGAAGTACGCCGTTCGTCTGATGATTGGTAAGCGTCGGCGTCGGCGTCGGCGGGGACGGCGATAACTTGCTGGCCGACGGCGCCGTCAGGCCCACTGTAAACCGAGCTCTACTCAATAACAACACTCTCAACGGCCTATATCGTGGCACTCGCGGCGGAAGAAGTCCCAGAGGGCTTTGCTCTTTTTTTTTCTTTTTTTTTGTTTTTTTTTTTAATACGACAACACAAAACTCATTTTCATTCTAATCAACAATCGTTTTCACGTAAACGTCATAAATAACATCGATGATGATTCATTTACACAGAAGCTGTTCCTGGTCATTCTTCCACCGCAACGATAGTAAGCGTAGTCGCATCCGGTGGGTCTTCCGTGCTATCTCCACTCACCTTGATGATGGTGATGATGATGGGTAACCGAAGGTGGACTCGCGTGATACGGCGTCGGTGGATAAGGTACCGGACAGAGCGCTGCTCCCGCTGCCGCAGCGGCTGCGTAAAGGTGATGATGATGGTGATGATGGTGGGCCGGATGATGCGGATGATGATGAATGGCTGCGGCAGCAACGGCGGCCGCAGCTGCGCCCACTTTGTTCCTCAGGATCCGAGAGATACTGGACACCGATGGCACGTTGTACTTGTCGCATACGCCATCCGAGAGCAATCTGTCACGGATCTCCCAGGCGAAGATTCCTGGATCCTTGAGCTTCAGTTGTTTTATATACTGAACGACTTTTGGGGTGGTCACTCGTGGCTTGCTGCCTCCTATTGCTCCTGGCAGAATACTTCCGGTCTCGTGATACCGTGCCAGGATCTTGCTCACGCACCCGTGGCTCACGCGTAGTTGACGCGATATGTCGCACGGTCTGATGCCCAGCTGCGCCAGCTCGACTATTCTCAATCTTACTGCATTGGGTAAGGGTCGGCCATTCACGAAAACACCGCCTAGCTGATTAACCTCGCCGTACTGCTGCTGTTGCTGTCCGCCAGGTCCGCCGCCGCCACCGCCACCAGGACCCACGACCATTCCACCACCGTTGCTGTCTGAAACATACGACATGAACCCTTGAAGCACGACCTTTATCATACATGATAAAATTAAAAAATACGATTAACGAAATAGGTAAAATTATTTATTTATAAAATTATGACTCGTTATGATTTTATATATTATCTGAATACTTCGGTACACGTAAATACAGTTTGTGTTCATCCATGGTATCACGGCGAACGACTAGAATTTCGTGATTCGATTTTGTAAAATGAAAGCTGGTAACAGTGAGACCCCCTTAACCCTAGTGCATATAAGCGGCATGTCGAAGTTGATTACGGGGTAGCCTTATGGCCCATTAAAACTCTCGATAAATCCTTGTTTTATTTCTTCCTCTTATTTCGAATACGAGTATCCGTTCTCGAGTCCGTCAGATAGTACCTGAACCCTGAACCCTGTCATAACCTTTCGTAATACCACAAAAAACCAACACTGCAGTCATTAATATCCAAACATCACAGTATCTCCCATAAATTAAAAAATTTCACTTTTCACTTTAATAAGCCCAAAAATCAGAATAAATCCAAATCGGAAAAAATCATTACAGGCGTCTGCTAAATATACACAAAAATTAAATCAGCCTTGTAATTAGAGTCAAAAGTGACATAACCTAATACCAACCTACAAAATAAACTATAAAACATCGAGCATCCGCAGTATGGCGCGTATCCCAGGAAAACCCATTTATCTGTCCCAGGGCACGCGTGCTAAATTGCCTGTGAGGGTTCTCTAATGAGATGCACGCATCTCAGCGATGATTGCAACCCACCAAGAGGGTTAAAGTATTACCGAACCGAACCGATCTTGAGCCGCCCCGAAGTAACCCTTAATTAGCGAACTGCTGCCCCAGCAATTGCCCCTTACTGCATTCCATGCGCGTTGCAACACCCCATTCTCTCCTGGCTCGAAGACAACCCCGTTATAGGCCCAACACGTTAGGGGTCACGGGGCTATCTTTAACCGTATGTAACTATATGTATTATATATATGTATATATAACATATACCATTCACGTTCTATCCACTCACCAACCTGACATCCACCTCCCCTTCTTATACGCGTCCATTCCCTCTCCCACTCCTCCCCTTTGATTTCCTGCAGTGAGAAAATCGTCGAACGCAAAACGTCCAGTTCATTTTTCATCGAGCAAAAAGTGCCGAAAGTGCCATAGCACCAGGAGCGTAGCTGATTTAAGGCGCACTGCCTTTCACCCGAAGAACAACAAGAAAAGTCACTGGTCGAGGGGTAGATGGCCAAGCCAAGTCGCTCCTTCGCTCACTGACTTCTCGGAAGAGTTTCGTCGACGACGGAGACGCTTTTTTGCGTAAGGATTTGTCCCCCCCCCTCACCCCTCCTCACTGTTTTGACGACGTTACTCCTTCTCTCTTTATTCATTTTCTTCTTTTGTTCGACCTCGATGCTCGTCGTTTGCTTCGTTGCTCGTTTCTCAATAATAATTCTCCTCTTTTTATCGTACTTAATATTTAATGGTACCTAGCACGTGTAGAATGCCTGTTTAATACCTCCTACAAGTTCTCAAAATAACATTTGAACATTACTGCCTAAGAACGCTAAGCGAGATGCATTTATTGTCTTTGCCAGGTACATTCGTGAACTTTGACAACGATCATCTACGTTTGGAGAAATTTCTAGTTATCGTAACTATAAAACACCAACTAATCACGAATAGTTAGTGCCTTCGAATGGGCGCATAACCCATGTAGTAACTATACAAATTTCTTGGAGTGTACACAGTTCAAATTTGATACTACAATATCCGTTACTAATTTTCATAAATTCAATAAATTCTATCATATTACACGAGCACTTCTACGATCCTTGAAAGAATAACCGAAGTGAGGTTATGTGTATTATATAAAATAATCATAACCAACAGTTTTTATTTCGACACGAAGTAACCCTCTACCCCTCCTATCAATATTGTCATGTCAATAAGTTATCAGTCTCTTCAGCATTGCACTGATGCATCAACCATAAGTAACCATTCCCAACATACCAGGCATACCACCAAAACAAAGTAATAAGCACAATCAAGTATGATCTGACATTAGAAAAATTATTAGCAAGCTAAACGCCTCAAGTTCGCACCCCTTTAACAAATTATTCTTACGAGCGTCGTCCCTCGTGAGAGACACAAACATACGCGTAGTCTGTCTCTCTCTTTCTCATAGACGCAGGACACTTCCAAGGCACTTACACGTAAAAACGTCCGCATGTAATATTATTAGAGTTTTTCTCGCGAGGGGTGATGAATGGCCGAGATCAAAGAAGCCGACGCGTGTAGTCGGTTTACACGCGTGTAATACATGTGTTTAACCAAGAAAACTATATACCATAGTATATACGAGTGACATATGTGTATATATATATACACATATATTTGAACCACAAGTAGCTAAACCATCTATGTTCACTGAAAACCTCTCACTCTCTTACCACTTCCGAACCATTCTCTCAGCCTTTGCCCTGCTCCATAGTTACACTCGAAAAAGTCCTCCGACGAAGCGAAGTGAAGTGAAGTGAGGAGTAGGTAGGCCGATCGAGGTAAGAGAGAGAGAGAGAGAGAGAGAGAGAGAGAGAGAGAGAGAAAGAGAGAAACAAGTATATATCCGAACAGAAAGCAGTATAGGTGGTAGGTTCGAAGTGGGCGTGTTCATTCAAGTGATGGATGTCAGTGTCACCCGCTGAACATGTGCTTTATTTAGGCACCTATAACGCATCCAGTGTTTGTCTACCATCTAACCCACTAATTATCCACCCCATGTTGTCTGCCCGCTCTTCCTCTTTGCCCTCCTCCTCTTCCACCTACTCCTACGTCTTTATATTCCGGTGGCCCTTTGATAAACAGATCTTTCATTTACTCGAGTACTCCTTTCCTCCTTCAGTACCTTCATGCTCGTCTAGTTGACGAACACGAGTTATTACGAACACGGCATACCGTCTGTATTATTTAGTTACCGTCAACGCATGTACTTGGACGTTATTCGAATTAATAGCCTTGCTTCTACAGATATATCTCATGAACTCTATTTCCATATCTCTCAGCAATCGGCAGCTCTAAAAGCTTATAATAATTGTATGATAAAACGGTTTTGGACTTGTGCCGAACTTGTGACAGACATACATTCGACATTGCTAAAACGCGTTCTACTTGTCATTTTGTTTTTTGTAGTGTATTAAAAAAAAATTCAAAAATAAAATTTTTACATATTACGTACATAAGTTTGTTTGTGATTACAAGTAGTTTGTATTTGTCATACGTGCATTACATATGAAACTTGAAGCATATGTAAATTTACGTACTGCGATTCTCCAGTTGTGTGCAGTCTGACGTCATATGTATATACCAATGCATTCCGATATAGCGTAGTTACAATATATATGTATATATCGTTTAATTACGAAAAAAAAAAAAGTATGAGTGCATGGCAGTAAGGCGCATGCGCGAATCGAGGTGAAGAGTTAATCAAGCAATCCGATGAATCAATCATGATCGATCGTGCCTGTTACGTCTATACCAGGCGTGGAACGTTTCCCTTGATCTCCATGCACAACCCCTTGCTTCAATTTTCTTTTATGTATAAATCTCTCTCTCTAATCCTTTCTTGCTCCATTTCGGTCACGGGAGACCACGGGTGGACGTGTTGTAATGTAAGAATAAATAATAATCATCATATGCAGTATAACCATAAAAGGAATTGGCTGGTGATTTTATTAGCGCGGCGCGAACCCCTATACGAAAAATCGAGTAAAGAATAAAAATGGAGTCTACTATAGGTACACGCTCGATCTCACGTTTCCTTTTTTTTTTTCAACAGCCTTCGTCGTACCGCTGCCCATGTATGTACACTCTTCGCGTATCGGAATAGCCGTAGATAATTTGTATGGCAGTCTATATGCTTTATACCTATATTTATGAAACATATATATATTGCGCATATATATGAATATATACATATATAGCTTGACTACCATAGCTACAATCATACATTTCTTCACCCACGCTAAGTAAAAGGTACCCACCTACCTACCCAACCTAACCTCCTCTTACGTGCTTCGCGATGCCATACTCGAGTGCCCATTTGATGACTTGGGCAGGTGCAAAGCCAGACCGTCCAAGCGCCAATGTCCAAGTTGCATAGTGTCTGCCATTGTTTTTCAAAGTGGATACCTAACGTCGCGAATAGACTGGGTACTGACTTACATTGGTCGGATTGAGATAGTTTTCTAGATAACTAGAATTAGCTTTAGATTAATTGATTGTGGCAACGGCGTATTAGATATTCTAATGACATGAAGTGAGTGACAGCTTGACGGCTGACGCAGAGTAAGAATTTGTAAAAAAAAGTAGGTAAAAAATAAAAAAAGGGGTAATTGGTTGGTTCAAAGACAGAATGTGGATGCACGAGAGAATGGTTAAAGTCACGGCGCCGGCGCTACAGTACGTGTACTTCTGTGTACATATATTTACGAGCAATAGTCCAGGTACCGGGTTTGTGGTTGTAGGACCAAAAAGTCAGTCCTTGAGGTAAAAATGGGTCCTGGTCAAATGGGTGTACCTTAGGTGCCGAAAGCTGTAGGAAAGACCTACTTGAATTTTTTCGGGAGCTAATTCCGAGTGTTTGAGCAGTCCTTTGTCAACTGAGACTCGGCCTGATGTGAACCGCTTTTAAAAGCTGTATTTAATGTTTATTTCAAGCAAATAGTACTAATTGAACGCTAATGAATCTATAACTGCTTCTAGGCTGCGGGCATTTCCGACGGAATTTGAGATGTTGACCTATAGGTACTGTAGCTTTTGTACAGGATAGATAATGTTTTTACCGGAAGGAAAGGGGTTTTTTTTTTCAACAGATATTTATTTTATTGTCGCACAGTCGAATATTTTTAAGTAATGATAAAATCTTGAATTTGGTTAATGCATAGAGAAATTTTAAATTTATAGATTTTGAATAATATACCTTAAACGATCTTACGCGATAGCGATTACGTAACCGATATTAAAATCAGATTGACAATTTTCCAAGAATCTCAAACCCGCAGATTCTTGAATTTTCAATCGTATTGGAATGCCGCCATCATTAGTTTCAGGGAAGAAAAATATATTTATAAAGTTTCTCAATAAAAAAATTTTTTTACCAAAGTATTGCCAACTTCACGTTAACTGTTAGAGTGGATCTATAAAATAATATAGTAGATTCGTAGAAACACTAAAAAACAGATAATTGAATTATAATACAAGTAATCGTAACTTGTTGTCTTTCAAATTTATTTTCTGGTTGCGCAAACCTTAAAACTCGTGCTGGATAAAGAGATATTGCAAAATTAACAAAATGCATGATAACCAGGAAAGCGAGGATATAATGAGCGGGTGAGACGTCATAGTTTCCAATTGCTTTCGACAGGAAGTAATATTTATGAATGAATCGAAATCTAGTATCGATTGTTTTTTTTTTCATGTGAAATTTCATCGCAATGAGCCATATCGACAGAAATATTAATGGATTCCTAATGTTTGCTCGCCTACATAACGCCTACGATAAGCGGCCGTTCCTCCGTGGCTTTTACTAAGCAATATATACGTATACACGCATATATAATATATGTACATTTATAAAAAATATAATGATCTCGATTATCGAATGTGTTATCTTGTACGAACATAAAAATATGAATAGCTTCCTATCAGTGCGCAATAATGTAATCATCGAATGCACACAACCATTGTAAAAACGTATGTGAACCGACATACTAATAAGAATACACGCGATAACACTCATGCTTGACGTCACATAGTATATTACGAATGAAGTGTCCAAATATTAATGTTTCATATAATACAAAATTACGTGACAATTCGGTTCAATTTGATATGTAAGATTTATTTTTATGAGAGCACATACGAATTATCTAAAGAAATACAACGGAAAGATTATACAGTAGACTCCCGTATAACGCGAGTTCTTACAACGTGAATTTCTATAGCGCGCCAAAGATATATTGCGACTACTGTTTTCATATAACGCGATTCTTCGTACAACGCGCCAAATAATAAAACACAGGAATTACCTGATTTCAGAATTAAATCTGCTTTAGTTGAGCATCAGATTGTTTTCTGTAGCAATAATTATATTAAAAATTTTACTCTAGATTATGAGCGTTATACGAGAAAAATTCCGGAATAGCACTATTTCCTATAACGAGAATTTATTATATATAGTGCGTAACGTATTAACCGCGTTATACGGAAGTCTACTGTATATTTCGAACCATATCTAAATTACGTATTTGAAAATGTTCACTCGTTCTTGTGTCATGGGGTGATAGAAAAAGATATGATAGAGAGATGACATGTCGATTTTTACTGCCAGAGCGACAGTTAGTATTTGAATGACAAAAATTATTAGTAGCAATAAAAATAATTTTTTAAAAATTTACCATTGCGATTATAATCACTAGTAATTTACTTAATGAATCTTACTAGAATTCTTGTTACTGCCAAGAGAATTTGTGCTTGTCCAAATACTAACCGTTGATCTGTCTGTACAAATCTAAATGTATGTTAAATACGTGTAGGTATGTTATTTTATATAGTCACCTTTTATTGGATTAGATATAAAATACAGATATGCAGATATGCAGTGTAAGAGCTTGTAGTTGAATAAGTTTGAGCAAAGCACAGTTTGAATATACAGATATTGAATTTACAATACTACTTTTATTTATATACTCAGCCATTAATGCAGTAAAGTATAAGAGAAAAAAAATGGAATAAAATTCAATAACCTTTGATAAGATTAAACTGGAAAAAAGTTACACTTGATAATTATGCAACGATGTTGCACGAATAGCATAAGCACATTGTCACTGACGATAATTAATAATAAGAGTCCTGTGCTATCAACATTTCTCATCAATAACCGTAACAGTCGAAATGAGCGGGAAATCTGAACGTCCATTTCAATTTAAAATATCTCTGTACGTATATACCCAGAATACAAATATTTCTAATGAATTAAACAACTACCTCTAAAGAAAGAAATCCTATCATATAATCATAGCTCACCATGTACGGTAGGATCCATAAGATAGTCAGCAGAGGGTAGCCGTCGGCTACATGCAACGAAAGTCACGTGATTATCTCAGTTTAGGACGAGATCTTCGTACAAATTCGTACTACAAATCGGTATCAGATGTTTAAGCTTGAAGAGATGAGTTACCCGTATTAAATCGAGTAGTTTAAATAACAAAGCAGTGCATCATTTTTGTTCTGTCATATACGCAAGCCGAAGACACACATGTCGAAAGACAAGTTACGCACGATAATCCTAAATATTTTTATATAAACACTACACTCGTGCGTTGCCGGTTTAAACAGCTAATCAAACAAACCACCGTAGATGTACTTTTTCCATGTGGTAAACCAAAAAAACAAAGAACAGTCATGGACACGGTCACTGCTGCACGGCTCGCCCTTCGTTGGCTCACTGACTGAGACGACAGATTTACCAGAGCAGAAATAAGAAATCTCCGGCTATAGTCTTTCATCCGGGCGCGTTCGCCTGTACCGAGGAATTGCTTTGACTGTAAGCGTGGCCAGCGTGTGTGTATATAATTCTCGCAGCATCACCAAGGAACAGAGCCACCATCGTTTTCTGTGTAAGACGTGCATGCAGATCGTGAGGTGTTAGTGAGAAAGTGGCCTTATCATTGGTTCGCTGCAGATCTTACACATATTCCTTCGCGTAATATTCTTGATTCGGAAGCTAGTCATCCCCACTCTAAAAACTAACCCCACTCAGCTGTGCGTTAGGAACGTGAGGTAGTTTAACGAAACGTGATGTGCGCATGCGCGACAATTCATTTGAACGCGTGTGCGTGCGCACGCTCGAGGGAGTACGGCATTAAACGACAAGGGTGGGGGAGTGGCTATGGAAAGAGGCGTGTTCACATTGGTACGGGCTATTGGCGAGTGCACACACCGTGGCACTAGGCAAGCTTACGCCTTCTACGGCACGTTTGTGACGTACGTAGGCAGAACAGGGTGATGCAGTGCATGTCGTTAGATTTAACATTTAAAGCTATGCGCACTTATTGCCATCATTGTATAGAGCCACGCCTTGGTGAAGAGAGTTCTGGCGCGACGATGCCATCCCGTTTGAAAATATTACTAGAATTGACTCCATTTGATTAAATACATAGTCTCCTTGATGCGAGTTGTTTAACACGGATTGCCCGCGTTCTTTTTAAATATGTATACGATAAAGACTTTTAATGATATTTAGGATTCTTAATGATTAAGGCAATAAGATTGTATTTTGTTCGTTACTATTTTCCTTTATACATATAAATCGTTACATTGTTCCTGATCATTTGCATTACCTTAATTTAATTGACTCAATTGTTACATTCCTTGCTGTTGACTATTCTACCGTGTACATATATGGGCTACGATGATTATTAATCTTTCTTTACGATTGCCTATTCCAAAGATTACGTATATGATTGATTATCCATGCTGTACTTGGCAGTAACATGCTCCAAAGAAGCAACTACGTGGTTCGCAATAATGGTGCTAACTGTAGCAGACGAAAAAACTTGGATGACAACTAATATGGAGGTTTCTCGTAAAGATATCGATCTACGGTGGCTATCTAATGAAATTCACTGAAGCACTAAATAATATTCCATAAATGTAACTGTGGTCGCATCACGTGAGAAGAAGCTCATGGGATATCGAGTATGAAATGAGCAAAGGCCGTTTCACCTCGCGGAGCAGAGAATTATCTGGCGGTAAGCCCAAATTCTAAATTTACCCGTGTTTTCATCTGCACAGTAACCATGCATGATGGGTGCGTGGAAATGTATCCACGTACGACGTACTGTTTCACCGTTTAGCCAATACGCGGCCATTTTAACTAGCATATACAGGGTTATTCACGGCAAACCCATCACCTGAAGTTGGATGCGATTGAACAATTCTGTTAATCGAGGCAGTGTGGCCTTGTTTAAGCAAATGAAAGAATGCGAAATTCATGATCTTAGCAATGTTATGACGTTACCTTTCATTTCTTTGATGATGCTCTGATTCTTAAAATCACCCATTCAGGGCCAATTTCAGCTGGTGCGTTTGCCGCGAATAACCCTCTATATATATGTACAATAGTTGATTTACAATAAAACGGGTAACTTCTTAATTTCACTATTGTAACACGAATCAAATACGATTACGACATGCAATTAATATTTGTTCGAAAAAATGAATATCGTTAAAATTAACTAATTAAATTTTATGAGCGGTTTAAATAATTTATTATTCGTAATATCATGTATATGCACACATTTCCGTAAGAAACTTGCAGTCCCGATAATATCATCTTTTTATGAATTTCCGTCTACTCCGGTAGCAAGTTTGCCGAGCGTATCTCGTGTTTTTTATCAAAAGATATAATTCATCAACGTTCACCAAAGTAAGAGAACGAGAAAGTATATAGAGATGCACATTAAGACAAATTACAGTATTTCTACGAAAACTGCAGTAACATAAAATATCGTGTCTCGACATATCCTGCGAAACTTTAATGACGAGCAATTATGTCAGATAAATGATGTACCTGGTGTAAAAAGAATGATTTCTAGTTATAAATCCAACTGAAGGTTACTTTGTTGTACCAGTGGGCTGCAGTGGTAAGAGACAATAATTTGTACCGACAGAGGTAGATGGCAACACATTGATATAATCAAGCACGACGACAGGGATATGGCGCGTATCACGAAAAGGAGAAAATCGTGAAAATTTGAAGTATCACGCGCAACGGGTAAGGTCGCTTTGCCACATTTTGTGGATTGTCGCACAGGGTGAGGCTTCGTTTAGCACGTAATATAACGCTGCCGAATAGCTATTTATATGTGTATCTATAGCTAAGAGAGCAGGGTTGAAGCTTAAACCACAGAATTCATGAATATGGATACGACTGGAGTAGGTACGTACTTTTGTGATAGTGCGTGTTACTATATTGGCTGTGTTAATGTCAGTTTGGTCCAATCCCCGACCCTATGGCTCGACTGTCTATATGCACGAGCCAAGTAAACGCGAGATACTCTTACGGCTGGCATAGCGTAGCGACTTAATGGCTCGCAACTAACGTTCAGGGCCGTATGTAGAGAAGAATTTTGAATGTGACTGGGAACTTCTCAACTTATGTCATTTCTTTATTTCTAGTTTCTGAAAATTATCCTTCTTTACATTAGGAGGCTTTGTCTTTTAAATATTAAGTTTTTCATTTTGTTATTAAAATTATTTTAATAATAACTAAGATTCCTATATCTTTTAGAATACATATGTCTAGTTTACACTACGTGTACTGACTATCCCTACTCAGTTCATTCCCATAAGACGCTGAGACAGACAGAGCTTCATACGCACGGTGTAAATAAGGCCATAGAATTAACGTTGTATGGAGTGTGTCATAATTCATTGAATTGATAGATGTCCACAAGATATTTAAAAAAATATAGTCACTTTCATTGAACAAATAAGAAAACGGATTTTTTTATGAGTGAAATCTGTTCCTAAGTTCAGTTAATTTGTTTTTATTTAAATATGGATATGCGAATTGGTCATTTAGGTGTGATACTTGCTAGAATGAAGTGTTACAAATAGGGTATAAAAATAAGTGATAAACTGCGCCGAATGGTTTCTGTACTTACTTCCGAAACCTTGTAAATTTGCAATATTCCTCTTGATGCCATTTATATTCACCATAATGCTACTATATTATATTGGTTGCACTGTATAAAAATCGGTTAGATACATTCGAACGCAGTGGAAATCAAATGAATAGCCACTGGTTTGGGTTTAAACAACGTGTCATTTTCATAAGAAGAATTGCAACATTTTTTTGTACGTTTTACTTGCCGTCAGTACAAACTTACAATACTATCGATAGAATGTCGATTGTACAGTGAGTTAAGTACTTCGATAGGAATTTGGAACTCTTACGATTAACAGATATTCGTAAAATTATCAAGATTTTTATTATACACGGTGACCCGTAACGATGAAAATTGGAAATTTTTATAGTTTTCTCATAAGCTTGAATGACTCTTTCAATGGGGAACATTATATCCTAATATGGAAATTCATAATTAATAAACCACGATGACTGAATTAGTTTTCTATAACTTTATAACTATAGTCTTTATAAAGACAAGACAAATATTCAAAAGGATTGGTAGCCAATCATAGAATTATCAATCAATCAATACTACTAAGATTGATTACGTATTTAAAATAATGTTCGTATGAATAATGAAAACGTATTTCAATGTTTATAACAATATTGAGGACTGTTTTATATGTGAAAGTCGCAGAGATACGTTATGGTATGTAATCGAACGTGAAATTCACAGATGGATGAAATTCACAATGCAATACCATATAAAAACAGTGGAATAAGTTTTACTTATGAGATAACCACTGCAAATTGATTTTCCATCATTGTTCGGAGACACCATGTACAATGTCAATATATACACAAGGAAGGAGAAAAAAATATCAACAATTAATGCTAGCCATTATTCTCATCCTCTTGAACCTGATCTTCGTGATCATCTTTATCCTCCTGTTCCTGATGATCTTCCTGTTTCTCCTGCACTTCTTCCTCCTTCGCCAAGTCAGTAGTTATAGGGACCGACTCCTCGGGTTCAATTTTTGGGGACTCTGTCGGAGGAGTCAAAAGCATTGTGGGCGGCAGAGCCACTTCAATTTTTAGATTTTCTACTATGTTGACCTCGGGATTAGGATCCCGATTTTCTTCGCCCTCTTCTACAGACCGTGGCACTTCTTCTTGAGTGTTCTGAACAACATTATTATCGTTTTGCTGATGTTTTGCAAGGCCCACTTGCACTTCTATCAATTCAAGCTCTTCTACCAGAGCTTTTTCTCTTCTCTCAACTTCCTCTGTAATCAGACCAAGAAGAATTGTTAAGGCAATGATATTATAACCTCATAAAGAATAATGAATATTGTAAACTACCATGAAGTTCCTTGGCAGACTGTGCTAATAGAATATCTGTTCGAGGATGGGGACGCTTTGGTAAATAATATATAGACGGCTGAGAACGAGTTCGTATGAACGAAGCAAGCGGTAACTGCACAGCACGCCATTCTTGGAATTGCTTACTACGTGCCAGTTTTGCTTCCAGAGCTCGTACTTCAGCTAGCTGACGTTTTCGAGACAGAAAGAGTTGCTGTCGTTCTTTTCTTAACTCCTCCTTTTCCCTTCTACCAGCTTCTTCAACTCTTGCTTCAACTTCTGCTTTCTTATCCTCCTATAATAAAATTGTTATGAATAATGATGCTTTTTGAATGGGGATGAATTATGATCCTTACTTTTGCTTTCAGCTTTGTTTCCTCTTGACGAAATTTTTGTAGAGTACCAAGAAGTGCCCCAAACATACGTTTGTTTCTTTGGCGGCTGCGTTCATCCACCCGCTCACGTCTGATTACTTCCTGACGAGATGGCACTTCTCGTGGGGTTGCTATTACTCTTGAAGATACTGCTGGCTGTAAGAAATGAGATTGGCAATTACTAAATACTTTAATAGATGCACATGGAAAAATATGTAAACAGTCAGTAGTATCATATATAAACCTTAATAGCAGTATCATCTTCATCTGCACTGTCATCTGCATTTGAAGGCACTCGTGCACTTAAGCGACTAAAAACAGTTTTTGGTTCTCCCGGTGGTGCTTGCCAACGGCGTTTAGCCCCTGGTGTTTCATTATTTGTATTAGAAAAGTCCAGTGCTGAGCGTCTGCGATCCTCCTGTAGTGGTCGTTTTTGTTGAATTCTGTAACAAGGAATAAGGTTATGAAGTACAAAAAAATCACTTGGAGTTAATTCTATCACAAAAATCAAATGGACAGGCCAACTTCAGTTGGTACATTGTCTGAATAACTCCTATACATTTGATAAAGGGATTAACTGTATGTATAAGAATATGCAACAGCCCTACCAAAAAAAAGAATATATTATGTACATCTAGGTAACCGTATTAATAAATTTTTATTTCTATTGACATAGTGCAAAATAACACAGGAAATTAAGCCGCTAGTTCAGGTTATGTTGTTTTTACTTAAATGCGATAACAGTAAAGTGGTGAGGGCGTCTGTTCACACACATTTATTAAGTTAAACATTTATGCAAATAAAATACACTGAAAATAAATTAATATGCACCTAGTTGGCGGTTGTATTGTATTTTCACCGTCCGGAACATCTCGGCCTAGAATTTTACGAATATTCCGATCTAAGCCTCTGAGACCATCACGAGCAGCTTCCAATTCAGCTTCTAATCTTTCAGCCCCCCAGGGCTCTTTGGCATCTAATTTTCTCATTTATTTAACTTTTTTTGATTCCCCCACGCACTTGAAACACCTACTTTCAACTAATTACTAGTAACGCCGCAATTGTTGTAACACATTACAAGCAAAGGAAGCCATTTTCATTTGTTTCCTCTTTCGCGTGTTCTAAAATCCATTGTAAATACGCAAGTCGAGGACATTATTTCGATGCTTAATGCTTGCTGTGTTGGTACGGCAGATGTTTAGATACTTCTGAATTCGACCAAATAATTGCGTATTTGCTATAACTATTTACTGAGAGAGTGTTCTTAACTTGGTTCTTCAGAATCATTGCTGTTTGAAAAACTTTAATGCTGTCACACAAGATAAAGGATAATATTTTCCATCCAGAGCCTAGAGTTTCTATATTCTGTAAGTCCGGTTTATATAATTGCAGTGGTCCTGTTAATAAAACAATTTGGCAAATTGTTAAAAATATACACTGAACATATTCAGTATTGTAGAAAATCGGACAATATGATTTACTTATATTAAATTATTATTTCTAAGCATAATGTCAGTGTAACTCTCAAAATAATAGTATTTTATTTATACATTTATTTTGATTTGTAGAATTAATGGATGCTGACAAATCCATACTTCTGCAGAAGCAGGTAAGAGACAACTCAGAAGATCTGCAAAGTGAATTCCTAGACTTGAAAAACTGGGAAGAACAGATGAAACGAAAAGATTTTGAAATACGTAATGCTGGTGGTGATCAGGTAAGAGTTTATAGTTATAGTTTCTAGATTATTTCTATTATATGACTTGCATTTTACATAAGAAGGTTCTACCACCGGTTAGAAGCAAAAAGAAGAAAGTAATTCCATTATCTGCGCCGAAGGAGAATAATAAGCCTAGTACTAAACGCATTAGATCTCACGACTATTCTGCATGGGATAAGTTTGATGTGGTATGTTTTTATTACATGTATCATTGTTATTAATTAAATGTGTAAGTGTATACATAGAATATATTTATATTCAAATAGGATAAAGCATGTAAAGAGATGGATAAAGGGGATCAGTCTGATGAATCTGTAGAAGAAAGTTTATCAAAGGAGGAATTAGAAAAGAATCATTATGAAGCTTCAAAACATAAAAATGAAGGGAACGTTCTTGTGAAGCAACAAAAATGGGATAAAGCAGTTGGTTGCTATAGTAAAGCAATTGCAATTTTTCCATACGATGCAGTTTTTTATGCAAATCGTGCATTATGTTACTTAAAAATGGACAAGTATAGTTTTTCTGAGTTATTGAATTTAGATTTAGATTCATTTTATATGTTTTTTAAATTATTTTAATTACCAATAGCTTATATTCGGCGGAAGCGGATTGTACTACAGCTGTACAATTGGATTCAGAGTATGTGAAAGCATATCATAGACGAGCTACAGCTAGGATGGGATTGAAACAATACCGTGAGGCTAAACAGGATATTGAAAAAATTTTGAAATTAGAGCCCTCCAATAAAGAAGCAGTAAATATGCTTATTCAAGTTAAGAAGAAAATCAAGAGTTTAAATGTTTGTATTCCATATTTCATTAGCGTAATGTATTCAGTGCGTTATATGCATATATTCTTTCAGTCCGTAACTATAACGGGTGAGAATTTGATTGAGGAGGTTTCAGTTGAAAAAAGGATTGGTGAAAAACTTTGTGGAAAGACGGTTAAAGACATAAAACAAATTGACAATATTGTAAAACCAGCTGACACTGTTCCATTTACGTCCACGTGGATACTAGAGGAAGGTGATGATGTTGCTATTGTACACCCAATCGTGAAACCTCCTCATCAACGGTCCAAAGTAAGTAATAATCAGTTAATATTACTACATTGAAATGTTCCATATAAATTTATTATTCATGTGACATGTTTCCTCTCTTAAGAAACCTCTAAGAAGAGTTTCTGTGAAAGAAATAGATTATAATGACAAGCTCTTGACAAATTCGATTAAGATTGAAAAAAATGATGAAAACGAAGTTCACAAGTCACCAGATGTAGAATACAATTCAAAAAAGGAAGTATCACTTAAAAGTCATTCAGCAGCAAGTGAAATCCGTGAGAATGGAAAAGATACAAAGAGTGAAGTTCTCAAATTACCCCCAGTACCTAAAACTGCAGTTCAGTTCTTAATGAATTGGAAAAAAAACACATGTGTGGAATACAGATACAGATATCTTAAGGTAAAGAAATAAACATATTTATACCATTGTTGTACCACAAGGTATATACCACTAATATTTTCAATAATCAAATCACTACAAAACAATATTTGTCTGTTTTTCTCATAGCAAATTCAGCCTGGTATATTACATACAATTTTTCAAGATTCTTTAGAATCTGATACGTTCAGTGAAATTCTGCAAATTTTAAGTTCAAAGTTTGTCGTCAAAAATGAAGCAGTGTTCCATTACTTGGAGGATCTCAGTCAAGTCAAAAGATTTAGAGCATTGATCATGTTCATGAGCAATGCTGATAAAAAAGGTACACAGTGTTGAATAATTTATCTTATTCCTGTATATGATTAGACAAATCAATGTATGAATGAATGGTCTAATTTAATTCCACAGAAATTAATATACTTCTGGAACATTGCAAAGCAGTGGAGCACAGATCCGAGGAAGAAATTGATGATTTGCGAAATAAATATGAGATTTAAAAACTGTTAAATAAATACTGCTTTTATTGTAAATTTCTACAAAATCTTCAATTTCATCAGAGTTGAACAGATTGAACAATCACCATTTAATCCATTTTTATTTCAGTACCCAAAGTTACTATTAATACTACAAGATTTCTCAATGTAAACAAAAATCAATTGCATTAAATAATATATTATCAAATTACGTTAAAACAAATTCTTTTATACTATGTTGGTTTTTTCATATGCATATAGGAGTATTGAATAAGGCATATATATATGTACATAATCTCTTACATAACCAATTCTCATCATTGTATTTTCAATACACGGGGTGTTATAATCTTATATAAATTTATCAAGACTGATTTTTTCAAACGAAGATAAGTATGTATAAACTTGGCATTTATGGATGTCCACAGCTAATAATGGGCTTTTTATTCAATCATGAAAGACAATTGATGTACAATGAAAGCAAGAAACCATTGTAAAAGTACCGTTAGGTATAAGAAAAAGTAGGCTGTAGTGACTAAAGATAATAGGAAAGACAAGAAGTAACCGGATACAAGCAATTAATAGTTCTTTCAAGTCTCCCACAAACTATACTCTTCTAAACATTACTTCTGTCGCATAAGTACGTGCAGAAATTAGATACGCAACGTGTAACGGCGCAGGCGCAGTACTAAGTGTCATTCTCGCACTGAGCTAACGAAGATAAGCGGAGTCAGTTTATCGTGCGATTTTAACAGGAACACATGCGGCTTGACGGTTCTGTATTAAGCTACGAAAAAACGTGATATGCTGTTGTGATCAAACAATATTTATTGTCTCGCGGTCGTCACGCAGCTTCAACCTCAATGATTGACTTGCGCCCACGACCTTCGACACTGTTTTCAACTTGAACCTAATACAATCTGGCGGCGAAATCGGGTACTAAATTTGACTTTTATCTTACGCGGGTTTCACTTTGAACGCATTGTTAATCATCCGTAGGATTGGGAGAGGAACAATGAAATATATTGCTGCTTTAGATGTTGGCACGACTACTGTGCGATGTCACATTCTTGATGAAAGTGCTACCGTTATCGCTGCGTCGGCAGAAAAGGTTTGGTTGTTTTTTTGAATATTTGAATAAATATTCGGTTGATGCATACTAATTATTTCAATTTCAGTCTATGTATTGCTGTGGATTATTTCAATAAATTGTAAAATTATTTCATTAAATTGAGTTAAATGTCAAAGTTATTATTCTGCTTTATTTAATAATTGTAATTTTATTATTGACGACAGAACTCATGGTGTGAAATAATGTTTTAATTTGTGTGAATTATATGCATAGAAACATCACTATTTTTTTTAATGCTATAACTTCATATAAAATAATAATAACCATAAAAGAATTAATAGAGTATAGTTTTCAACCTTCTTAGTATTCTAGTATAATAAACGTGTTTGGATTATCCGGCAGTATAAAAAATTCCACGCGTAATATTACTTTTAATGTATTTTTTTGTAATATGAAAGCCACCAAGGATTTAACCAAGGATTACGAGCATTGATTTCCATATCTTCGCGTGAATAACCTGGGGCTGATTTTTTATAAAAATAAAATTTATTCATCCTATCCCAAAGGCACACGTATATCTGAAATATTCCTTTGATGTATTTGCCATCAATATAATAATAAAAAATGTGTAAATATATAGAAAACATTAAATTTAATGATATTAACTATTATTGTTTGTTACGAAATAGGTGGAACTGTTATATCCGAAGCCGGGTTACGTAGAAATTGATCCTGATCAATTATGGAGTGCTATACAGCGTGTTGTAAAGAACGCAATCCACGGTAAGAAATATGTTTTCAGGACATAAGTACATAACTACTCGAACGATAAAATGCTTAGGTGTATAGAGATTCATCGTGTGATTTCAACTATATATATATATATATATATATATATATACACACATATGGCATATATGACTCATATTGTAATAGAGACGATTTTGCAATTAACACTATGTAAAGAATGTACAGTGGAGTATTTTACTGCATTTATCAAGTACGATTATTGTTCCAATTGCAGAGAGCAGAGTCGAAGCAGGCTCTATTGCTTGCCTTGGAATATCCACTCAACGTGGTAGCTTCACCACATGGAACTTCGAAACCGGTAAACACTATCACAGGTAAATCCAACTACTACTGTGAATATCGTATTATTGTACCACAAGCATGTTTGTGGAGAATCCATTTGATGTGTAGAGTATTTCAGATTTATAACATGGAAGGATTTGCGGGCAGATATGATGGTCAAGGAATGGAATTCATCTATGACCATGAGGGGTTTACGAACTGGTGCTCATTTATTGTACGTTTTATCACGAAGTAAACGATTTTTGGCTGGCAGCGTACTGAAGCTCATGAATACTCAGGTTTGCAATCAGGACACAATTTTTCTTTTATTTTGTTCAAAATACTTTCCGGACATTGTATAATTTATTTACAAAATTTCTGATTGCTTTTCAAACGAGTACTGTTACCACATTTCTTCAGTGTGATATTGCATTGGTTTTTTAATATTATATTTAGCGTATTCGAATTGTCTTATGGTTTGACAAAGAATCTTTTGTTGTAATTTTGATTTCTTAATGTTATTTATCATTGGTAAACGTTTATATAGTTAAGGAACGTTTATTGACAGTTTATGTAATTATTATGACTGTCGTTTAATTATATAGATACATTTCACTGGTTGATACGTAGTTAGCTGTTTAGAGTACGGTGACAAGACGCTTTATATGCACATATTGTAATGTGATGATTTAATCGACGTCCTTTGTGAACTTTAGATGACCTTGCGCCTAACGTGGGCTTTGCAACATGTACCGGGTCTAAACGAGGCCGCTATCAACGGGCGAGCAGTATTTGGAGGCGTAGATTGTTGGCTGCTCTATAAATTGACAGGTAAATATGTTTATCGCTGACTCTAGCAGACTAAAAAGAATGATTATCAGTGTTATAATTTAAATCTAGGAAAACACATTACGGATGCTTCAAGTGCATCAGCAACTGGCCTTTTTGATCCATTTACGATGCAATGGGCCGGTTGGGCTTTAAATCTTTTTAAATTACCTCGAAATATCTTTCCGAAAGTGGTTGATACTGCAGGAGCTTTTGGAAATGTGTCAAAAGATATATTCGGGGCTGAAATTCCAATTTGTTGTTCGGTAAATATTATATTAATAAAATTGTCATATACGATACCAATAGATTAATAATAATCTCTGTTGGTATCTCTTATGGAAATTTAGATGGCTGATCAAGCAGCTTCGCTGTTTGGATCCGGATGCTTTCAACCCGGTGATCTTAAGGTGACAATGGGAACTGGAACTTTCGTGAATGTTAACACAGGAAATGAACCACACGCTTCAGTTACTGGTAATTTAAAGTTCGACGATTGCTTAGAGAGTAGTCTTAAGATTTTTATATTTCATGATTCTTCACACTGTTTTCCTTTTAAAATATTTACGCCCATTCCGCTATTTACGCGGCGAACGAAATGAATGCAAACTATTATTATAATTTTAAATTTAGAGTTTTGGTTTTATTTTAAGTTTTAATTTATAGGATTGTATCCTCTTGTTGGTTGGCGATTGGGTTCTGAGCTTGTATACGTTGTCGAAGGCGCTTCGAATGACACTGGAACGCTTATTGAATGGGCAAAATCACTTGGTGAGAATAGTTTATATTATGTACTTTAAACATTTCATGGTCATAAATAAGAATAATTTATAAAAAACCATATAAAACTATAATATTTGCAGGTATAATAACACAGCCTTCGGAAACTTCTGATTTGGCGAATTCAGTTCTCGATTCCGATGGAGTTTACTTCGTTCCTGCATTCAGTGGACTACAGGTAACATTTGGAATTCAATGCACGGGTTCATATAATTAAATGTGAAAGTAAATGCACTATATCTATGCGATATCACTGCCTAGTTGTGTAAGCAAAACTTTCTGATCGTTCAGACTTTCTTTCCTGGCTATCGGGAAAATACCTATCTTTAAGGAAGAAAATTGCTTATATACTCTTGTTGAACTTTTGAAATTCTAATTTAAAAGGCACCTATCAATGATCAGACAGCCGCCGCTGGATTTCTTGGTGTAAAGCCAACGTCTGGTAGAGCTCACCTTGTCAGATCACTTTTGGAAAGTCTTGCATTCAGGATACTCTTATTGTATGATTCTTTACGCCATGAGACACGCTACACCTATCGCAAAATACGGTACGAGCGTCAAAACAATTTCTTAATCTGTTTTTTGCAGCTTCACATATAAAACGAAAAGTTGTTTATAATGTATTTTAGAGTTGACGGAGGTGTTTCTCGTAACGACTTTTTGATGCAATTATTAGCTGATTTGACGGGATTGGAAGTAGAGAGAGCAACAAGTAGTGAAATGTCAATCTTGGGTATTGCATTTTTGGCGGGTCTACAACAGGGTAAGTTTTTTCTACTCATCATTTACATCATTAAAATGCACTATAAAAGCTTTCAATACGGCATAATTGAGTTTTATGCACTAATAAAATATCAATTTGTACTTGTGGATCATCTTGGATTTTATTATGGGAAATATATTCGTTCAAGGTATCTGGAAGAACAGAGAGGAACTGCTGAAACTTCGACATGTTGAAAAATGCTTCAAACCAAACGAAGAGAGACGCTTACAATATCAACCTATAGTTTCGCAATGGAAAAGAGCACTTGATAGATTTAAAGATTGGTACTGACAATATGCCTAAGGATTAATCCTTTTAGATATTCAGCTCAATTGTTCCTAAGGGAAGAAGACTGCATTTTTTTGTATACTTTATCACCTTGAGATCGATTTAGCATTGTTCTTAAGATAAGAAAACATCGTTGTACAGGAATTATGATAGTTATGTACCGCGAAATTGAATTTGCAATTATGACAGAAGCCATGGAACACTTTACGCACGTAATGAGATTCTAAATTACATAATTAAAATTAATTATATACGCTAACGAATGCACATTAACAAATCATACACGTTAGAAAAATTTCTTTAAAATAATCATATTAGCGATACTCATGGATCAATGCAGTACATTAAAAACTGTTTTCTCTTTCAAATAATTTCTTTCCAGCCGAGTGTAGTATTTACGACTGTACTTATGTACGATTGAGTATTTATATCTATAGCTATTATCAAATGGAACATATCTAGATTTTTTACTTATACGGCGTTCATGTTACTATAAACTAAAAATCACGATAAAAATAATGATATAATTTTCATTCCACAATTTTAATTGTTCGTTCACTTTGATACCAACCATATTTGTTACAGGTATTATGACGTGTTAAACATTTCATATATTATTTTTATGAAATGTGATCTTTTATATTATTATTATTATATATATATACACACACACACAAAATATGTATAGCAAATATTTTGCGAATACCTGTCATAATGTTCAAATTTCAAGTGCCTTATAGAACTGAAATATTTGTGTAAGCCAAAGCTATTAACGATACATTTTATTAAATATCTCTGTCTCCAATTATAAGACCCATGTATCAAATAGTAATTCTACAACTGCTCCACAGCAGCATATACGGTTATTATCTATACTCTATATATTACACGTAATTATTATGTTATGAAATTGATGTTCTAGGTCCTCAAATTATAGGTATATTATGAAGTACAGTTCAAACTATGAAATATATCAATCAGTCCTTCTGAGCAGCCACTTTATTGTGGATTAGAATGTAAAAGAATTCCCTGAATGTGGCACTGATGGTCACGATTCAACAGTTAATATAGACAAGTAGAAATATATACATATATATGTATCCAGTTAGAGCGCCTATCGATATAGTTGAATATTGCTATTGCCGTATTAATTAATATATATTGATAATTATAATTCATTGATAATATTAATTAATTATGTATACGCACATTATCTTATCAGTACCCGAAACTTGTGATAATTAATTTACCGTTATTTGAACCATTAAAAAATATAGAGAACAGTACAGCAGCGACTACTATTGATCATTCACGGTATAGCAATGATGTGACGAATAAAATTGTATGGAAAAATGTGTAAATCGATACTTGCGTATAATGTCGATTGTATGGTTCGTCGGATTGTCTTTCATTCTTTTCCTCGTGTGATATCGATCAGACGTCACTGAATACGAAATAAGTCAACGATGATTTGGCTCTTTCATTCCATAGGAAAATCCGCTCTCAATCCAATCGACGTTCTTCACGATCAACAGACTGTGTTACGTTACGTTTTACTGGTTTGGTGTGAATGCAGCTATACTTTGCTGTTTTTCAGGTTGCATTGGTCAGTGTTCAGCATATTCTTCTGGTATACTTGCATCGGCGAACAGTCGCAGTTTGAGAACTCTACAACCGGTCGAGAAAAACTGCACCTGACAACATGGTGAGTGCTGTATCTGTTAAGCATTAGTAACTGGTTTCAGCAGAATCACGATGCTTACGATTGTTTTCATTATTCCTAACGCGTTGTCCCAGCTTCAATTTCATTCGGTGTAATGTGTTTGGATCGAGCATCTTACTCCGTGCTGTAATAGGTCAGTCTGTCTTATGGTTTATGGTGAAGGTGTTGTATTGCAGACTAGCTTAAGCAACTTAACTCAAAATGACGTACATTTACTATTGAATCAGTTAGTTGGTTGTATCTGTTAGTTAGATTTGGCTCTGCCATGTTCCAACTGTATTTTTGTACCGTGCAGTTGTAGGTCGTTACGGCTTTGAGCGGGAACGTTTTATTTTGAATTAATATTAATTCAAAATAAAATCTTTAAACGTACTTCACTTGTTTTTACGTTATTATTATTCGGTGCCGATTGGCGACTGGATTCGTGAGTGATTAGTCACAAATTAATGGCCGGTTTCTTCATGTCCATATAATTTCTACACAACGGATAGCTATCCTTAATACTAAGAAATATCTATTCCGGATTAAGTTATAAGGAACTTACATAAATGTTTGACCGATAGGCTAAAGATATTTAATACAGTTTAATCACACGGTGTATGAATTCTTGTGTTGATATTCGGATACAGTCAATCTTATACTGATAATACAATTTGTTTTAGACGGAAGTAATAGTGGATATGCCACAAGATGTGTGTCAAATCGAAGACATTGTACTACTGGGTGGAACAACAGAAAGGGAAGTTTGTCGGATCGATATGCAAGCGTTTCCAGATTCTCCGGAGTATTCAGATTTATGTGAGTAAATAATTTTTTTTTCATACTTTTATTAATAATAATAATATTCACCGGATTTCATTCTTTCTTGCGCTCACCACATTCTCTAGTTTCTGCTAGCTCTTTTCTTGAATATTTCTGGTCTCTCTCCCTCTCTCTTTCTCCTGTCTCTCTCTTCAGTACTACATGAAATACTTTCACAAGGTATCTATAGAATATATTGAAACACATGGTACTGAGTATTAATGTTTGACTAAATAAAGAACAAGATTTTGTAAAGTGTTTATTGAAGGTGGAAAATAGTTTAAATGATACGGAATATAAATATAAAATAAAGCTACTAATCTGTGAGATCCATATTCGATACATCTAAGCTCGTAAAAAAGGTATCGCGGTAATTTCAGTTCCACATAGAAATTGACTATTGCAAGAATATTCGAAAGGAGATTAGAAGAAACATGGCTGTGTTATTACGTATATAATTTTATTTACTTCGATGAGGAAGTAATAGACTTTATATTAAAGTATATTAATCCCACGAATAATTTATTTGTTAAGCCATTCCCGTAACGTATACCAGTTAGTACCTATATGCAGCAGGCATGCAATTGTGCTGATAAGAAGTTACATGTCGAAATTTTCATTATATACGATCATTTCCTTTGTCCCCAAAGTATAGAATTAAATTAGTAATCTTCAATAAGTCGTAAGAATTTCTTCACACTAATAGTCAACAGTATAAAAATATGTGAGAATTGCATAATTTATTCCTACAAGTAGGTATTGTCTTGCTCTTTTATTTTATCCGTACTTTGAACACTCACGAAAACCGATCGACTCGCGAACCTCACTAGTTGCAGTGCAAGCTATATTTTATATAGTTACATATGTATAAGTATACGTTATACGTTCTACATAAGTTAAACCCATACATTTTTCAACTCCATTGAGTGCAAAGAAACTTTGTGTCAAGTGTTATACGAATGTTGCTGTTAGTAGTAGATACACATTTTTTGATACACGATAGAACCCATTGTTATTACCGTGAAAACGAAAAATTGAAGCATTTTGCACGTTCTTTATTTACAGCGTGATACTAATATCGTATTGGTATGTAATTGGTTCGTTTAAGTCGGTTGGATGATTAGTTTACCAAGTGAATTAATAATACATTATTTTTATTAAACAAATTTGATTTTTGTCGGTACAAAAAAATATATTTATCCATACCGACAAAGAAACTGAATATAAAAGCCTTATTTCGAATTAATGAGAACATTGTATGTAATAGTAAGAATGTATGGCAAAGTGCTGTAGGGAAAAAATTATCTCCATAATAGTTCTCCTTCATTTCTAACGTTAAGTAGGTACTAAAGTTAACTTAGTGATTTTTTTCTTGTGTGGTATTCCAACTGTTCGTTTCCCGCGTCAATATTCTATAAACCCTGTTAGTAGACCAACCATCATCGGAATACTGACAGTCTGCCTTGACGTGTGAGATAGAAAGGAGAAATACTAAATCGGTCAGCTTGGCAATATAAATTTCGCAATTCTGCATAGTGTATAGTTTAATCGTTTAATTGATCGTTTTAGCAATCAGTTCCATGCGCGAAGAATCTTGATGAGCAATGTGTTTTATGAAATTTAATTAACTGGTATAAAATAATAACGTAGACTAAGTAGTTATATTGATATGGAGGATTAAATTTAATTGCAATAATTGTAATATATGATATACATTTAGAGAGATTTTAGTAATTTTCGATTATTTGAAGAATTGCAAATTGATATTTCAGGTACGTTTACTAGTTACGTACTAACGTGTTTTCGGATTCTACAAATTTCAACGTGTTTGTGGATCTATAATTGTTTTCACTGGAAGAGTGTCTACTAGAAATACTGCGAAACGAAAATGTCTTTGAAAGTATATGCGACCCAACAAAACGTGATAAGGTCTTTCGACGAAACTTTTGCTGTAAGACATGAGAACCAAAACGGAGGAGCGAGGGATTCTATAAAAATTCAAGTGGAATCTCCTTCGAACATCACTTCACAATCCATCGGTATTAAATTCATTTTCTTGGTGAAAATAGAATATATAGTTGTTGCACAGCCACTGTAAATACGATAGCATCTCCAATTTTCAATTTCCATGATTTCGATTTACAACGATTATGCGGCATTATTTGTAATAGTTTATGACTAGCGAATTTGGTTTTGTTAGCAAGTGTCCAAAACACGCTGGTCATTTTGTGAATTTTTGCTACACAAAAATTACCACCATTTTTCTTAAACATATGGTGGTTGACTTTCAATAATTTTTTTGGCAGTAAAACCAAAACGTTATTAATAAAGTATATATACTTTGAGAGTCTCCGTAAATGTCCTTACTTAAATTGTATTAGTTTAGCAGGTTTTTGGTTAATTCTTGGTAAAACTTTCAAAAATAACCAAAACATTTCATGAAATTTTCCTAACAAAAATTCATTACAAGCACTGATTTTTTGGATTAATCTGAAGTTAAACATTGATAAACATTCAGAATTTTATTAATTATTTACCGCAATAAGATTTTTATCAAAAAGTAACCAATTTAAACCTAAAAAAAGCCACAACGAATTCACTAAGGGTCTATGTTCCAAAATCTTACTCTTTTATTATACAGTATCGGTCTTTCTCTGACGAAAGCATGTCGGTAAATAGAGACAGAACGTTACTATAGAGTACGAGAGTAGGTTTTGGAACACACCCATCTCCGCTAATTTGATAAATGATTTGTAAAACGATATACCGTATGTATCATCCGAAGTAGGACACCCGAAGTTGCCGCGATCGAAATCGAGTTAAGTAGAACTTCTTACCATACAGAAGGATAATTCGTTCAGCAGATGCGATTATTATTACTCGTTTTCGATCGCGACAACTTCACGAGTCCTCCTTGGGACGGGACATACGGTATAATAATATAGCAGTCTTCACAACGGAACAGTATCCTAATGTGTAATCGTATTCGGGATATTACACATAATAATAAACTGTCTTTAACCCGCGAATGGTCGCGCGATTTTGTTTCCATTTCAAACCTACTGAGGTGGGGTGTTAATGGTAGGGTGCAAATAGATTTTTTTATTAAATACTTTATGCAATTTAGTTAATTTCCAGTCCTTAAAATCATATATAATATTACGTATAGTTAGTTATACTGTTATCATATATTTAATTCCCATTGACGTAGTATTTTTTGCAAAATATGAATTTACATACATATGAAAAAAAAAGTAGAAAAGAAGGAATGGATAGGCGCCGGCATCTATCGGACGGATGCCATAGTAATGTTATATAGATGATAATAAATGTTGGCTGGAAGCAGTTGGGAATAGGTTGTGAAATCGTACGCACGTGTTTTCGAGGAGATAAACTGCGCATCTGGCGTTGTCTCGTACTTTAAACTTTGACCGGGTAAACAAATATATTCGGAAGTGTTAAGTTTTTTGAAATCCAGATTTTCAGTGACTGTACGATAGACAACCCTTCGTGTGCGGTCGAAGATTTTTATCTATCGGTAAGCACCTGTCAAATGTCAGTTGCAGTTTAATTCTACCTGAGATAATAATACTGTATTCTGATACGAAGTTTTACAATAATTACATTTCCATCGTCGAAGGTTAAGTAGGATTGTTTATGAATCCCACTTGCTTCAATTATGAAGTCATTACTTTTTTAAAAATAACTGATGGAGTTAATGATTGTATTCGTATAATTGTGTTCTTGATAGATAAATTATCTTCGATGATAACTAATCCCCTCATGTAGAAGCCTACAAGGCAAAAGATGAGATTATCTTGGATCCTGTGTGGTTAAGTTAGGTTATGATAAATCAACATTGGTTAATTGAAGATTGCTCTTGTCTTTGTCCCTTGTCTCCTTGCTTTAATAACGTAATTGTTGAAATCTTTTATTATTCTTTCTATCTACTTATTGTTATCTTTATGGCATTTATTGTTACGTATGTACCCCTTGGAATCGGCTGCCTATAAATGATTAATAAATGATTTGTTTAATTGCTGTGTTCAAAGTCAAGATTTATGTAACAGAATGTCTTAATGCCATTATGGCAAAAACGTTTTCTATAGGTACCAATGGGTACAATAATACACTGTACAAAGTCTATATTAGATATGCAAATGTGAAAGGAAATAGTTGACAGTTTTCATATAGTGCTATTATTAGTAATGATGGATGCCATGGACAAGGACAATTAGTGCTTTTCATTGATCTATAATAAAAGTGAAATTGTATAATATACTGAAATCATTTTAGAAATGCTTAGTAGATTCATTGGTGTGTCCTGCCAAATTAAAAATTAAATAAGGATTGACACAAGCATCCTTTCATAAAATTGAATTGATAATTTTACCATTGCAATTGTTTTAGCTCTAACTAATGGTAAACAAGTAATGGGAACCTACGCTGATGTAAGTTGATTTTAATGTTTATTTATAAACAATTATTTATAAACAATTATATGTTTATGTTTAGTGCAATAGTCATTGAACATATTGATTATTGAATTAATATTTTTTTCATATTTACAATTTGCATGTAATTGGATTTGACATACTAAAATATGTAACATATTATTTGTACAATGCAAATTTCTTATGTTTTTTCTATATTTTGCTTTAACAATCTCTTTTTCATATGACATTTACGCAATACTAATTTATATTATTTACTTAATATTGTATGCTCAAGTATATTTGTATAAATAATTGGCTTCTTCCTTTGTAAATTTTCTATGTCCTTCAGTTTATCTTGCATAATAAATTTTTTGTTATCTATGTTTTTTTTTCAATCATTATTATTAATGAGCATGATAAACACAACTGACCTGTTGTAGTTATTCATTCCTAATTTGTAAAGGAAACTAGTACCAAATATATTCTCAATCAATATACATATTCATGGTACATTTATTTAAGACTTACTATATATGGAATAGTATTTGTCTTATCATTTCATCCATTGGTACTATATAATAACTAATTTTCTTGTCATTCAAACTTTCAGCTTATACAAAAAACGCGAGATGCGTTTTATAGCGGAAAAACCCGACCTTTGGATTGGCGGATTAAACAGCTGAAACAATTTATATGCATGTTAGAGGAAAACAGAGCTGAAATTCAAGCAGCGCTTGCATCTGACTTACGACGGGTACTTATTATAAAATTAGTTGTAGCATTTTTAGTCAGATAATTCAGTATGTTGATATTATCGTATTGTGAATTACATGTTTGCATCAAAACCAATTTCTGTTTTCTAATTTATTTGCAGTGCAAATTTGAATCAAATGTCTTAGAGATTGACTATACCATAAATGATATAAAGCACATGCTTATGAATATTAAGGAATGGGCAGCTCCGGAGAAGGTGATGTCAAGCCACATATATAAAGTTTCTATGTGTATTTTACAGACACACAAAATAAGGAAATGCTTACATGCAGCAGTAATTAACGTGCATAAATTATACAATTTTTCAGCCTCCTAAAGGATTAGTCAACATGTTGGATGGCGTTGAAATACGCAAGGATCCTTATGGTGTAGTTCTTGTAATAGGTGCATGGAATTATCCATTGCAATTGGCTTTAGTACCTATGATGGGAGCACTCGCTGCTGGTAATTGTGTTATTCTTAAACCATCTGAAGTTTCTCCAGCTACAGCTAAAGTCATTGCTGATATTGTTCCAAAGTATTTGGATAATGTAAGTATCATTGAAGGTATTTCTAATGTTATATAAGCAGTTCACATTGGTTCATTATATCTTTTCAATGATAGCTAAACTTTCAGCAACTAATGATTGGTATATTTCAAGAATCATATAAAATTATGATTTTCTTATGCAGGAGTGTTTTCATGTCATCCTTGGAGGAGTTGCAGAGACTACTGAAATTTTAAAACAAAGATTCGACTACATATTTTATACAGGATCAACTGCAGTGGGAAAGATTGTTCGCGAAGCTGCAAATAAATATCTGACACCAGTTACATTGGAACTTGGAGGCAAAAGGTATTCTACAGTGAAAATATCTGTTTCCAGAGTGTATATAATATTATATGTATACATTTTCAGTCCTGTGTATTTGGATAATACTGTAGAAATGAATATTGCCGTGAAGCGTATCTTATGGGGCAAGTGCGTTAATGTAGGGCAGACGTGTATTGCACCTGATTACGTTTTATGCACCGCAGAAGTTCAGAATCAATTTGTTCAAGAAGCTAAAAAAGTTCTTAAGGAATGGTACGGAGAGAACCCAAAAGAAAGTCCAGATTTGTGTCGTATCATCAATGAAAATCACTTTCAGTATGTAATGAAAATTCTTATATTTTTCTTAAAAGCCATATATACGAGCTGTCTTTAGGATTTAAAAAATGTATGTATTTTAAGACGTTTAGTAAATTTCTTGACGGGAAACGGTGAAGTGGCAATCGGGGGTGAAACTGATCCCAGCGAAAAGTATATATCGCCAACTGTTTTAACCGATGTTAAACCGACCGATCCTATTATGCAACAAGAAATTTTTGGACCAATTTTGCCGATGGTAACTGTAAATAACGCTTATGAAGCAATAAAGTTTATAAACGAGCGGTGAGTATTCTACATTTTTTTTTTGTCCAAAACGACTGACTTTCCATGAAATTGAGTGACTCTGTTATTTTTATGCAAAATCTTCTTCACTATCTTGCAGCATTTTATAAAGGTTTGCTAGAATATAAGGTGGCGAGTTCATAAAATTTTGTTTATTTTGAAATTGAAATCTATTTTTACATATTTTTCATTATTCAATTACGAAAGAAATTATACAGTATTGTTATCAGCTGTAGTAACAGCAACATTTTTGATATCCTAATTATATGCCAATATTTACGATAACGCAGTATACACTACCGACAGATTTCCTAAAACGATAATTTTTTTTTTTAATTTTTTACTCAGCAATTGTCCACTTACGTTATACGTATTCACCAAAGACAAGGGTGTGAGTGAATTATTTGTAAATCAGACTAGTAGCGGTGCCGTGTGCGTGAATGACACGATAATGCAATATGCTGGTGAGTCGCGAATACCAAAATTGAGATGGGGAGTAATTGGTTAATTGGATTGGATATTAGTATTATATATGTTCAAAATTTTCTTCTCTTGCTTTATTAACAGTTCTTGCTCTGGATGTGGTTTGCGACTTTTCAGACACTGTGTAATTAATGACTATTCCAATTATTGATTGCTAGTGATTTCATACTAAATTTTTGTTGAAATCATACATATATCCTCGTTTGTAGTGTATCTCTTTAGTATACAATTCTACAAAACGAGATAACGCACATGTATAAATAGTCGATGATATCATATCGGGAAACTTCATTATTATTATTTTAGCTCAAGTTCTACCAGTTTTCATTGTGCCAAGAAAACTATGAAAAAATAAATCATTTTGATTTTCATGCAAGTTTTAATTCTATTGGTAATTGCCTTTGAATTAAGGTATTACTACGGACCGAAAAATAACAAAATTTTCAATGTAAGATTTGAACAATCCAGCGTCAACTTTTGAACTGGTACAGTTCACTCACACACGCCCATCCCTGCATCGATAGGCACGCTCTAATGTACATTGGATGGAGTAGTGTATACGTATATACACCGAATACAGTCTCAAACGCAATTTTGTCTAGCCGTCGTACGAGAGATTTCGTAATAAATATCGAACTTCTTTCATGTCTATCAATAAATGCTATGAGTAAAAAGTTCTGACTAAAAATCTAAAAAATTCCTAATTTTTTCCTTTGCCACATACTAGTTTTTCATCGGAATTACGCGGACGAGTCAAATGCAATAAAAAAAACCATGCGCGTTTTATTGGCCAGGTATAGGGAATACGTGTTACGAGTCCTGACATTAACTCGGAGATACTCGGAAACTGATGAGTGAATCGTATTCAAAATTTGTAGAGCTGTACTGCTATACAAATTAGACGTAACACAAATTTCAGCTCGATTACGCGGTTTTGAGTTTACCGTAGTAATACCTTAAAGAAAATGTTCATAAATAGTTCAGTCCATCCTATGAAGTTTATGTAGAGATGGGTATAATTAATGATTAATGTACATATAATACATAAAGAACAATTGAATGGCATGAAATATGATTGTATCAGAATTTTGTGAGATGTGAATATTTATTTGAAATATTTTGGAGTATTTTATAACTGTTGTTTGTGTATATATTATACAGGGAGAAGCCTTTAGCGATGTATCTATTTAGCAACAACAAAGCAGATATATCATTAATTGTGCAGAATACGTGTAGTGGTGGTTTGGCTGTTAATGATACGATAATGCATATCGCAGGTATATGTTGAATACAAAACATTTAGTTAATCAATATTCAAATATTTACTTAGATTCAAAATTATTTGCTGATGGAATACTAACCTTATTATAAGTTTTCTAATTAGTTTATTTAAAAAGATTCTTTCTTTGTATCATCCATTTCTCGAAATTAACTAATAAAATTGGCTTATGGTGGAGGAGTTGCACGTTTTTTTTTATATTGAGTAATATGCAATTGGTTGTTCGTAAAAACTATAATTGACATTGTGATAGTCATAGTTTAGTGTCATTCATATTGTATGTCAATATATGTATATAATTAAATATAATTAAATTGTCCCTTTTTTATAGTTGATACTTTACCGTTTGGTGGGGTCGGAGCGTCTGGCATAGGCGCATATCATGGAAAGTACACGTTTGATACATTCGTACACAAGAAAGGCTGTCTTACAAAAAATTACAATAAGTTGGTCGAATATTTGGGATCGTGAGTATCTAATGATCCAGATTATTTTATTATCCGAAGAATGTTTCTTGACCTTTTTAACTTATATTACAGAGCTCGTTATCCGCCTTACACCGAGAAGAAGTTGTCCTTCTTGTCTTTAATGATGGCTAAGCGACCTGATATTCCAGGAATTAAATATTTGCCACACTTGATAATGTTTGGTTTGGGTATTGTCGCCACCATCGGTGTTAAGGCAGCCCTTAAGGTACATAAGACAGTACACTAATTTAATGGCTGTTTCACATTTTTAACTGTAGTTTGTATCTGCTGCTTTTTATTTTGAGCACAACAAAGCGAGCGATCGCTTTTTATTTTCAAATTCATTCTCGCTACTTCCAGAAAGTTATGATTATGGTGATGAATTTTTAGTGGGAATCATTCCACTTGAATATTTATAGCAGGCTATAATATACATATATATCAATATTTGATTTCTCTATTCATTAGATGAATACATTGTAATCGTGGTTTTTGCTTGATTTGAAAAATAATGCATATACTTTTTGAAAGATAATTAATGTACGGTGGTCCAAAGTATTTCACGGTACTATATTACGGCAATTGTGAAAATAGTGTTTTACGCCAGTTTAGTTAGGTTTGAAATCGAGTAATTTGATAATATACAGATTATACGATTTTGAATTTGTGATACATAGCAAAAGTTGCTAAAGTTTAAATGAAAAATCGTGATGTAGGTTACTATTAATAAGTTTTACCAGTGTGGCTATCACCACTAAGCTTAACTATGATGTTAAGGATTGAAAACAATAGCTTACACAGTGTACAAAGTCTAGTTTGCACAAGTAATGCTTAACATCACTCACATTCTGTTTTAATATTTTTACACTCGTTGCACAGTATAACAATTAGTAATAGTCAGCAAAGTAAATCATCGTAAACGGTGCTGGTACGGGAAGCAGTCAATTCAGATAGCCATAGTAACAAATTCAATTAGAATAATGTTTACCATATAGTATAGTACCATATAATTTATAGAATTGAATATCCAAAATTATTAAAATGATAAAATATGAACAAAATGGTGCTTCGTTTGAAAAAATTAAGTGATTGTCTAGGTGTAACCTATATTGGTCTCTTATAATATGGTATAGGCATAGCATACGGTGTTGATTGTTAAAACTAATGTTCATTTTATTAAGTATTTACGTACTGTTTCCATCAACTCTTTCGTCCTTTTATGGAATTGAATAATGACTTTAGATGCATTTACGGTGAAAAGGTTCATCCATTTAATAGATTTCGCTTCCAAGTGCAACTTCTTTTAAGATAGCGATCCTTTACTTTCGATTAGTAGCTTGACGTTACGCACAATTAAAAATCCGATGCTGTAATTATTCCGACAATAAAGACACTACTTATCATTGTACACCTCGTCTACACCCTTTTCTCTTAAAATATTCGACCATTTTCAATACAACGATGGAAATAAACATTGTACTCTCACCACAAGTTTTCTTAATAGAAATGAAATTTAAATTTAGCGCAATTCATGAATCACGGTGGCGCTCTCATCGGTTTTCTACATTCAGTACGTAATAAGCAACATCAAATGAATCGTTCGTATCAGTTCAGTCGTTTGCCAATCATAGCTCTCATTTTAGTTTATCGCAATTATTTCTTTGTTACTGAATGTACTCACTGTGTGACTGTGGCATTCACAATTGTCAAAATTATTAATTTGCACAAAAGTAGGGAGATATTGATCACGCCGTGAGTCATTCACAACTTGTTCTTAAACTGGAATGAAATATATGCTAAAACATGAATTCTTGCAGGGTTCTGGTTACGAAGAGGAGCAGATATAGGAAGGTGTCTGAATGTTAATAGGAGCATTCCGGATTACAGCTTTTATATCCTCTTCTTAACAACAATTAAGGAAGCATGTTAACACCTTAAATGATATTCTAATTCGTCCACATTGTGATTATTACATTTCTGTTGTCACAGCATTTTATGGTGTTTTGACAAGTATCCAATATGCATAATACATAATTTTATATTATATTTTTTATCAATGTACATTTAAAACGTAAAGCAAGCACATAGATTACAAAGCGGCGATATGACAATTAACCAATAGTATTGTGAAACAGTTATATTTGTATCTTTCTATAGCAAACAAAATAATTATATATTTCGTGTTATACGTAAAAGCATTACTCACCATATACTCATATTATATCCTTTTATTCTTTAAAGGGTATTCATATCCATACTCCTTGAATTACGTGTTTTAGCAATGGTCTTTCAATTCTAATTCGATTAGTAAATTAAATAAGATCTGAATATCAAGTACGTATACGTTTCCCACGACTGTCACTTTACAACTTAAGAGCTTACACTGTTTTTCGTAGAAAATGTCCCGTAACATCTTTAAATAGATATAATCTAAATGTGTAGGACATGGGTTACCGCCATTCTACATATTTAATAAATGAAGATTCTGAAGGCGCAATGACGTAGTGTGGTTATCCTGTGATTATCTTCAATAAGTGCACACGGTACGCTGCTTGGAGACTCAATCACGTATTCAGTCACGTATCCTGATATGTAAATTGTATGACAAGTCACGCGATAGATGCGCTAATAGAAATTCGAGTGATACAGTTTAACAGGGAGAACGTTCTTTGTTGATTTTATTCCTCTATATTCAATTGCGAATCTTTGAATTGCACTTCTGCAATCAAAATGATTGATTATTCGGTAGTTTGAAATCATAAAGTGACTGTAATCACACTTAATTACAGTGACTTAAACCATAAAGTGACTGTACAGAGACTGTAACGAGCCGGGCGATCGATGTGACATAGGTTCTGCTCTATTTGCATCAGATAGTTTGAAATTACCTAGTAGGCAACTTCCTAACTGCAGCTGTGCGCGAATGCTCTGTGAATAATTTGTCGAATACGAGGTAGTATAAGCTGAGGCGGAATGAATGTCAATTCTGTCAAGGGGCTTTGCTGCCAGTGTGAAATTATAGATTATGAATTAGGAAATCGTGAAGGACAGTCAAAGATATTTCTTGCTGGAAGAATATTACATCCGTGCGCGCTATTACATAGTAACTACTATGTCGGTTGGCTTATCATGAGTTTTCGAACGTACGCAACGATTCTTACTACGTATTTTCGTTTTTCTAGGAGGCAGTATAAGTCTCATGGGCTCTATCATTTGCCCTAAGGCTATTTGTCATTTTTCCTCTTATTCCTAACAGACTGTCGTTGCGTGTAATTTTCAATTGTATGGAATTTGTTGGGTCAAAAAGATCGAAGTACGCAAATCACGCATATATTTTCTCCATCTCTACGAGAACCACGCAAACGTTCAGACGACAAGGAAGTAATAGATTTCATAGATATCGAATTTTAACAACAAAATGGATTTACGGTTCTTGCTGTTTGTATTTGTCTGTGCGATACGATGCAACGACGCAAATGGATTGTCTGCACAATTTTTACAAGATTATTTTGCTGACAAATTTATACATCAAATTGTTGTATTTGCATGTTACAATCATCTTGGTACGTATACAAGTCCTGCTTTAATTCATATACATACATATGTATGTTATTATGGAATTAATTTGTCTTCTTAAACAGAAAGAGTGAGTCTATCTAGACAATTAATGTTGTCCGACACAAAGCTGTCTTACATTTCAATTTCGGAAAATATTAACATGAAGACAACTTTAGCAGTGAATTATTATAAGCTTGGTATAGTTCTCGATTTGGATTGTACAAAGAGTGAGATAGTGCTTGACAAGGTTTAAATACAAAATTTCTATGTAGTTAATGTGCTATGAAATTCGTATTAACGATAACAAAATTTTAACACTAGTTTCAAAAGGAACGTCTGCCCTATAACGAATCTTACTTTTGGATGGTGATATCCAAAGATTCTATGCCCCCGATCGAAATTCTTCGGAAACTTCCTCTGACTGTGGAGACGGAGTTTACTTTGGCACTTCATCACGATGAAATCTATGTACTTTATGACGTTTATAATCCAAGTTATCGTCACGGTGGTCGTTTAAATGTTACGTATATGGGCGTTTGGAATCCTCTTGATGGCCTCTCTATAAAGCTTACCCAATACAAATACAAAAGACGTGCTGATTTTCAAGGCTTACATCTCAACTTTTCGATCGCGGTATGTTTTACGTGAAGGCACTACTGGTTTTATCATGCAGAAGTAACGTCTGTTACAATTAATCATACAATTGTAAATACTGACCCAGCTATCGAATCCGCCTCTACCGGATTTAATGACTTATATCTCCAATCCCATTAATCGCCATCTTGATACAATGCATCGATTTAATTATGCTCTTCTGCTACAGCTACGAGATTACTATAATTATACGTAAGGATTTTTTCTAATGCGTTTCATAAAATTGCGTGGAAAAATTTAACGGAGAAATTTGTGAATTATGATTTTCACCGATATCGTGTGATTTTATGTAGAATGATTTTGACGCAATCAGAAACTTGGGGATATTTAATAAATGGCAGTTTTAACGGGTTGCTGGGAGATATGATTAAAGGACTTGTTGACGTGGGTGTAACTCCATTGCAATTTAAACGCGAGAGAATCGACGTTGCTGAATTTACAGTACAGACTTATTTGGCCAGGTAACTTTCTATATATATATTTTTAAATATATTATTTGTTATAATTTATATATATATATATACAATATATATTTAGGCCTAGTTTCTTTCTCCGTCATCCGAAGAAGACCAGCGTACGCAATGGATTTCTAAAGCCATTCAGGGAAGAAGTTTGGTGGATCGTTGTAGCAGTAGGATTTATATACTGGTTAATACTATGGTTAACCAGTAAATTGGAATTATATTACAGGAATAGAATGCCTTTTAGTAAAATAAATTTAGAAGTGGGTTTCGAAACTGGTTTTATTTGTATGGCAGCCATTTCTCAGCAAGGTATGTGAAAATGAAGATTTATAATTGTCGAATGACATTAATATTATTTCGTGGGGTTTACTCTCGTCATACAGGCTTAACCGATAGTCCAAGATTGTATTCAGGCCGAATAGTGTTTTTGTCGTTATTTGTTTGGGCATTATTGCTTTATCAATTTTATTCAGCAAGCATAGTTGGTTCACTACTCGCAGAGCCACCTCGTTATATAAATGACTTGAAAGATCTTCTGGAAAGCAATTTAGAAATTGGGATTGACGATATTGCTTACAATTATGACTTCTTTGCGGTAAGTGTTTTAGCTAATTACGTATTTACAATGTTATAATGTCACAGTCAAAAGGTGTGAAGATTATGAGAGATCTGACTTGCGTAACTATTGGGTTGGCATGAATGTAATCAGACGCTTAGTTTCTGTTTTACATATTTTATTATCTTTATGTAACTTATGCATGAAAAAAGTAGTGTTTTTCATGCCTCCGAAGTGTGGCGAAAGTGGCGCTTTGTATCTATGGATACGATAAAAATGCTGCGCATGCGCACTAGTGCTTTTTTCTCGCACTAGTGCGATAAAGTAAACTTTGTTCTCGCGCGCTGTCATGAAATGCATTCACTTTGGAAGCCTTCCTTGCTCTTCTTATGGCTGCCTCCTCCAACGAAGAGATGTTCCAGTCACTTTGGAGGCACACAAAGTAGCGTTTTTCATGCATTTGTTACAGAAAATATTATGCGATACTGGTAAAATAAAGTTCGCTTTCTCGCACTTGTATCGCAAAGTACTATTATCATACAGGAAGCTCAGTCAATAATGTAATCTCCATGAGTATCTAAGACCTGTTGCCAACGACTGGGCAAAGTTTGGATACCAAAAACAATTAATTTAAAGAAGGACATGTGTCGAGTTTTCTAGAGTGTCTCATTACTTTCATGCCAACCCAATATTATATTCCTGTTTATGAAATCGTAATATTGCTGATATGCGCCCGTACTTATTGGTTCGCTGAATAGATATTTAAAAAAATACATGACGTGTATTAGTCGCACAAATCATTTTCAGACAACAAGTGACCCCGTCGCCTTAGAACTTTATAAGCGGAAAGTGGCGCCTAATAAGTATAGAAAAAAGCCGGCTTTTTATAATCATACAGAGGGATTGCGGAAAGTGAAGAAAGGCGGTTTTGCTTTTCACGCAGACGTGAATACTGCGTATAAGATCATTACGGTGAGTCTTGTCATTTAGTGAATGTAAATGGATGGATTAGATATCCCCGTGTATTCTGTGCCGCGCCAATCTGATATGCAGAGTATATATCTATTGTGACGTTTCGTTATTTTTGAGTGTTTTTTTTTGAGTGCACTGGAGTTTTTAAGATAAACAAAATAATGATCTATTGTCCTATAAGTTACAGGCTAGGTATCCTTAATATTCTATTTAGCTCTCTCTCACTCACACATACACTCTATAATTGTCTCTAACTTACCAGTAGTACCACAGGCGACAAGAAGTGTTTTTGTTTACTTTATTCTCTCTGCTCCCCTTTTGGATTAGAAAGAGGGAGCTGGAACCACAATACAGCAGATTGCACAATGCGTCCGAAAACCGTGGTCCAGTTAAAGGTTAGGATGATAATGATTCGGGACCCACAGGTGATCACGATGATCCCCGTTCGCCGAGCCAATTATCTTTGGGGTGGGGATGAGAGTGCTATCACCACAATACAGCAGAGTGCACAATGCGTCCGAAGACTGTGGTCCAGCGGGAAATAGGTGTCGTAAAGATCAGAACCCACAGATGGTCACAATGACCCCCGTTCGCTGTATCTTCACTTCGGAAGGGTTTTTGGTGATGTGAGTTCTGGAGCGTTGCTGACAGCACCGGCACTATGACGTTGCTGCAGGAATTCTTTTTGAGGAGTGCAGGTTTCTTAATAATTGAACTTTCTATAGCTTCTACTGCTTCCTGTCCTCTAGTGGTGTACAAGTATCTAGTTGATTCGTCTAGAGAGACACGAATGAATCGAATGCTTTCCTATCGAGGAAGCCGCTGCTTATATCCTCGATAGGCATACGTTAAAACTAGTGGGGGTAACGATTTTTATCCACCCGAGGTGTTAACGTCGCTTTTTGGATTCAATATTTTGATTTATTATTTGATTTAATTATTCGATTTGACTAATTGGATTAACGGTTCCTTTAAGTACCGGCTTACTGGTATTTCTATTGTCTTCGCCGGGTGCCGGCTTATAGCGTCTGGGCACTTGTTTGTTTTGATCTCAGTCTGTCTACTGTATCTTGGATTCTAGGAATATTAAAAGTAATAATTTCTAATATTATATCCTCATGACTGTCGCTGTGACTAGATTCAAGGGAATTACGCAATACTAGATATTTAAAAGTCCTGTCTTCCCTTTCCTTTATCGGCGTCGCTGTGAGAGGTCGATAGGATTATTGAGGAATTCTAGGATTTCAGGAGTTCTCTCAGATACTGTTATGCACGTCCACAGTGCGCTATGCACTCTTATGTGGGGCTCTTGACGTATCCATCATCGAGAATGGATGATTGGGAAGGAAAAAGGATAGAGGATAGGGGGGTATAAGGTCGGAACGTTACACTATATACAGCATTTCAATCGGTAAGGTTTATTTGTAGGGGTCTCTGAAACTCCGACTTGCGTGACACCATATCCCATAAGATGTTCAGTTTATTTACCTCTTCAGTTTACAGTATCAGATGGTAACTTTTAATTCGCTTAGATGTTACGTCAGAATTTCTCATTGTAGGATACATTCTCGGAAGATGAAATTTGTGATTTGGTGGAAATTCAGTTATTTCCAGCTAAGCACGTTGCAACTGTGACTAGCAAGCATTCTCCGTTTAAGAAGATGGTGACTTATGGGTTGGTTTTTAAATTGATTACCAATATTGGATCAAAGGAGAATTGTCACTTGGTCTTAATTTAATTATTTTTCAATTTATTTGTATACACATCTGTTTATAGAATGAGACAAATTATGGAACATGGACTTTCAGAACGTTTGATGCATGTGTGGCAATATAGACGACCAATTTGCCCGAAAACTCATAGTTCTACACCTGTTCCTGTAGCATTGGGAGAATTTCTTCCAGCTACTTTGCTTCTGTTGATGGGTTTAATTATTGCTGTTGCTGTTTTGAGCGTGGAGAATTTTTGTAAACGTTGCAAGTATCCTGAGCAACTTTCGTGTAATACATATGTGATACCAGGATTCAAAAATCAGGCAGATATCAATATGTATATTCAAGGGCACTCCTAATCCCTAAGAAGATCTAATTGTCAGTAATATTAAAATTATCTGTGTTGAGTAATGTCACTATAACAGGAGTATAGATGAAATAAGTGATTCAAGAAGAAATTTAATTTTTACACTAATCTTGAAAATATGAATTATGGATTTCTGTCATTGACAAGATAATTTTATAATAATTGTTACATTAATGCGTTATTCAATAATTATTTAGGTAATTAAAATGATTCTCGTATAGTAGGTAATTAAAAAAACAATACAGATATAAAAACGTATGTTATTAAGAATTATTTTGTCACATAGCAATATTATAAACCTGAAGGATAGATTGTAAAAATAGTTGAAATTACTTAGTTGTTATATTTGAGTGATAAGATTTTTTAAACGATTTAACCATTTATTTTTGCATAATTGTGACTATGGCGTTTGAAAATGTTATGGAGCTTTGACAATTTAGAATATGTGGATTAATGTTATTATAGCGTATCGTCGCTTTCCTGAATGTAATCATCTTCACGGTATATCAAATAAATAGTAATTGCACCTGCAATCATTTTTATACACGTTTTATATTTTAGTACAGTGTCACTGTACGAGCATAAGATTATGAAACGGTTTACAAAACAGTGTAAACGAAGTTTGCTTGTTTCTATAGATAACTCTGCACAAGTTGTAAAAATGATTTTGTACGTTTCTCTTTTACTTCTGACATTACCGAGGCATACGACAACCGATCAGACGTCTATACAATTTGCAAAAGATTATTTTTTGAAAAAGTCTACGTCAAATCGCCATCTTTGGCTGTTTAGAGAATTACGGTATTTATTGCAATATTGGTATATATGAGTTTAAGCAAATTCGAATTAAAATACAATGTTTTACTACAGAAAGCTTCAAGTTTATAAGGTAAATGGCGTTGAGAGATATAAGCATTTCTTATATATCCATAACTGCTAATCTTAACATGCAGAGTATATACTTGCTCTCACTTATAGCAGAATTGGCATTATTCTTTATCTATAGATTGCCAAATGGATGCAGATGTCTTTTATCAGGTTAATATGTAATCTAATAAAATTCCAACTATGCACGTCACTCTCACATTAAGGTAAAAGTTCTGTTTTAATATACAAAGGTTTTTAGATATTAATATAGTGTTTATTCTTGACTAGTATCAATCTGTTAAGAGAAACATCTTGAGGATACTTAGGTAATGGATCTTACAATGGAGTCATAGGACTTATGCAGAAGGGATTAGTCGACATTGCAATATCGCCAATGCATATGAATCAAGAGAGACTTGGAATTCTTGACACATCAGTTGAAACAGCAGCATGCAAGTAAGAAAGATTCCTCCTCCAATCTCTGATCCTGATTTTGAATTACTATTCTGTACAAACTCCTGCATACTTTTTTGTATACAGACCATATTTCATATTTTGGCATCCCAGGATCCAGCAACGTTAAACACAGATATACATATGAATCCATTTACAAATGAAATATGTAAAACACACTTTTGTGTTAAAGTTGAATTACACTATACTCGACGGATGCCTAGTAACAGTTTGGTAATGCAGCCTTTTACAGAAACTTTCTTGACTTTCTTAGGCGCAGTTTCCCAACAGAGTAAGTCAGTTATTTCTTTCCTATACATTGTGTTTTTAAATTAAGAAAATTGTATTACAGACTTGAACGATGCTCCGAATCTCTAATCTGGTCGTGTGGTTTTTATTTCTGTTTTTGTATGGGGATTACTTTTATATAAATTTTATTCGGCAAGTGTTGTAGGTTCGTTACTAGCTGATTCGCCACGTTATATCAATGCACTGCAGGACCTCTGTGACAGCGGAATGCCACTTGGTGTCGAAGATATGCCGTAAAATTATAAATTTTTTGCAGTGTGCCATTAATATTTTATTTGATGAATTTTAATGTATCTATTGTTAATAATTGTAATTGTATGCTGTTAACTGTATTATTACATGACAACTTGTATTCATATACTGTTGTAATCCGTATCAGACAACAAATGATCCTTTGGTACTGGATATTTATATGACCAGAAATGCTCTTCATACAGGACGAAAGAATAAATCATTCTTTCATGCGCAAGAAGAATGGCATAGGGTTCAAAAAGGAAATATTACATTTTTTCCGATGTCGCCACTGCGCATAAAATTATCATGGTTAGTAGTTATACAGGGTGTCTCCTAAGCCCCGGACAAGAGACATGCCGTTAGATCCGGCGTGAAAAAATAAAAATATTTGGGTTAACAAAAATCAAAAATTTTAATTAGTTTAATAATTATTAAAGATTAAAGTAAGCCAACAATAAGCGCGTGAAAACTGGTAACTCCTCCTCAGTTGATTTTTGTTAACGCCAATATTTTTATTTTTTCACGCCGGATCTAACGGTATGTCTCTTGTCCGGGGCTCAGGAAACACCCTGTATACGTAGCTAAGCACCGTACAACAACTTTTATATCATTATTCCTATTTTCGTAGGAATTTTTTACAGAGGATGAAATATGTGACTAGGTGGAAATTTATATGTATCCACTGTACTGCCTGGCTGCTGGGTCTATCAAATAATCGAATTTGAAGGAAGTGCTTGCTTGTCGGTTAGTCAATTACATTATGTTAGTTTTGTTTGTGCGTCATTGATGTAAATAAATATTTATTTAGAATGCGTGACATTGTTGAACATGGTTTGAAAGTTCATCAACACATATGGCAATGTAAACGTCCACAATGTACAGTGAATCACAGTGCTCTACCGAATCCGATTTCTTTGTCCTAATTCATTCCAGCAACTTTTCTTTTACTAATGGGAGTCGCAGCAGCTACGATAGTTTTGTTCATTGAGAAATATATTGATTGGCAAATGCATCAAAATTGTTTACAATTATCACACTGGACGTGGATAATGTTAAAATTGAAACAGTTAATAGACAGGAACAAAATCAAGTAACGACGATATTATATTGCCTATGAAACTGTCTTAACGTTAAATCGATGACTCATGGGAATGAAAATAAAATTTATTCATATCATTTTTCGTTAATCACTGCACATTTTTCGTTCAAGTTTGACAAGTTTCAAGCTTCGATGTAAAATTGCACGATACCTACACGTATATTATATCCACCATATATAAATACAAGGTGAAACAGGTTTACCTTGAGGCAGGGTCATACGGGCTACGCAGACGAATCTCATGCATTTATTCTCGCATCGAATAAATCTCTTGCAGCGTTGATATTACCCAAAAGTATTATGTCTCTAATTTTTCATCTATATATTTAAACTCGATTGCTCTTCGTAAAACTCGTTTATTCGTATGTAATTTTAGACTCACAAATTTGTATGTGTCCCTCGTTTATACCTTATTTTATTTTTATTGAATGATTCTTCATACTTATAGAACCTACACTACCGCCAAAGTGGTGCTAATGGATTAGCAAATAAGATATAATAAACATGCATGAAAAATATTTGTAAGGCAAATATTTTTTAAAAATAATCCTTATAATTCCTCGAACTTCAAGTCAAGGTGTGAATTTTTTATCTTGTTTAGCCTTACTGTATTAACGACTAGTATATTATTCCATTGAGATATTTTTTTTAACTTGGCAATATTAACATACCTATTGCTTTATTATGAAAATTTTTGCAATAAAAGAATCCATTCATGATCAAAAGTACACTTTCGACAGTATAGACACGTTCGGTTGATATTATTTTTAATCAAATACGTCCTGCAACGTGCCATGTCAAAGTAAAATGTACGTGATGTAACGGTTTATTTATGAAAATATTATTCTTTGTAAGCAAGACGTGGTCCATATACAAAGTGTAATTACAGCTCGGAATTGTCATAGCCTTCGTGTAAGTATGTTTGTTTGTAGAGACGGATGGGTAACTGGCATTAAAAAAGATAACGTGTATGTCAGCGAAAACCCATATGGAATATACGATTAACTGTTTTATTCAATGTCTACGCGTTGTTATTTTAATTTTCCTCTTCCTGATTAATGAATACCTATAAACAGGGAGTGGGGCCTTTATAAAGCAGCGAACAAAAAAATTTTTTAACAGTGATACTATTACACTACTTCGTCGAACATATTAGAACAGTGATAGAACGGGCAGTATAGATAGCTATTGGGCGAATTAATTCGATCTCTATAGGAATCGTATTTCGTATCTCTATAGGAATATGATTGGCGTTTATGTCCTCGTGTTGGCTGTCATTGGCTGTAACGCAGTTTACGCTGATGAATTTTACAGCAATAAATATGACAATGTAAATGTGAATCAAATTTTAAAAAGCGAACGGCTTTTGCAACGTTATATTCTCTGTTTACTTGACAAAGGATCTTGTACATCTGACGGCCGCTTCTTTAAAGGTAAATTTTTTGTCCTGAATTAATTACAAAATTAAAAAAATTTAATGAACTTTTTAATTAATGATAATTCTTCTTTATTTTCGATGCTAATCTATTAGTTTACAATTTAAGTATCCTTGTCAGTTAATTAAAGTACGGTTACTGAAAATTATAATTGTGGCAAGTAAATACTTAAGCTTTAATATAATGTCTGTTACAATTTGTAGAAATATTACCGGAGGCTTTAGCAACGAATTGTTCAAAATGCAGCATGAAGCAAAGAGAAATAGTGAAAACCTTGACTTTGCATCTAATGAATAATAAGCCTGACCACTGGCGCGAATTTGTGGAAAAATACGATCCGGATAACAAATATAGAACTTCCTTCCTAAATTTCATAATGTCAAGTTGAGTACAAATGGATTAATAATTAATAGAAGGTCGCTATGATATTAAAAAATATACTGTCTTTCGCTTGAATTCACTAAAAATGTTATTCTACACTGTAATTTATTGTTGGGCTTATAAATAAAAGAAATTTCCTCAATTGCCATTTCTATAATATTATAAAGTATTGTTTTTCATTATACGATTCATGACCATTAATTATCGTCAAGATTATTTCATTAAATCAATTAGAAACTTAATCACATGGATTTCACTTTAGGAAATAGGTTAAGAACACAGACATTTTTTAATATTATTTAATATCTCCCTATGTATGATATTTCAACAATATTACTTTTAACGCTTATGCATGTGATCGAAGACGAATTAATACGTAAAATCATAGAAACTTATCAAAACAATTCTTTAGCTCACGATTTTCTTCTTTTTGGCAGTTTCTACGAATATCGCAACCGCCTTTTTCCACTCCTCCGGACGATTTTCTGTGTACCATAGAACCACTTTATCGAACAAGATCTTTTGTTTCTCGGTGCATCTCTTACACTGCGTTACGAGTGATTCGGGAAAATTTCCTATGTAAAGAAATCTAATAATTATATGCTCGATGAATGACTGTTAGTAGATAGAGAAAATATTCAGATCTGAATGTACAAACCTCCGAACAATTTCGCATCAGGAGTCAAGCAGGGTCCAGCCCCAATGAAACAGTTAAAGTACTGATCGCGTAGTCGATCGTTGGCTAAAATATCATCAGCGTTAACGTAATCGTACTTGTCCGAATATAATTCGACATTCTCGCTCGACACAATGGCCACGGCGACCGTGGCCACGAGTAAAACTATACAGACGGTACGAGACATTATTCTTATCGTGTCGATCTCCTTGGACAGTACTAAGGATCCTCCCTGTGATCTTCCGTATTTATACGTGCTGTTAAAGACCGGCATTTGCGTAATTTGTGTGGTATTGCTTCTGACCATCTCGTGACGATCATCACCCTTGCGAACGTCGATATTGATGACGATTGTATAAGAAAAGTATAAATCAAACCTTATTTCATTCATTATTCTAACTGATCTTAGCTCTCTAATAACTCATCGTGTAAGACCGTGTGCGTTGCGTATTATTTTCAAATCTTTATTGCAGTACGTACGTAGAAACCTGTTTTGTAGAGATGTAAAACTTGCTTAAATCGACTGCCGTATTTTGTTGTTTTTATTTTTATAGTTGTTTGCATTTTTACCACGTCTTTTCGAGGTGACGATTTGCATTTGGAATCAACGTGATAGTACTTTCAATTTACAGGTAATCTACTCTTACAGTGGCTGTCATATAGAAATATTTCAATATTTATTCGCAGTTGTTATTCGTGTCTTTGATTTAGACTGCAGCAATGAATAAATATTTGCTCGAAAAATACGTCAGGACCTGTCTATTGAAGATCTGCAAATAGATATTTAAGAAAATTTTGTCAGCTATAGACGCAAGGGATTTATCGAAAGATTGATTGATTGTTTATTATTATTTGTAAAATAAAATCTCATAAAATATTCATGTTGACGTACCTCATCTCATTATAAAGCATTAATGGAAATAATTCCGTCTGGAGATAGTAAAAACGATATAACCAGTTTCCATCACGTAAAGATACTGATTATGCCCTTGAAACGTTAATTAATTTTCTTGCATTTAGGAAAATTATTATTCACGTAACTAAAGTGTGTTGGATATTAATCAAACAGTGACGTACAATATATTTGTACTTCAATGTAATATTCACTAGTAAGGGTTGGTTTCACTAAAGTTAACTGATGATATCAACCGATTCTAGAACCAATTTTTTAATCTCGATATTTAAACCTCAGTTAGTTTTGGTTTTCAAGTTTTTTGTGTAACCCTTATATAAATCGCTTGCAATGGGTTTACCCTTGCTAAATAATAGTATACTGTACTGCAAGTTTTGAAAGTGTGATATCCAGACAGTGTGAAGCTTGCAGCATGAGACGAGAACTAATACTGATTCGTACTAGTACGAGCGTCAATGCAGTATGAGCCGAGGTGAGTTGTTGATACACGATATTTTTGGTAATTACTGCGAAGGAAAGTCTTACTCGAGAAGCAAGCGAATGGAATAAAAACGGCCGGTGGCGCCACTGAAAGCGCGCGATATTAAGTTATTTGTGCAGTGCGCATGCGCCAAGAAAGTCCTAGGCTTGAAAATAAATTATTTCAAATGCGCTTATGTGCCAACGTTTTTTATTTACTGTTCGAAAATGAGACACCTCACGCAATCTGCACAGGTTTCGAAAATTAAACTTTTGAAGTAGGCGTTACAAAAAAAAGTACATTGAAACTGGTCAATTCAAACGGAAAATACAATCCACTGAAAACGTATAAGCTAAATTCATACTTGTGTGACAAATTTGGATGCAGAAAGTAAGTATGAAATAATTTAGAGTAAAAAAAATGTTAAGATATATGAATAATATGCCTTAAAATTTCATAGATCAAACGACGTTAGAATATTGACAACAATAAAATAAGTGAATCTTTGATACTCTGACTGCAATTGTCGCACTGGTTCTTGGTAATAATTTGCATTATTCATTCCACGTAGCAGTACGCAATGAACAACTTAATTCTAGTTATAATTAAAAAAAAAGATTAATTCCGTTTATGCAATTATTAAAATGGAATGCAGTCCAAAACATACATTAAACGATTCTGTAATTGAAGTCATTATAATGAACATGTCGATAGGTAATTGTAATTATACTATGTGTAATACAAGTCGTAATATTACTGATACATTCATACTGTAAACGTTAAACGAATTGCTTCCTCATAGAGGAAGCTATGTGACGGTGGAAAATTTTCCTTCCTCCAAATTGCTTCCTCCGAATCGTAAGTAGTGTACGAAGTCACTGTATGAGGATGCCAAGAATTTTAATTTTGCAATTTGCTTCCTCTGAATCGTGGGTAGTAGATGAAAATTCATCTATGAGGAAGCCAAAGATTAAAAAAAATGAAAATTCTTCCTCATATAAGGACTTCGTAAACTGCTTACGATTCGGAGGAAGCAAATTGCAAGTTTCAATTTGCAGCTTTTTTTATTTATGTTGTGTCACTATTTCCAATGATCATGCACAATTTTAGTGTTGCCATCTAGTGGGAAGCACCTGCTCTACAACCAGTTGCAGTCTGTTTATATCAGGGAGACGAGACAGTCGGGAAGTTAGCATCAAAAGATAAAAAGGTATTTGCTTTTAATCAGGGACTGCAATTGAACAAAATATCGTTTCGGTTACGGTGTTCACAATGGTAAAAGCTTGAATTTCGGTTTCAGTTTTCTATTTTGGGTTATTCATTCATCATTTTTTGCTTATGGCTTTCAGTTGCGGTTTTCGAATTTAATAAATTTCCGTTTGGGTTTTAAAGAGAGATAGTTTTTGTTGCATCTAATAAATAATAAGCCTGACCACTGGCGCGAATTTGTGGAAAAATACGATCCGGATAACAAATATAGAACTTGCTTCCTAAATTTCATAATGTCAAGTTGAGTACAAATAGATTAATAATTAATAGAAGGTCGCTATGATATTAAAAAATATACTGTCTTTCGCTTGAATTCACTGAAAATGTTATTCTACACTCTAATTTATTGTTGGGCTTATAAATAAAAGAAATTTCCTCAATTGCCATTTCTATAATATTATAAAGTATTGTTTTTCATTATACGATTCATGTCCATTAATTATCGTCATGATTATTTCATTAAACCAATTAGTAACTTAATCACATGGATTTCATTTTTGGAAATAGATTAAAAACACAGACATTTTTTAAAGTTATTATTAACTGTATATTTTTCTGTTTAATATCTCCCTATTCATGATATTTCAACAATATTACTTTTAACGCTTATACATGTGATCGACGACGAATTAATACGTAAAGTCATAGAAACGTATCGAAACAATTCTTTAGCTCACGGTTTTCTTCTTCTTGGCAGCTTCTATGAATATCTCAACCGCCTTTTTCCACTCCTCCGGACGATTTTCTGTGTACCATACAACCACTTTATCGAACATGATCTTTTGCCTCTCGGTGCATCTCTTACACTGCGTTACGAGTGATTCGGGAAAGTTTCCTAAGTAAAGAAATCTAATAATTATATGTTCGATGAATGACTGTTAGTGGATAGACAAAATATTCAGATCTGAATGTACAAACCTCCGAAGAATTTCGCATCAGGAGTCAAGCAGGGTCCAGCCCCAGTGAAACAGTTAAAGTACTGATCGCGTAGTCGATCGTTGGCTAAAATTTCATCAGCGTTAACGTAATCGTACTTGTCCGAATATAATTCGACATTCTCGCTCGACACAATGGCCACGGCGACTGTGGCCACGAGTAAAACTATACAGACGGTACGAGACATTATTCTTATCGTGTCGATCTCCTTGGACAGTACTAAGGATCCTCCCCGTGATCTTCCGTATTTATACGTGCTGTTAAAGACCGGCATTTGCGTAATTTGTGTGGTATTGCTTCTGACCATTTCGTGACTGTCATCGTCCTTGTGATCGTCGATATTGATGTTTGAAAAAAAATATAATCAAACCTCATCATTAATTATTCTGACAGAGTTTCGCTCTCTGATAACTCATCGTGTAAGGCCGTGTAGACTGTATATTATTATTTTTCAATCTTTATTGCAGTACACGGAAACCTGTTTTGTAGAGATGTAAAGCTTGCTAAAATCGACTGGTATACTTTGTTGTCTTTATTTTTATAGTTTTTAGTATTTTTACCACGTTCTTTCGAGCTCACGATTTACATTCGGAATCAACGTGATAGTACTTTTAATCTACAGGTAATCTAGTCTTACAGTGACTTTCATATAGAAATATGAATTGGCTAAAATATGTTTTACTCATGAACATACTACACTGCAAATTCAAGTGACGATATCATATTAAATATATTCCCAGTATACTCCAAAGTATATTCCCTATTCTTTCTGTGGTAGTCACTTTTTACTTGCAAATGTGTTATTTTTACGTTGGCATATGTGGGAATAGCAACGCACTTGTAAATATCTAAAAAGTGACTACCATGAAATGGATAGGGAATAACAGACGTGGATTTGCATTGTATATAGTCACGCATTGTAATGTTTATTTGCAGTTATTATTCGTTTCTTTGATTTTGACTGCAGCAGTGAATAAATATACGCTCGAAAAATGCGTCAGGACCTATCTATTTAAGACCTGCAAATATATATTTAAGAAAATTCTGTTACTCACAGAGGCAAAGAATTTAGTCAAAGATTTATTGATTGTGTATTATTATTTGTAAAAAATATCAAAATATTCGTATCGACGTACCTCATCTCAGGTAGTAAAAACAAGGTAGCAAGGTAACAACTGAGCAAGGTAGTAAAAACGATATAACCAGTTTTCATCACGCGAAGATACTGATCATGGCTTTGAAACGTCAATCAATTTTCTTGCATTTAGGAAAATTGTCATGTACGTAACTAAAGTGTGTTGGATATTAATCAAACAGTGACGCACAATATATTTATACTGCAATTTAATGTTTATTAGTAAAGGTTGGTTTCAGCAACGTTAACTGGTGATATCAACTAATTCCAGATCCAATTTTCTAATCTCGACATTTAAACCTCAGTTAATTTTTGTTTTCAAATTCTTTGTGTATCTCTTGTATAAATTGCTTGCAATGGGTTTAACCTTGCTAAAAAATAGTATACTGTACTGCAAGTGTTGAAAGTAGCGATATTCGGCCAGTGTCAGGTGAGTTGTCGATACACGATATTTTTGGTAATTCCTGTGAAGGAAAGTTTTATTTGAGAAGCAAGCGAATGGAATAAAAACAGCCGATGGCGCCACTGAGAGCGCGCAATATTGAGTTATTTATTAAAATTCATACTTGTGTGACAAATTTAGTTGCGGAAAATAAGTATGAAATACTTCTGAGTAAAAAAATGTTAAGGCATATGAACAAAATATGCCTTAAAATTTCATAGATCAATCGACGTCACATTATTGATGATAATGAGATGAGTGAATTTTTGATACTCTGACCATAATTGTCGGATTGGTTCTTGGTAATGTTTTGCATTATTCATTGCACGGAGCAGTACGGAATGTAATACTTAACTCCAGTTATATCTTTAAAAATGAATTCTAATTAAAATCATTATTACAAATATATTGATGGTTAATTGTAATTATACTATGTGTAGTATAAGCTTGCTGTCCTATGTTTAGAAGGCAGAACAGGAACGACGGAATTCGAAAAATAGTTTGATGGGGGTTGACCATACTTCTTCGTCATGAGAATGTCAAACGATGCCCGGGTTCCCCATGTAGAAGAAAAAACGAAAATTCGGAAAGTGTAAAAATCAATTTTCGTTCATTAAAATCAATAATAAGGACACATATTGTTAGAGAATCATGAAATATTATCTATAAGATTGTATAGATTGGAATGCGAAGATTTTGAATTCGTAAAAATTATCAAAGTTTTAAGGTTAGAATGTCTGCCCGTTTTCTGAAAAGTATGGTATATGAGGACCCGGGCGTAACCCGGGCCTCGTTCGACATTTTCGGAACGAGGATGATTGATCAACCCCCACCAACTGTTTTTCTGATTCCGTCGTTCCTGTTCTGTCTTCTATACACGGGACAGCACCATCGACATATCCTTCCCTTCCTTTCCTCATGGCTGACTCCTCCAATGAGGAGATGTGCCAGTCCATCGACATATAGGTGTGGGCCTACGAGAGAGGTAAGTACAGAGATAAGTAGGGAGATGCTCAATGCATACGGAGTAGATAAAAATTGAATTGAAATTGTAGAATATTGAAAATAAATTATGTTCAAATTGAAATATTAATAAATTAGGTGTTTGGAACATTAAAATAATTAATTAAATCAATAAAGTAAAATATTAACACTTAGAAATGGGAAATTCTGGCCAAGTATATTTAGAAGTACTGGAAGTTGCCCAAAATTGTGTGCGCGCAAATTCGTCGCGCAGAACTCGATGAGTAGGAGCAGGCGGAGAGTGGGGGGAGCGCTCGAGGCAGTGCCCGGACTTGGAGCGCTCATTCTTCCACGAGCCGGTCTCCTATACTGGTCTCTTGGAAACACCCTTCATATCCATTTGCAATCTTTTTCTTCTTCTATATTTATTTCTTCTTTACTTTCTTATTTATCTCTTTCCTTATTTCTTCTCAACTTTTATACCCTTATTCCTTACTATTCTACTTTTTAACTTCTTTATTTCTATCTTCCCTTCTGTCTTCTCGTTTCACTCTGTTCCCTCTCACTTTCCATTGTGCTTGTCTTGCTTGTCCTATTCCTTTGGTCTGGTCGAGCATATTTATTCGAGTAATCATATAAGGGTAGTCACCCTGTTAGAGTAGCTACATGTATAGACCATGGTGTCGAGGGTTGCCCTTCCGCCTCATCCGCTGAGCTTGCTCAGTGGGTCGGGCCCAAGTTGTGGCCGCAACAGGACCTTATGGGTCTCCCGACGGGGGCCTTGAGCCCCCTTAGGGTATCTACGGCCATGGTCTTTCGTATAGTGAATCTAATCAGAGTGTCTAACTCTCGCGTATTTAGTATAATTTGTTCGCTTTGCTAAAAACGCTCCAATATGTCGTTGACCCTCGAGCACTCGTGTGGATAGAGACGATCCTATGTGTCGGTGGGGAGGTCGAGCGGGGTAGTCCGTTGGCTCTGGGTAAGGTACTATCTGTGCTTGTGCTCTTGGCTCAGCTTCACTTGGGGTAGGTGCGGGTGCTATTGAGCACCTGCTAGTCTAAAGTCACCCTCTGTCGGAGAAATTTTGCGCGGGGATCAATGGCTGACGGGGTCCGCCTGTGGCGGCGGACGTGGTTCCTTATGTCTAACCCCCTGAGCTTGCTCGGTGGGAAGGGACGGAGGTTGTAGCGTTGAATATCGTCCCTCGGGACGTCCTGGCGGTGCTCGCAAGGGCGCCGTCGGGTGCTACGCCCGTGGTCTTTCGTTACGGTGAATCCTTGACTAGGGGTAGACCTTTCGCGTTTAACTTACGTTACCACTTTTGCGTTTTCCTTGGCGTTCGACCCGACTTCCCTCCTTTCCTGAGGTTTTTCCCCTTTAGTCCTGCGCGCGACAGCGGTAGGACTCGGGGGTTTTCGTCAATAAAAAAAAAGCACGGTCACCTATGGGACCTCGGAGGGGTCGTAACTCCCTTGTGGAGAGGCAGGACCTCACGGAAACGGGCGAGGAGGGGCCCATCGCTCCCTTATACTTCCTATTTTTCCTACTTTTTCCAGTGTTCTCTTTTCTCGCTCCTCCCGAATAATCTGGTCCTCGTGCACACGTTTTACGCACTTTCTTCTCTCCTTGTTCCCTCAATCCTTACCATCTCTCTTTTTCACTCTTTCTTTTTAATAATCTTCCTCTTTTTCCCTTCAACAACATTTTCTCTGGCTGCTGCCACCGAGCGTTTCTACTCTATTTCCGAATCTCCTATTTCTTCCTATGTCTCCATCACTCTCCTCCTAGTATACCCCTAAAAAACTAAGTTATTAAAAAGTCCTTTGGAAAAGTCCAAAGTGGTAGCGCATATAACATACTGCACGTATATTATATTGCAGTGATATATTTAAAATATATCTCTAATGGCATCGTTAATGCTAATCTTTCGCAGGCTATATATGTACAACTGTACTTCATACAGTGTATTATTATTGTATTTGCAAAATAAATTATCTTGAAACACTTATACTTTGATATTCTTTTGCCCTCTGCGAATATCCCAAAGTACGAATGAGTTCTGTCTCTTTCTTACTCTCCTCCGTCCTAACAGCATCAAACAGCATTAAAAACATAAATTTTTATCTTTTGACGCTAACTTGCCGACGGTGAAGACGAGACGCTGTGCTATGTTAATTACACGGTAATATGTGAAGTTCTTGTTCATGTTACCTTAATCATACTTGCAGCCAATTTGACATGAAATCTATTGTTAATCTAGCTAAGTGAACTGCATATTGTAATAACCAGTAATTATAGTTGACTGAACATAGATAAAATAGGCATCTGTGGATACTTTATATGAATTACCGACTGAAATGCCAATGTTATGTATGTACCGAAAGAAGGTACTGCTTACTACAGAAACCATGCAGTCATCAGGCAGTGACATTACAAGAATGAAAGTTCATATGTTGACGACAGTTGTCACCACTAACTATGACCCGAGAATCAGGCCATTTCAACGTATGAACTTTCGTCCAACTTTCGTCTTCTTCGATGTGCGCCTGAGGATATGCAACCGTGATGCATCAAAGTAGTTCGAATTGCCGATTGTTCAGTGTATATTATGATACAGTATAATTCATTAAATTTCAAGTGCAGCTGTGCAGCAAAAAGAAAGCTGCATCGCGGTTTCGCAAGTATGCTTAATTAAATAATTGTTTAACGTCTAAATAAATATTTTATATTATTTCATATGCAGCAATCATGCTACAACGTGTAAAACCATTTATTGGTAATTCTAATTTGATATAAAAACCTTTAAACTCACCTTTCTAAACAAGTTTCAACTATGATGTTGATCGTTCATATATGCGCATTAAAGTAAGTGACTGACTATAGTTGCTATTGAGGTCATGTTCAACAAGTGGGTTTAAAATACAAAAGTTCAATGACCTGTCATTCCAATGGAATTCATGATACCATAAGAAGAGCATGTAGCGTGCAACTACCTATACATATAGTTGGTGCACAAGTTCAATGTACGTTTTTGACAGTTTGCAAACGATACAATCCTTACCAAGATGCACGTTATTTTCTATAAAACCATGGAAATGCATGCTAAAATAGACCAATACAATATTTGAGTGCAAACAATGCGCGTTGCATACTTTGTGACTAAAATTGTGTGGAGAGCCACGTGTGGTATGTTAAAGACTTCATTGTTTTGGATCTGTCAAAAACACGTGGTACTCGTGTATCGACTATACGTATCAGTTATTTGGTCTATGTCAAGTGCGCAAATATGATTGTAATTTCGAATAGGAACTCTCACTTTTGATTTCTCCCTTGAACCCAAATAAGGGCACAATCACAATTGGCGCAATACGAATGTGAATGACATACGAAATAAGCTGTCATTAAACTATTGTCAAGATTTAGTAGACACAGTAAAGTAACGAGTGGATGTTCTGTAAGGCGGAAACAGGAAAAGAATAATTACAAGATCTGGTCGTTTTTTAAAAACTATAATAACTTCCGCAATGTGCTTTACTGGATAATGATACACTTCTCGATTATATTCTTTTAAAGTTGGGCGATATACATATACTCGGTGCGTTGTTTGTACGAATTCAAGTGAATCGTAGAATTTCTATTATTAGACCAAGGAAATGTGTATTTGTTTTTCTTTGTGAGATAAGTATTCATTGAATAACTGTATTTGTTAATTACAAAAGACTTTGTCGCAGGTGATCAATTTATCTCTTCAAGGCAATTTTTAAGGTATGCAATAGATCGGAAAATAAACGTCATGCTGTACGTTAATAATAATATGCTTCGTACAATAGATTTTAACATGTAGTTTTGTGTTTCTATAACCCACATTGAGAAAATAATTTACGAACACGGCTGCTCTTCCATGATTGTAATAACACAGTTCTCATACCGATTACCGCATTGCGTGACAGTTTTCAATTCTCCATCTACAGCCTTAGGAAGCTATAAAATATTTCTAATAACAAAAATATAAAATCACCGGTCTGTTATATGTAACATAACAGTTTTAATATATCGTTAATAAAGTATTTGGTGTTTATACAAATTTTTCAATATTAATTTACATTGAGATACAACCAAGTGTAAATCTCGAAGGGCGGACTGTAAGGGTCATTGACTTTGTATTAAGGTTCGCTTGAGGTTTTTTTTTAATTAAAACCGGACGATTCGCATACTTATTTAGTAAAACGATTATTTTATCATAGTCGTAACATAAGTTTTATGCACTTTCCGTGTTATCATCGACCCTCAGGCAAAGAAATCTCATAAAAGGTTGGTATAGTATGTTACGATGGAAACTCGAGATTCTTTATAATCTCGACAAATGAGGCTCTTTTAAGAGATAAATTTAAAGTCTAATAGCTGCAGTAAGACTAACAATTGCTATAATTAACGAAACTGATGCTGAGCTTAGATCAATGTATCTACTGATATTGTAACATATTATTTTGAGAAATTCTAAAATTCATTTCCCAGTCTGTCTGCGATTCGTTTCTGCAATACTATAAACTTCTGTCATCCCTCAAATAAAAATTGGATTATTATGGATGTCGCAAAACAAAAGGAACGGCTAATATTTTTTGGCAAGGATATCCTGTTTACAGTGACGTAACTAACTTTTGATTATGCCATGTTAACTATCTGATATTTTTGTGAATTGCATAACAATTGAAGATTTATCATTGTCATCTTTAATTATAGATATCTCCTAGCACTTTTGATATTTTAATTTTATTTCGTAGATAATCTTAATATTATTATGAAATTTAATTTAAATATATCCTGTAGCATTACAAAGATTCATCTGTAAAGGATGGTTGTGAACGAACGTAAAAAAAATAAATGAATACAACAATCGACTACATTGAAACGAAGCTTCTTATATAATCGATAATGATAAAAATCGATGCTCAATCGCAATAATATAAAAAATACGAAAGTCATTAGCATCGCTATGCTCGTAAGTATCATTTTCTTGAATTACGTTATAGTCTATGGAATACCGTTATTTTAAGAAAATACCTATGAGATAACTCTGCCAAGAGTCCTTGGAGAATTAACGAGGTTCTCCATAGGAACCTGGATGATTTCATATTCATTTTCGAAAGGGGAATATATAGATACTTTAGAAATGTATGCTACGCCCGTGAGTTGGAGAAGTGGAAGAAGTTCAACCCTCAGCAGCATATAAAGTCGTAGCCTCGAGCTTTGTTCGGTTTACTCGTAATCGAGATGGGAGAGCGTTTGCTCGCGTTTACGTTAATTTTGTGCTTAGTGGTGATCGCCGTCCCAAAGGGAACACAGGGTTACCTTTGGCCAAGACATGACACGTATACGACACGCTGGGACAAAGTCAACGTGGATGATATCCTCGAGAGCAAGAGACTCCTTCACTATTATTTCAATTGCCTGATGAATAAGGGTCCTTGCCCGCCGGATGGTCATGAACTCAAGAGTGAGTTTTTTTCTTTTTTTTTTTTTAGGAATAAAAAGATTACGAAAAAAGAGAAATATAATTTAGTTCACTCCACGATCAAGTTGGCTATAATGTAAATTTTAATTCCCAACTATATCTAATCATATTTTAATTCCATCTCTAGAAGGCTATTGCATCTTATTCGATTCATTTATAAGTTTTCTTGACTGGGTCAATGATCTTGAAACAGCTTTGAATGGCTATGCTAAGCGGACTAGGATTCTTTGCGCCGATCTTGGCTATTGAAATGTTACACCGTGATAAATGTTTGCTGGTCTTTTTTTGGGATATATATATTGTATATATATATATATATATATATATATATATATATATATATATATATATATATGTTTTTGAAAGATTCTTGTATGTTACTTGCATCATTGCACATCTATTTTACGTTTCTGTATACTACTAATTTATATGCAAAGCGTATGCGGCAGAGATTGGCTTACTTTTACTTGTACCCTAATTTTCATCAAGGTTGTTACATTTAAAAATGTCCAAGACGTTTTTTGTTCCATCAACGTAAAGCTTCCTGTTATTATTAACTACGTCGTGAACGGTTCCTTTCTGTGTCGACTTTCCCTAACATTGTTCTTGTTTTCCGGATCGTAAAAGTTAAGAAAGTCGTCATATCGATGGCCAAGGTTGATTATCCGGGCATTCACTGTAGGTACAGTACCTTATTATATATTTGAATTATATTTTGGAGAGTCGAAGTTATTACGAAGCCTCGCTCTTTACGTCATTAGGATATTTAATAATTCTCATAGCGGCGTCTCGATGTTTCGTACGTAATTCTGAATCATTTACCCAGTCATTCGCTAGCAATGAGTGCTATTAAAAAATAAAAAATTGATTTCATGAATTACGAAAGAATGAGTTTTGTATATTTTAATATGGACATATATTTAATAAAAATTATGTAATTTTAGGAGTTTTGCCAGAAGCTCTGCAAACAGCCTGTGCAAAATGTACAAAGAGCCAAATCGAAGGATCTGTCAAAGTCATAAGATATCTCAGGTGGGTTATAGTATTTTTGTATATTTTCAAAGTTTTCATATATTTCGATGTTATGTCCACTTTTGTTGACTTATATACGTGTTATTATGTATGCGCATACGTATCTGTATGACCGGTCAGAGAATAATTGTGTCGCGCATACCGAATTCAGTACTAGGAAGTAAGTTGGTGTGTGCTGTGAAAATTAATCAGAACTACAGCAGGACTTGGTATCGAGTTGGTAACAGTATCGGCAAATAGACGAGTGGCATTTGAATGCGCTTCGAATTAGCCTTCGAGAACAGTTCGGACGACGCGATTTGTGCTCACGTGGTATCTCAGAGATTTTGCACCATTGTATAAGATACTTCGCACGCTGTTAAATATTCGTTAATATTCTGCAATTATACACGAGTAATCATTCTTTAATCATACAGTCATTATATTGTTTTCGTGGAATATCTTATAATTTATGGTTATTGTTATCCTTGTATTTAAAGTTCAAATGCTATTGTGCTTCTGAATTATATTTATGAACAACGTGAAATTTCATCAGTGTAATGTATTTTCGATGTTTTTAGGCAATTTGAGCCTGGGAAATTCAAGCAACTTGCTGAGAGATACGATCCCGAGGGCATGTACAGAAAACGATACCTCGAACAATCATTAGATAATAATACGGCATAAAGAAATGTAAATTATCCTGAATCATTGTTCATTCATATTAACTGTTTTTTTTTGACGAATGACGACTTCCGTCATCATGTTAATCCTTGAAAAGTTTTAATACTCAACTTCTATTACACGAAGTGGAATTTAGATATAGATATATTCTATTAATTTGATATGTTTGTGATAATGCATATGAGTAAGTTATTTTTGTGAATGATTGGTTTTTTTATTCATTGAAATCCTTCTTTATTCACTTATCCTTCCTAATATCTTTAAACATTACTGAAACTGCATAAGGAAATCTTTTGAATTTTGATTACTGTCTATAGATGTAGAGGGTCACTTAGGACTATTGTACCAACTGAAGTTAGTCTGTCAATTTTATTTCTATGGAAGAATAGCTACAATAACGTTTTTTTTTTTAAATTTTAAAGAAAGAATCAGAATGGCAGATAGTATGGTTCATAAAATATTTTTCTAGAGTTTGATTTGGGATTTCATTTATTTTTAGAAAATCCATATGACTTAGCAAGGCTGAGTGGCTGTGTCTCTGCTGTGGTTAACTGTGCAGCAGATTCGTCTTCCCCGTAAGATAATTTTTTGACAATCGTTTTTGGAACTTGCTTGACCTGCCATCCGTTGTCGTAAAGAATTAATGAAAGCAGTATGCAAGGGGGGTTCTGGACAGAGATTCCTACACCCGCATTTACCGACACTTCGAGTCTTCGAAGGTTCGCATCTATGCTAAATCGACGTCTTGGACCCCGCTGATTTTAAGGAGTGACGTCAGAACGAACTGTCAGCATAATGCAACATTCACTTTTACATTACCATCTCTTTTAAGAGTATTCTACAGTCTGATGGTGAATAATTTTTTCGAGTCTCACGGAAAATGTTGTAAATCCTTATGCCACAAGTTTACTATTATTTCAGCTCGTTAAAATCTGTAAGACTTATTACTGTTTATATACATTTTTGGATGTGGGGTGCTGGACGGGAAGTTAGCATCTAATTTTGTTGTGCCGTTTTTTTGTGGTAAATGACCAGAATTATTGCTAAAAACCACAAGGAACTACAGAACTATGCTGGATGCCAAGGATTTCACGAATCTGCGCAGGGCTGCGGTGGGAGGGAATCGTTGAGCCTCCTTCTTGGCTCTTGGTGGTTGAGGGGCAAGGGATTTTCTCAAAACGTCGTGCGAGAGGGTCGCAGGTTCTGGGAGCTATCGTGCGTGATTTAGCACGGACACGAACCGTGGAAGGTTTCAGAAGCTTCTGAAACCTTTTAGAATATTTTAAAAGGTTCTGGATCGTGTGCGATTCCTTAAATCGGTGGTAAAATTCTTAGAATCCGAGTTAAAATTCCTAGAATCAGTTTTACTTAGAATCTCCGTGACATCATTCTTTGAAATCAGGGGAGTCCAGAACGTCGATTTAGCATGGATGCGAACCTTCGAAAGCTCTCCAAGTGTCGATAATGTCGGTGCAGGAAACTGTGTCCAGAACCCCTCTTGTTATACTACTAATGAAAATATTAATTAACTCTTTAGTTATTGATATCAAAACAAGCAACGTTATAAGAAATATTTATAACGTCTTTACTCAAACCGATTAAGGACACACCTAAAATACATTTCTCAATATGTATTAGAAAAAAAATATCTAATGTTCTCTGCAATTAATATCACAAGCCAGTCGATAAAGTGTACTTACATTGTTAGTTCACCAGCGTGCCAACAGATGGCGATACCTCATTCTGCATTTTAACATTAAACTTATTACACCTGATTGTTTAAGAATTGATTTTCTATTGCATTAAATATTCAGCAATTACTCAGGTTTCTTGTCGGCTGCAAATACATTCGTAAAGGACACCAAGATTGATAATTAAATATGGAAAAATTAGTTTTGGAATTGTAATGAACAGAAGTAAAGAGCTATTACTTAATTCTTTATTCACTTGACGTAACGAAAAATACCATAATCATGTTAAACATTTCATAATGATTGAATATAAAATATTTCAAAACAGGATCAACATTGTTCGCTATTATAAGATCAATAAAACTTTCATGCTACGTTAAACTCAACATTCAACTTTTCCAAATTTTTGTTCAAAAGCAACAATTTTATCTCCCTGGGGATCAACATGTCTCAGTATTTCATCATAATCCACTCTTCGATTTTTACAGGCGTAAGACAGACCCTCCCGTATTTTAGTAACTTGTGAGGGAGTACACTTAGCGCACAGAGTACCCAATGCTTCCGGTAACACTCCTGTAAAAAATCAACACTATTGTATTCCACACAAGTAAATTTGATTAAATTCATTCGTAAACGACTAATTGATAATACGAAAATTGTTTCACCTCTTATCATTAAACGTATAATCAATAGTATAAAATTGTTTTAAAATTACGTAAAAATAATACGTACTTTTTAGTTCCAATGCTTCCTGAGGACAGCGAGTTGCCTTTTCTTGTAGAACGCATTCTTTGTACTTTGCAAACAATCGTGTATTGTCGATAATTTCTTTGATATTAATATTGTCAAATTTACTAGAATAATATTCTTGTGCAAAAGCAACCGTCAGGCAGGCAAGAAATACAGGTATAAATCGCATGTTGATTTCCGTGTTTGCGACACTTCTCAAGCAATGGCGACTACGAGAATGAATATTTTCATCCGATTTAGTGATATTTATACCAGGCATTTCGGAATAATATACAGAAATACTTGGAATGACCTTGCCAATGCATGGTCACATTAACATGTGTAGCTGGAAACCAGTCCGGACCAAACGATAAGACACGATGAAACTATTATGCGTCATTCGCTGGTTTTCACGGTCAGAACCGGGTGACGGTTATCGACGTGTGTTGTTTATACCACAATATACCACATACGGACTATCGTTCATATTACAATAAAATAAACTTTTAACGATTCTCACAAAAACCTGTAACACTGGTATCGCCTTATATGAGACACAGGACGCGCCTTGCCACGAAATGTGCTGCGAGTAGCGATACTATTTCATGCACGTTTCATTTGTTAAGTATAAATTACATCGTGTTACCAGAAGCCGTGTCGTAATATTTGCCCGAAAGGAAATAATATTAACGTAAATTATGTCTAAGTAAAATTTAAATTGTTTAAAAAAAAATGTAATTCTCAAAATGTACAAGTATATTACTCATTGAATTCCACGCAAATAAATTATCAAGTTATCAGACGTTCAAAGATCATATCACAGTGTATAACCTGTACCTGGTATAATATTGTGGAACCTTTCGATGTGACGCGCGACGTTATTAGTTTGGGAAAAAACAATAAACATGCAGGGGCTTAAGAGTCCGTGTGGATCCATGTTTGGACAGGATTACAGGAACCATGGAAAGTTTTGTAGTTGCGGACGTATTATTTGCACAGCCAATTCTTGCGAAACCCGATATATCCCGTGTTTCAAGAACAACGAGGAAAGTGAGTTTGAGCTGACTGGGGATAAAATTTCTTGCGAATTTAAATCGCCTTGCAAAAGTATAGAGGATGCCAGTTGCATGGTAAGTCGTTCGCTGAATATCGAACCTGCGGAATACGTTTGTAAAAAGTCATTGGAATCGAGGTCTGGATGTAGTGAACGTACGTGTGCGAATTCCGATGAATCAGAACATCAAGGAATCTGCGAAAATAATCGGAACGACGAGTCTAATTTGAAAATTTCAACGCTCGACCAAACCGCTTTTCAATGTTCGTCCTCGTATACGGAAGACGACATAAAGGAATTTGCAAGAATCATTGAAGAGAAACTGAATGAAGAATTGGCACGTAATACTATGACAAACGTTTCAGAACCGAGTCGATCCACGATGAATGAACTTTGTTATTTATGTGGGCGAGGTGATATCGACCACTCTGATATATGTTCAACGATATCTGGCGGCCATGATACTTATCACTTTGGAGTATTTTCGGACTTGGAGTCTCAAGAAGTTTGTGAATCCGCTGAGGGTCTTGAGTGTCAAATGCAACCGGAAGTAACTGACAGTCCTGTTTGTGCACACGTCGAAAGTGTAGATGAAAAAGAAGTGGATCATATCGAAAAGTCGATTTGCGAACAGATCGTCAAAATTTGCAAACGTCGACAGCCTGTCTTACTTGATCATCAGGAAAACTATATACTGCACCCCACTTTCTCTCTGTCGAGCTTAAAACCCTTCAAGATTGGCGACGTTGGGGTTTCCCATGAAATCAGCAAATGGGGAAAATGTCACGACATCGTTGATAAAGTTTTATATCAACGGGACGTCAGGTTGAGTGAGATGGTGAAACTGTTGAAGGAGACGTCCTCCGCAGATAAAAATGGCACCTGCGTGCATTTCCTTAAAAATATGGAAGGCTATCTGTTGACTAATCTACATAAATATGACGAATCGTATAGTCAGATAGAAAAGTGTTGCAAAAGAGATGACGAAAGAAATGGGAAAAATATTTGCAATGCTTGGTCCCACGTTTGTCGTGTACGAAGCGACGATGTTTGTGTAACTGGGGATAATTTTGATGATTTGAATAGATTCAAAGATATACTCGAGTATGGATGTGCACAGCTTTGTCGCAGACTCGTTGAATGGTTTAGTGAATGTTGTATTATTGAAAAAATATTTTTATTAGATTATCAACTTATTTATTTATACAGGTGTCATAGGTTATCTAAAACTTGGAATTTTATACGAGAACATCCCCACGTTGTCGTTCATCTACCTTCCCTTGGTTATCCTGATGATCTGATAAACAGGGCCGGAAGTGCATTCGATTTGGTGCAAAATATACAAGTTGTATAATAATTTATTATTGCCCACTGAACACCGAATTAAAAGTTGGCTTTTTTTTAATGATCAGGTGAGTCGTATCGCTTGGCTGGAAAATGAAAACTGTCAAGTGTTATACGTATGCCCGAGTATCGAAAGACCGGATATCATTGAGATATTGTATAATTTGATAAAAAATGTTCGACCTGACATTTCTACCTCAAGACTTTGGATAGTTCCAATACAAGAGGAATATTCCAATAGACAGTATTATTTTTCATATACACTTAAACGTAATACAACGTATTACAACATAATTCATTCTTGTCGCTGAAATTAGGTATCGATGAAAAAAATGTGATATTTTTTAGTACAAAAAAGAAGTTTAAAAGTGGAAGCGACAATCTTTTTTGTTCACCTCGAAGTTATCGAAAAGTACGATATTTAACTGCTGGCCGACGAGCTTTTTTATTGCCTGGTTTAATGCAAGAAGTCGATGTCTGTATCGCCTGTGAATTGAGAATGCCCGTAATGGGTAAGTGCATTAAGAGTCGATGGCATATAAAAATAAATCAATAAATTCTTGTTAAACGATCTTTGGACATTTTGACGCTCTCTGTGTAATTGTAGGAGCAGCGGTGAAGTTTCAGAGATACTTTTCAAATAAAAGTAACGTGGCGCAATTTTTAATGGAAAATGGATTTGGTCAACCACCTTTTGTAACTGGTATCAATAACTTTCATGAGGTAAGGATCGCTTTTATTACTGTCTGCTTAACTATGGGTCAAATTATCAATGACTTCATTACTACAGCTATGTAAAGGTTTGGCTTCTACGATGTTGGCTTTTCCATCCCAGAAGAAATGGTTGGTCAAGATCAACATTGGCTTTAACGGATATCAAACGGCCGTGTTAAATTTTAACAAGGGTCCGGTCAGCCGTGCAATAAAAGTCAAAGTAAGAATTACTTTATTATTATTCGAAATATATATAAAAAAAAAATATAATAATTGTACTTTTCAAAAATTTTCAGAAACATATGTACAACTACGATGAGGAAGATTTAACATGCTTACTAATTAAGCACCTGCCAACGGAATTACAACTAAATAAACGGATATACAAGAATTACCAAGAATTTATAAATGATCTGGAGACTTATGGTAAAAAACAAGAAACGTGTTTCTTGATTTTTTTATTATAAAAAATTAGTCGGGCCAAATTACCAATGTACCTTGAGAAACAATTACATAATTCATTTTGGTCGCATCTTATGGATTCGTCTTGAAGAAATAAGAATTTGTTTACTGCATGTCTTAATACCATTAAAATTACGACTCAGCGAATATTCCGGTTTCGCGTCCGTTAAGAATAAAAATTATTTTGTAAAGTTTCACCTGCACAATTTACTGGTTTGTAAATTTATTTTATTGAAAAAGTTTTTTTTTTGGTTTTTATTGAATATTTTGTCAACCAAAATATGTGCATCCTTTTTGCATGTTATAAGACCGTTTCGCGTAATCATTTGTAAAATTGTCTGTTACGTCTCATTACTGTAACATATATTACCGTAGGTGGTATAGTACAAGGCTGTCCAGCAAACAAGTATCATGGAGTTAGTCTTGGAGTATTCATCGAACACGATACAGCATTACCAGTCCTGAAAGGAACTGCAGACGTGATCCAGTTAAAGTCAGACATGACGACTGACATTGGCTACAGCATTCCCCAGTCAACAATTTCTCTTGATATTCTTGAAACATTGGCCATCAACGTTGGAAAGGCTTTACAGAATGAACAATTGATGGGATACTTTGGATTGGATGTGATAATTTTCACGAATCAGTGCAATGTACTTGAAATAATTTAAGAGCCTCGAACTACACACATATCCAGATAATTTTCAACAAAATTAATATCGAGTCTTCGCTATCATCACTTTAATACCTTCGTTACTAATTTTGACAGTCAAGCTAGATTCGTTTTAGAAATAACTCTGCAATATCCCTGACATTTAGTATTGCGGTTCTAATTACCAAGTTCTATTTCCGTTGGCGGCTTAGATACAAGAAGTATGGATAGTGGATATAGATCCTTACTATACAGACTTATTGGGATATACGGATTGGATAAAGTTTTGTTTAGGAAATTGCAAGTGCTGCTGCGTCAGGTAATTGTACTAGACTTTCTTATCCTTAATTCACAATGGTCTCGGGATTCATTCGAGAATTAATGTTCAAGCAGGAAAAATGAAGCTGAGAAATTGAATAAAGAAATGAGCGCAGGACCAATAAATGGAGGAAGGATGAAATTAATTTCAAAAGAAAAAGAAGGAAGATATACGGTATGCAGTGGAAAATTATATAGCGATGGATTGAGAAAATATTGTACCCCGACGCTCGTAAGGCTTTGCAGGCAGCACCAAGTTTTTTATGATCACAAGGTAAGCGAGAAAATTAAAAAAGGAATAACGAAATTCGAAAAATTGTCGTATTTCTTTTTTAAGACAAAACGTGGATGCATTGTATATCCTACTGATTCCGAAAGACGTGCTATCAGTGTAATCTCGATATATCCTAGCAGAGAAATGGCAATGAGGAAATTTATAGAGGCTTTAAGGACACTGCATGAGGTATCTCGTGAGAAGAATAATGGCGGAATCGAAGCTAATATCCTTGTATGTCTAAAGTTATATATCATTGTCCTTTAAGCAATGATTCTACATCATTTCAGGAACTTGCACGGGACTTGGAGAAGGAATTTGGTGTAGTTTAATAAATGGGATAAAATATTTCGAATTGTTCAATAAAAACAATTTCGTGTCAACCGCATGAAATCACCTTTATCTACCACGTTGGTAATCGATTGAATTTTATGTAACGCCACAAACCACCTACAGAAATGAATCTGTGGCTACGATTTCGAATTTATTAAAAGTGAATTTATTAAAACTGAATTGCAGTTCAATTGTTTGTCACCGGAAATAAATCAATAAATTCGCTACTAGACAGTATGTGTGTCGCATATTTCTTTTTTTGGATTACGTATTACACCAAGTATTTTGAACTGTGATTTAATACATAGTGCAATTTTATACTCGAACCATGATTCCAATGCTAAATCTAGGGGATTCTTTTGCATTTAAAACCACAGAATGATGACCCCCCCCCTTAAAAGATATTTAACTCCTATATGTATGTACTCCTATATGCGTAAGGACAGCGTAAGGACAGAGTAAGCGAAGTGTAAGAACAGCGTAAGGACAGCGGAAAGGCAGCGTAAGGACAACGTAAGAACAGCTATTATTACTTGGACTATGAAATTTCATTAGGTTCCATTATTATTCAATGTAATATTCGCATTAAAAAGTATGTAAAAAAGTAGTGCCTAATATCTCATTATCGTTACCTTGTTTGTATTATATGAAATATTTTATGAATTCAAACTAAAGGGTATTCTATATGATTATTTCTGTATATCCTTTAGCTTATCGAAAATCCAATCGACCGAATATCGTAAAAGGTTTGAGATAGCGCGAATGCTAGAAGGATTATAAGGCGATAGCATCATGCTGTATGGGCTTTCATTCTTTCCGTGGTCAGCTTATTAGACCTATCATTTGAATTCATCTAAAAGGGAACCGAAAAGGGGTGGTTGCACTTGGATTTGAGAAGTAAAATTACTTTCACGATTTCCATTTGCAGCTATATCCGATTTGGCCATCTCATAGATTTCTGGTGGAGATGATAAGGCTAATTTACAGTTAGAGTGGCTTCTGCTTTCGTATAAGAATAAATTATTTAAAGGACAAAGAGTTATCCTTTATCGGATTGAATTTAACACAAAAAAAATAAATCTATAGTATTCGGATCTACGGGTGATAATTCCAATTAAATATAATAAATTATAATTTGCATTATCGGATAACGTATATTCGGATAACTCTCATTTACCTCGCGAGCAAGCATAGATAAATAACCAGCAGGACGAGTTATCGCGATAACTTCTACCAAGTGAAATATGAAATTCACAGTTCGCATCCAACAATTCCGAGACCCGTGTTCAGCATTCTGTCACAGATGTTGACAATTCCGATTTTCAGAGTCGTTCACCCTGCTGAGACAAATCTTTGTAAAATAATTAATAATAACTCCTATCCAATTATCCGTCTAGGGCCATTAACGTCAGCTGCGAATTTCCTTACCGGGCGAATTTCGAACTGTCAACTCGCCATTTTTATCAGTGAGAATCCAACTGTAGTTTCATTTTCCACGTTTCCTATTTTTCGTTGACTTTTTACCCATAAAACTAAAATTTCACTAGGTGCGCCACTGTGCGAAACTTTTGACTGGACAAAAGTACCGCTCTGGAATAAATGCATGAAGCTTTTGCGGAAAGGGGCTCCGCGACTGAAATTATATTGAAAAAGTTCCCCCAACGTACATAGATATAGAGCTATTCGGAATTTCAATGTAACACACCATTACGCACATGCATCCTTTATTATTAGCATTGCGCAAGTCTACCTCACTATTTCCGAAATTCATTCATCCGGTTCCTCAGTGATGTAGAATAATTTTATATGCGTTAAGAATCTATATGACTACCTTTTTCCCCCATGTCACCGTAGTAGTTACAACTGGCATTCGATATCACTGAAATTACCTTGCAGGCTTTTTCCGACGTGCTTCCACCTACCCATCCAATCTCAATAACCTGCCGAGAATAGATATGATATCGTACCCACAATTTTTTACGTTTACGTCAAATTGTTCGAAATTGAATATCATCCTAACTCCACAACGATAAATTAATTCATTAACTCGAAACAAATAAGACTGTTGAACTATCAATTATCTTGGAGAAGTATTAAATTATATTAGGAGAACGAGCAAAAGGGGTCTCGCGATGAGTTATAAAGACAGAGTGGATAGATGAGTAACCACAATTATAATTTTTTAAAAAGAAAACTTGAAAAGGTCGCTCGTGTATCGTTGCACATTTTTATCAAATAAATGCAGGCATACACACACACAGATATGTGAGGCGATTTTCAAATTTGTAATACGCGCCGTAATGTGAGGAACATTCGGTGCGCGGGAACGACTGCAGCGCCGAGCTACGTATAGCGGAAGAAACGGGAAGTAGTCAGTCCCAAATGGGAGAAGGAGACGAACGTCCGGCCACGACTGTTTTGTTAGAAATAATAATAATAAATGTTCACACTCTTTAAGCTGAGTTGTCTATTTATTACGAGAAAACCCTTACAGATATATATATAGTCTATAAAATTGCAGTGGACCAGTACCGAGAGGACGTGAGTCGATTGTAAAGTCAAGCCAACACAGAAGCTGGTGGTCCTATCAGTATCAAGTACGACTATCACCGGATGCTAGCTACCCTTTAAGAATTCAGATCACATTCCAACTGTGCAATACTAGTTCTGTTCCATGCTAATGAAAGTTGAATAATTCATTTATCCCAATTGCCTTTAGAGTACTGTTAGTTAAATTTTTTTGCAAAAAATGTGAATCACCTTCCTATACGTATTTTTGCTTGATAAATCTATGCTTGGCTATATACGTATATACTATAGTTCATATATAAAAGTGAAATCCAATCGCGATATTCTTCTCGATATTCTTCTCCATGACGTATTATCTCAGGATGTTGGCAGCCCTTAACGTCTAACGCCCCCAACAACTGTCTGCGTTACGCATAGTGGAGTTCGTTGAATATAACCTTCCGCATATTTAATATCGTGGTGGGCATTTGCTATTGTACTTCGAATAGGTCTGCCTTTGAAGAAAGGCAATTTGTAGCTTGGCTTCACGGAGTTCCATATTTTTCTTATGGGTCAGGTACCAGCAGCAACTAGGGTGGCTCAAGAACGTTGATGAAGGCCAGGGATAATGGAATTGCGAAGAGATGATGACAGGATAAGTCCTCGTGGGATCAGTTGGGTCACCATCGTTTTGTCAAAGCTTCGTCAACCTGATATCGGTATAATTTGATCACAGGATCAGTAAACCTTATATTATGGCACAGGGATGAACTCACTGGGAATTACATAGGTTGGTTACTGACAATGGAGTCCTTAACGACCGCTAATGACGGTGACTCTCGCTTTCTGTGAATCACGCACTTTGAATTATTGCGTAATGATCTGTAGTGTAACGGGTTGCATTTTTTTTTAGTATTATTTAATCGTTTGTTTAATATTGTTTATATGGTACAGATCTGCTTGCGCACGGATGCTGAGCATCGTTTTTAGATTAAATTCGATAATTCTTTTTTTCTGATATGGACCAATTCTTTTTTTTTCTTTTATGGAACAGTTGAATTGCTTTATAAAAGGAAGAATGCGGAGTAATAAGATTCGTTGTGTGCACCTGCAAGTACTGATATAGCTGTACTCGTACACGTGTAAGTCGAGAGGACTGCCACTTCACACTACCTGCTAATGAATCAGTCCTTCACCATCCACAAAGCTGCAAGCTGGAAGAAAATGCTAAGAAAAATGTGCGAATATCCAGACTGGGTGTTTAGGTCGACTATGTACTTTGTTTTTGATATTATTAGACATTCTCGGGATTGTAGTATACACTGGGATACTACACTGTGAACTAATTGATAATAAATGTTTTTATAAATTTTCAAATTTTCATTTACTTATCAAAATGTTACAAGAATCTTATTTGGTTCTATACTTGTCAACCTCCGGCATATCTTGCTCGTGTTAATTTTATTGAGATTTCAACCTTCCTACGAAGCATCTAGACTATGATGGAGCAATATACCTACCTGCCTCAGGCATGATTGCTGTCTGCAATCTCAGCTTTTATACAGCCAGGAGTTATTTCTGCAATCAAAAATACTTCAAGCTTTAAGATTGATGTTGAGTAATTCAAGAAGTATTTAACTTTAAGAAATTTAACATTTAACATATGAATATATGAGAGGAGGTAAGTGATATTATGATATATAATAAATTATACATAAGAATGATATTCAAGGGATTTTGTCGATATTTCCAATTCCTTAAAATTAAATGCTTCCCTCGAAAGAGGTTGCATCTGAGATTCTTTTTAGCAAAAATTTATTATGTCTTATAAATGAGCATACAGGCAGATCAGTAAATCTATACGAGGTGTACTTATGTGTCTAAAATTTTGCGAAATTATCTTTTGATAATAATCAACAGTAAAATAATATGAATTTACAGGCATATCTACGATCTCTTTATTTAATTTAGAATTTACGAAATATACAAGAACTAAGAAATTATTGGAAGAGTTACTGTGTTTTTTTTTTCTTGCGACCCTTTTATATATCTATGCCTAGGCACAAATAACCTTATATAGTTTCACATATAGGAAATGTGGCCAGCCCGGTCAACAATTTGGACAGTGGCTGTAGCCTCCACATTTTATTACGTGGGAATCAGAAAAGAAGGACTGTGACTGGTTATAGCATTTGCTTCTTACACCCTTCCAAATCATCCTAACCCCTTTGTTTACTAAGGATTTTTGAAAAATTTTCTCGCCCCTCCCTCAAATCTAAGAGAACCGACATTAATAGTACAATACTTGGTCAATTTGATAACATAGACTTTATTTTCTCATCATACGGTCGCAATAATAAATAATACAATAATAGTAATTTGTATCCGTCAAAGAGAACCAGTTAACAGGCACTTTTTTAAAGGTTCTTTAGATACTTTAAAGGAAATTATATAGAAATTTTTTAAAGGTTCTATTTATTATGGATGTAGAGAAAATTGTGTGTCGTCGAAGATTTACTGCTAGTTTCAAATGTAATATATCCAGGTGAATGTCGTTCCGTACTCTTGACCATTCCCAAGGAAAGTAGTGCATTTTATCTTCGGAACGGGACGGGGTGAGTAGGACGTAGAGATACATAGGTTACCTACTATAGAGGCCGTGGTAACCCACTGGTCGATACAGAGTCAGCCTAAATCCCTACCATTGACAGACCTCCTCATAAAATGAGTAAGGTTGCGGGTTCATCCCATTTCCGGCATCTTTGGGTAGTCTAATCAAGAACGAGACCGTGCGAAAGTGGGAAATTGGTCTTTGCGGGGAGTGTACCTGAATCGTGCGTCTCCCACTATGTAGACCTGAGATGTACTTTCACGCTTGATACTCGCTGCTTACTCTAATTTGCAATTCGCGCAGGTAGTGTACACTGGTGTTTGCAAAGGGAGTAATGCCTTCAGGATCCGCTTGAGGTATATTTTTCTCGGTTTGTGCATTCCAATTAAGATTAATGGCAAGGGATTAGATAAAGGATAAGATTATTTTCAGTATTACTACGTAGATGAAAATGCTTTGTGAGATTTCGAATTTTTTTTAAGTCTTCAAGGGGCACGATCCTTTGGTCATAATGTAATTATGTTGGATAAAGAAAAAATTATTTTTCCTTGTTTGACATAATGAATGTTTTGTATCGAGTGTTAATTAATTTTAACTGTCAAGTGCGTGGTTATCGCGGCTTAAAGTAACGTAGGGGTTTCAGTTGAATCGGCTTTAAAAAACAAGAGTTCACAATAGTGCACGCTGTTTGTAGATGAAATATTATGGAGCAAAGATAGTTTGCGACATTAATAAAAATTTTTGTGACGTTTTCAGTCATGCTTTATAATTTAAATGGGATTTTTTAGTTCAGCCGTATATGCGAAGAACACTGCACAGTGGCTGATTCGTGGAGATAAAGTTTTTTAAACATCCTTTCACCATCGTAATCAGTCACGCAACCAGTTCATTAATTCTATCCGAAGTGCGTTAATATGCATGCTAGAATATTCCACGTAGGGAGTAAACAATGCAGGGAATCGAGTTTCGTGAAAATTTTTGGTACTGCAATTCAAGATGTCGTTGAACGATTCGATGAGAAAAACGAAAATTTCGATTATAGATGGAAACGAAGATTCGATTAGAAATTGGAGATTTTCTTGAAGCGAAAACTAGAAACTTTCTAAGAAAATCTGCATCGTAATTTGCATTTCTCTACGTTGCGCTAGATATGCCATTAATCATCAGGATGAAATTACGAGCCGGGAATATAAATTACTTTTGTTGATTAAGCGAAACTAATACCTAACAAATAACAAATTCATTAGGTGATAACGACCTGATAGGAGATAGTAGCGTTGCTACTTGAAAATTTGAGCTTTAAGAAATTTTAGTTTATTATCCCAATTAAAAGACCAAAGCTTGGCCATTGGCTGTGGAAAAGCGGAAATTCAATACAGAAAGTAGCCAATTAGAAATACTCCCAGAAATAGCAGGAATTCGTTTTAATGCTTTCTGAATCCCATTCAATTTAACTGATGAATTGATGATATATACCATGAAGTAAGTAAAGGTGGTGTTGTAATGTACAATTATTTGAACGAATTGCAAGATTAATTGCTCGGTATTAAAAAGCGTTTAATCCTATAGCAATTATATAGCCTATGCGTTTTTTGTATGAAATTTAAATTATCTCTGCATCACAATAACATCTTTTACCATGTCTGTACCATTTCCTTATTAAGTCATTCGCAATACGCATAACGAACAAAACTAAAGACAAATAAGAAAAAATGTAATTTCTATACTTTTTTGCATCGTTATGATGAATAGCAGGATCATTGAAATTGCTGAACTATAAATAAAGGTGAACAATAGTGCATCATTACCCGAATAACTAAGTTCATCATTCCAACAAAGTAAAAAAGTTTCTGGAACGAATACCTTGAAATTTTACCCAAGAACCACTATTAATATACATATATATATATAGATATATGTATATATAGTATACTACCAATATATCGAGACAAAGTGTATTTCCATAAGGCGACATCGAATCCACTTATTTACGGGAAGCTTAACGTTGTCCGACATTATATGGGAAATGAAGCGTTGCCCTAATTAGTTGCCCTAGAGTTCCTAAAACTTGACATCGATAGTAAATTTAGGATCCCGAAGATAATCTAGGATATTATATTTCCTTGTAAACAGTATCCAAGAAAGAAAAACAAATGCGATAACAAAGTGTTCAAACAGTCAGAGAAATCTTTGATGGCCCCCATCACATGTTATCTCTACGAGTATATACATATACAGTCAAATATCTTGAAAAGTATATGAATGAACATCGATAGTTCGCAAGGTTAGAAGTTCCTTGAACGGCTGTCATAACCTGGTCAAAGAGTCGTTGGTTCGAAGACAGAAACTCTATAGCAAATCCAGACGTAGGGCAGGGAAAGAAAAGCCACGGTCGATCAATACAGGCGACTCCGTGACGTGGAGATGACGTAGTTCAGGCTCTCATACGATATTTGAAGCACGCGTGGGCGTGCAGACACGTATTAATATAACGTGCATACAGATTAATATATAAACGTATATCGACTAACGTATGAAAAGCTCAGGCAGCATGTGTGACCGCACGCGTGGACGGCCTTGCTTGGTCTTACGGATTTTCTGGTGGACGATGAAGGGAGAATTTTTATAGGCTTAACAGAGCGAGGCAGAAAAAGACTCGTGAAAAGGGAGGATGGATGGAAAGGGTAACTAAAGAGGTCAAAGGGTGGAATCGTACAATGGGGAGAGACAGAGAGTCTAAAGTAAGAAAGGAGAGTCGACAATACAAGTAGAGGGAGGATTTGAGCCATGGGCCTTTTTATGCTTAGCTTTTGACACTTGGAAAATTCTTCCTATATATGTGTATATATATATATATCGACTATGTGCGAAATTCTCAATGATATTCTTGGCTACGTCCCTGACTCGTTTTCCTGCTTTAGCTATACTGACGAACCTGGTTAAAGGTAAACCCTTTGGGATACGCAAATCATTTGTCCTCCTTTAAGGTTTTTGTCTGCGGGTATTCCCCATGGTTTTAAAGGGGATGAACGTTACTGCTGAGCTACTGCCGGGGGGTGACTTAACGTGTTATCGTACTGCTTATCCATGCAGCTTTCTTGAGCTCTTATAAGTTATAAAAGTTTGTTTTTGTCACTTGATTATATTCTTTTCTAATGATATGTTAATAGGATTCAGAGCACGTGACTTTCGTAGGAGTGACGTCTGGCTGATGGTGTATTTCGTATTATTTTATACAAGAGCTTGCGCAAGGACGAGTAAAGCTGTCCCTTGATAATTTTTCCATTTTCTTGTAACGGTATAACTGTCACAAGGTGTAATATTTTTCGTGACGTAGATCCGCCACGCATTATTTAGAATTCAAGCACGTGCAACCGCTGAAAGCTCCCGCACGGCTTTCACACTTTTTCCACTGTAACCTGAAAAGTATATATTGTGTAAAGAGCAGTTACTCACACCCGGTGTATAGCACTTGGACTGTATTACGTAATTCTGAGGTCATACGACGAGCTTATAAGACGACTGTATGAGTTTTTATATGCGTTCCAGTAGGTTAGGTTAGATTAAGTTATCTCTCATTTGCTTTATACATATGGATACAAGCATGCATAAATGTGTGGATATTAATTCATGAATTGGTATTTCCAAAGCAGGTATCTGTAGTATATTCATTATTTTCATTACTTTAATCACTATAAACTAATCACTAGTGTAAGAACTATGTTGGGCTTAATCAAAATTCTTGAGATATCGTATATGCTATTTATTCAACTTAATTGATAAATCGCATTATGTACGTTATAGCTGTAACGTTATTCGGATTAAGCACTACTTGGCACATAACGTAGCGGTTAGAATTAGGAGTCTTTTGCTTGGACAATGAACGGGTTACTCGTGGGAACAAAATCCTGTGTTGCATTGCGTAGAATTATTTTTTCGGATTATGATCATTTTTCACCGGGTCAAATGCATTTTTCATAATTGTAGTAACATTGTTTGTTAGTATTCTTAAGGAAACGCATAGAAAGCGTTGGTAATTAAGAAAATTTTTATTTGCACAAACTTTCACGTATTGCTTGACGATTATCAGCACTTCATCCAAATCTTTAAGTCGTTTAAGGCTCGAGCGTAAATCATTAGCGATAATTCCTAGTGGTCACGAATCGTGCTGCTTTGTTTTCTATACGTAATATGAATGCTTCGTAGGTTGCGTTTAGGATCTCTTATGGTGTTCAGGTTTCATTCCACATTGAAAGCTAAATTCTACATATTGAGATGTATCTTTCGCTATCTAGAAGTAAAGTTCCTACACGGGTTATAAATTGCAATAAAAATTTACATGCTTGCAGTATATAACTATCCTATATTGCACTTGGCTTTGGTTCTGTGGCTACTAGTAAAAAGGTAAAAAAAAGAACATAATGAAAAAAAATAGAAGAAATGGGGTTAACGGAGTTCCGATAACCATTCCGCTCGAATGACGCGAGAAATAAGAGCCACAGGAGAATTTTTCAAAGGAAACATACGTATACATGTAGTCAGTGCCTGTGATGTTCATCAGGATTCGTAAAAAGAATAGAAAAAAAATACAATGCAGTAAGATGCAGTAAAGGCTGACGATTAATAATTCTCGAAATATCTTTTGCTTTTTATTAAAATCTTGCCGAATGATGATACCCTGATAAATGAACGCCCCTGGGGACTCGATTTCTTCGTTTGACAGCATCTCCTCTAACTGAAAATTTCTTTTGATAAAAGGGGGCACGACGTTTTCTTTCTCGTATTATCAAGAAACGAACATTCTTCGTGGTCGCTTTGACAAAATTAAGTCATAAAGAAAAAAAGGAAGTTCATAAACAAGGTATTGCCTGTAATGGACAGATTCAAATTTTTCTAAACTAGTCCACTCGTCAATTTTCGGCGATACCAGCACCCTGGACGTATATATCATGTCCTAGATCATTTGTGTGTATTGTGCCTTGCACGTTTCTGGCTTCGTTTCCAAATGGATAATATTGTATCCGAGAATATACAAAAGCGTATTGCTTATATTATAGCCTGTCAAGTTCAGGTTTTCTTTTCGTTAAGGGTGAATTTCACCCTCATAAAGTTTCCTTTTGCTATACGTCATGCAGCTTAGACAGTTCCTTTATATGGATTTGAATGAAATCGATGCACTGCTTACGTATGTGAATACGACTGGAAATGTCTAGGTTTAAGAAATAAATAATTATTCTATTCTCAAGTAAATTAATTGTGCTTAAACCTCAGACAGCTGTACTTGCACATTATTTCCTAATCTACCCATGGATTATTTCCTAACGAAAGTTCTTACGGAAATTCGTTTACACCGAGGCAGGTGTCATTAATCCTAACTAAGGGGATAATAGGCACCCCCTGCTGTCTCTCATCCGCTCTCAACGTCTCGTCCTGCCGGCGGTTTACGCAGCTAACTTTATTGTTTCACCGATAAGTCCTACGTGCCACTCGAGTGCCTCGAGGATATTGTTCTGACCGATGAACTTCTTCCGACATATCAGTCAGATAGGGGGACTGTTGACATGTGAATGTATTAGTCATCTCAGAAGTTAAACAGTACTTAGCTATGTATGATGAAGATATGCAAGATATATGAATAAATTATTTTTTCATAAAGTAATACAGCAAGTACCATAAGGATGTATATAGGATAAATTAATAGGTACTGTTACGTTGCATTGCCATTATGCAAAATAAAGTTTGATCAATTCGATTCTATCGATTTCTACCCTCCGAATGGATTTGGGTAACGAAACTGCAAAGTAACGAATTTTTTTTTTCCTAATAAACATACTCGTTTATATATCCAAGGACATTTCATTTGGCGTAAAACGTCTCGAAAAATTATAATCGATATTTTCACTCTTTGTAAACGGGTAATTCAACAGCAATTTATTCGCTTCTGGCGTTTGACAAACTTTATTACACGCAGGAAGCATCCACGAAATCATCCAATTTAAAAACATCCTATACAATCTTACTTCAAAATACTTTTTGGGGTACGGAATCAAGGGTGGAATAAACCTGGAAGCACCTGGAGAGAAAGAAGGAGGACCAGGTCCCTAAGGATGGATCGGGGGAAGTTTTGACTACCACGAGCGTCAGTGTTTGTTGGCTTGATACTACATTTAGGAAAATTCATTTACCATAATGGAATTAACGTCTCGCGTATAGCAACTATTATACATTCATAACCATTTAGATTGCACGGAAAATTGGTTTGTAACGACTCGATTAATATTTTCAAAAAATTAATTGCGCACGATATACATAACCAAGACATATACCAATATTCCTCATCACATAGTAAGTGACAACAGAAATATTATAAATATCAAAAAATTTAATAATTTCAAAAAACAAATAATCAAGGGAAAAAGTGTATATGATTTTTCAACGATATCCATTTCGATAATTTTCACCCATCACTTTTTATGTCGCGCATTACGTATATACATATTTTTCGTATACACATCTCATTATAAATATATGTATATAACTATACATATATTTTTACATGAATACCAAGGAAGGTAGCATAAGTATACCCGCAGTTCAGTATACCTGCACGATGTAAAATGAAAAGACGATGAAATCCAAGGGTAGTACCCGATATACCCAGATAGTATGTATGTACTGGGCTTTGAAAGGGAATCTATCCACATATTTACGCACGTGAATGCACCGTTTCATAGGATTCTACTAGCGTGTACATTAAAGTGCACCCAGTTCACGATTTTAAAGTGTGTGAAACCCTTTCTTCCTCCCGCACCGTCCAATCTGAAACCAATTGCTGAGATTGGTAGATCAAATCGATCGAAGGTACGTTCACAAAAGATAAATTTTGGATATCTTTATCGAATGATAAATATATTGCTTTATACGTTGATTCGTGAGAGTAATTCAGACCGTAGTAATCACGTGCAATTTCCATGTCACGGGATACAATTATCTCTATTTGGTTTTGGCTTCAACGAATCTCTATCGTTGCGGATATCTCAGGAATACATTATCGTCGACATGATGCATCTCTGAGAAACCATCCAGCATCTCATATATCCATATATGTATATCCATTTGGTTGGTAGATCATTCACAGTAACTGCTAACAATGCGATCCACGTGGTTTCATCCTTCAATTTCGTTACCGAATATCGTATGTGGTAGGATGATATTAATAATAGAGGGATATCAATGAGTTATAGTGTACAGAGTAGTGTATATATCGCGTATAGTATTATATCTAATGTGTATATGTATATACATATATATTGATTATAGTCGAACGATAACGTTATAAGTTTAATAATTAATTGCAATAATTGGACGATCGACTTAACGTTCAAGATCACTGACGGCAGGTTGACCTGTTTTTAAATCCCAGGGATGACACGGGTGACCTTAAGCATTTGTTAAGCGACCCGTAAATGAGGGTAGTATCTGTAGGTTGTATGGGGACACGTCATGGTTGGGTAATTCTGCGGATATCCCAGCTCTGCGAAATCTCATGCCTCTGAGTACTATGGCACGTAATTAGGTACGTCTATATTCGGTATTACTGTCATTATGGCGCCATGAGTAAGTAGGTGATTATATTCGTCAGTAAGGGGGTTCGTTGGAGGGTAGGAGAATCCTCGAGTCTTCCTTTTCATATCCTAAATAGCCACGGCGACGATCATTTAGATCCGTGAACCGGGTGAGTTGAACGTCCCTTACGAGAACTCTAGGTCCCCAGATTTACAAGGCACATTAAAAGATTAACGTTAAGCGCGAAAGAACGTTGAATTTGTTTGACGCTCTGTCTTTTCTAATAATAATCAGCAAAAGCAGAGGGATGAAATTAATTCGCGTTAGATGGAGTATTTAGTAGAGATTATTATTGCGATTACCGTGATACACTGATTAATGTATAATAATACGGTCTGCATAAATATACAAAATCGTACGTGATAAATAATTTATTTATTTAATGTGAAATTTGAGCTTAAGATAAACTCAAGACGAATCCAATTAATCTGCAAAAATGAATAAAGCACACCGGTTCGTTGATACGTGAAACTATCGATCATATGTAGATTTCCAAGTTATCCGTACATTTTTTTCGAATACGAGGTTACGAAACGGCGAGTCAAATCATTGTCAAGGAACTCTCGATAAATCACAGTCAGTGGTTTGAATGAGCATCCCTTAGAATGAAAAAGGGAAACAAACTTTTGAAACTAGTCGAACATCTGCTATCGTCAAGTTTATCATCCCCTAGACGAGGTAGCTGGTACCTGATTCAGATTGTCCTTTGAGCGAATAGGAGATTCAAGCTTTATCCTGCCGATAATCAGTGAACCAATTCACTCTTATGGCTATCGGAGTCAGTTTAAATGTGACGTGGGCGTAACAGTGTAGGACCACTTCTTTTGGCCAAACATTAATTCTAAGGTAGTAATGAGTTTTAATGTCATAGATGCTGTGGGTACCAAGTAAGGTCGTAGACAACGTCCATTGGTCTGGGGATGACCTTGTTATAATATACCGTTCGCATACCTCGAGCTACTTATGAGTAATAATATATTACTTAATTAGGTGAAGGGGCCTTCTGGTTAATTAAGAATGTCAATCTATCTACGATGAACGAGGTATCAGACACCTCTAATTGTCTCTAGAATTTCGTTAATCAGGCCGACGTTAAACCGGTCATCCGTCACACTTACCCCTTATATTGCTAAGCCGATTCATCCTCCTGCCGAACGTTCCAACAAGGGTAGTTTAGACGCCTGATGTATCTGCGGTCTACCGGCAACCTCATCTGCACAAAGGGAAACTACAGGAGTACGTAGATCAAAGCGAATAAAGGGACTGTCAGCCCTTGTTATTTCTTACCTAGTTATAGAAACGTATATCAACCTCTAGAGAATGAGCAGGGAAATATTTGCGGAAGCAACGGTTAAGGGTAGGTACTGATGTAGTATCTACTTATAGATGGCATTTTAGTTCGACTGCTGGACACATTAACTCCGTAGATATCTGCTTCGCAGCACCGCTCTTGGTATATTCTGTTCACCGACTCCTGGGGGTGGTTACGGGTGGTTTTGAGGGTTGTGCAGGTGGGTGGTGTGACTGTGGCCTCTTGGTCGTTCGATACGCGCGCGCGCGCCTACGAATCGCGTTCTCGGACAGTGCCGCTACAGCTCTCGAAAGAGACGCCCGTGATTTCAACCCTTCTCGAGCGCGTACCGGGCCCTAAGGGTGCACGTCTTTTGGTATACTCGATGGTATAAGGCAGGACCTTCGTCGGGGATTTCGCGATAAATAGTGAACCTGAGGAGAAGGGTGAATGCGAGCACTCCACTCACCATCGCGATTACACGTAATCTCAACCCCTTCGCGTTTTATCAGTTAATAATTTTACGTCGTTCGTCGCGATTGAAATATTTTTTATGGTATTCTTGCTAAACTTGTTTACCAAGGAGCTTGGATATATTGGATGGTATCTGGGTTCTGGGGGGAAATATACTTTTTGTTTTACTATGAGATAGCAATGTAGGTTGGAAAGTTCAACTTTGTTGTTTGCCAAGTGCAGTGAAAGATTTACAGTGAAGTTGGCATAGCGATGTATGCGAATCATTGATTTATACAGTTTTGTGATTATTTATAGTGCATGTATATGGATGAAATTTTTTTTGACAGAGCTTTATTAGAAAAATGATTTACGAAGGAGATACCTTTGAAATATTTATGATCTTCTTATATTTAGTGATATTTGACACTGCTTGAATATGCATTGGTAGCGAGGTATCTTGGGCTCATTGAAGATAAAGGAAGAAAGGGGAAGGTAGATCTCAAGCGAAGCGATCGGGCAGTTCTGAATATTCAATCTTCGTCCAATATTCCACATTGACAAAGGTATCGGGCATTTTTCTCGAAACTTTTTCCATTCCGGACTTTTATTTTTTTTCGTCATTCCTCGTCGTTTCTATAGAGGAATAATATCCATTAATGAAAACCAGAATTTATATTACCCTCTGTATTAGATCGGGATATAGCGCCAATGGGAGTCTAATGGTCCAGGTGCTTAAGTCTTGAGACGTGTAGAATTAATTTCAAGTGCTACAGCCAGATTCCTTTTATCTCCAAGTCTTCGGGTTAATCAATGAGCTCGATGTAGGATACGAAAATTACATTGTCTGAAGTGAATGAAAGAAGAAAAAATCCATCTGTGTCAACATCTTCATGTTTGTGAATAGGTGAAGTAAAGGACAACGTAAGAAGGGTGTTCCTTAGTGTACGGTGAAACAATTGATGATACAGCAGAAAAAAAGAAACAGCACAGAAATAAAAAATTACTGTTTAATTAAACCAGCCTCATTAAGGACTTGCATGTAGAAAAGTCTATGCGCACTGCGCATCGCTAATTATTGTTCTAAACTAGTAATTAACGCAATTGCTGTACGCAAGAGACGACGATGACGTCAACTGTGGCGACGAAACGGAAAAGCCAGTTCACAGCACGTTAACGTTTCCTATTTGGCTGCGTCAAAACCGTTTTTGCATCTAGCCAATAATGGGAAAGAGCGAGTGGCGTTGACGCTCATTCGAAAGGGTAAAAAAATATCGCGAAAGCAGTGCGGAAGAGAATAACAAAAGAAAAATATAAGAGAAAAGCAGAAAATGTGAAGTATACAAAAAATACATATGGGCTGAAAGAAAATTGTTCTTGGTACCGTTGACAAAGGAATGAAGCAAAAACAAAATTACAACTCCATAAAGATCGCGTTTTGGCAAGAGGAGCACGGCTTGCGATTTCACTTCCACGCAATTGAATTTGCCACTTTGAGATACAGCAAAATCTTCTTCTTTCTCCTTGTTTCTCATTTAAATACAATATATGCTCATCCGATGACTGTGACTTTTAGGTAGTGAAGAGAGAAAAAAATTCCGTAATGACTTTAATTAATGACCGTTACCCTATTAGTAGACTACGTAAGTAAACAAATTTTAGGACAATAGTGCATTACCGTGCGGAATAAAATAATAACGGGTGAGAATAAAAACATAAGGTAAATGAAAATACGGAGGCCCTTGTACATGAAATAACCGGTGCTCACTAGCAAAGTCGTGGAGGGTGTCAAAGGGGATAATAAAAGGAACCAGGACAATTTTTCTAAGAGCGACATTCGCCTTTTCATACCAAGGTGGACAAGATTTATCCACTTGTCATCGTCCAATCCTTAACGAGTATCTCCAATGTCAGCGACAACGGGGCATCAATAGTTAACCTCGAATCTCCAACAGAATTGCTAATGTCATCTCATTGAGGCGGAAGACCCCCCTACGAAGAACTTATCTCCAGGGACAGAGGGACCCATAACCTGACACTGACTATACGTGCAGGATGTGCGATGTATTCAGAGGATGTCGTGACCGTTGTCCTCGAGAGGAAGCGAGGCACGAGACCTGAAGTTAAAAAAAGTGGAACGAGAGCAAACAGAGAGATGGCGTGTAAGAGTGAGGCAACGCATAGGATGAATAACAGATACCAATGACATCTCGGAGGGGCGGGGGCGAGGGGAGTAAAGGACCCCCCAGCCCCCCGAGCAGCGGTTCCGAGGACAATGGGTTCGTGAATCGTCCTAGGGTAGCTGGACTCTATGTGAAGAATCTCAGCAGGGAAGAGTTGGACAGCCTGGCGGAGGAAGGAATTTACGGGCCGAGCGGCGATCCCGGTAGGAGACGGGATACCGGAAGCCAGAGGAGCTTAAATCTTCCAGGAACAAGTAGAGAGTTTGAGTTTGTTGCTCATCCGAGGTTCCAGGGACTCTCGAGGACGCCGCAGCCTCCGAGAAGATCTGGGTCTGGAAAGCATCGAGACACCGGAAGAAGATTCGACGAACCCTCGAGGCAGAGCGTCCTTCAGTCGTCAGGATTTTCGAGGCGGCTGGAGGAGACATCAAGGACCTCCTTGATAGGCGTGGAGTCGACAAGATCCTCGCAGGACGGCGATGGTTTTTTGAGACGCGTACTGGACTCTCCGGCAGGTTCACCAAAAGAGACCAGGCTGCGTCCTGATGAGAGTCCTCATAGAAGAGCCACCGATGAACACGAGGACGCACCCTCCACAAGATCCGAAGACTTCAGCGAGTACCACCGTACCACTCGAGATGAAGAGTTGACTGAGAGCCGAAGATCGCCTCCACCTTATGCTGGACTGAGTCCACCGGAATACGAGTATACGGATTCCCTGTCGCCGCTCTTCCCGCGATGCTCTGGCAGATCCTACGGTAGCCTACAATATGGCGACACTAGACCTTCCGGCGACGTCATACCTGGTTTCGTCACCTACGAGACCCAGACTAACCTCAGGCCTGAATCGAACGAGTCTAGTCGAATGGAAGGTTTCCTCAGCCCACCGGATACCACTCCGCCGACACCTGTACCGGAAAAGAATAGCCTCGGGCAAGAGAGGGTTACCGAGGAGTCACCCCAAAAGAGGATCACGCCTAAAGCGCAGGATAGTACCAGGCTACGACCTCCATTGGCTGGTACTGCTGGTACCTCTGCCGATTCCGGTACCGGTGATTCCGGAAGCGCTGAGATACAACCGGATATCATCGGCACTCCTCAACCTGCTACTTCGGACAATCTCAGTGCGGGAAATCTTAACGTTGAGAACAAATCCCCTGGCTCTAAAACACCTGGCGCTAAGGGAGGCAAGCAGACGGTTAAACCCTTTACCAAGGAGAGTCTAGACAGGCTTGAGAATAGAACTGTACAATTGGTGAGGGAGTACGGGTTTCAGCCACGAAGAAAAACTTCGGTGGAGGACGGGGCGGTGCTTCCAAATAAATTTGAACCGTTCCCAACCGATTTATACGGCAGGCCGCTCGAGGAAATCGACAATTTTATATATGACGAGGTACGTGGATCATTTTACTCGATTTTCATTCCATTATCGATATCAAATGAGATCGATATACTGTTCTGTGTCATTCATCGATCTTTCTTAATTATTTTCTTAGCTCGTTATTTCTCCTATATAATATATAAGGCTAAATCCCCGAACGTCTGAGTTATATAGTACAGTCTATTATATTATATATAACAATGCCTAAGCGATCCCTATACAATTTATTTATGATATTTTCGTTAATTGTTTTTTTTTTCTGTAAATCGAAATTATTCGATTTCTCTTGTGTTCCGTGCTTTATATTTCCCAATGAAAAGAGTTCTTGCGTGCCAAAGCCGTTTAAGAGCGCGGTCTATAATAGAGAGTACTTGCATACATCTGCAATAAGTTGAAAACTATTGAACGATCGGATCAGTATTTAGAGACGCATGATAGGCATTACTACCAGCTGAGAGGATACATACGTATAATGAGTCTATACACTGAATACCTGAATGCTAGAATTATTTATTATTTAATTTACGACCATAGAATTATATATAAACCTGCCATAGTGCTCTCTATTTACTACACGTAGTGCTCGATGATCATTGAGTACATTTCACCTAGAAAAGATGGTCGATTAATCAATAGCCAGCGCAGACACACCATAGGTACCCTAGAAAAAAATGCGTTAGAGCAAAAAAAGCCTCACTTTACTTAGATATCGGTCCTTCGTATACCGACTGCTGTTGACTTTCGGACGCGCTAGATTGTGTTGACCTGATGTCACGTCTGGTGTGTTACGATATTATTTTTATATCCTTGTTATGAAACCGAAGAAATATTGAAAACAATACAATCCATGTATTTGCAAAAAAAGTTTTTCCATAACTAGCGTTTTACCTATTGTCCATAGACAGTTGCTGTGGATTTTGCGGAGTTTTCAGTAAAAAAGAAAGATGGAAAAACCACGGAATCCGGTATAGACGATTCAGAGCCAGTAGTAGGAGGCGGATGGTGCGGACTAAGGGAATGTTGAAGCCCAAGAGAAGCCAGTGAGATGAAGATAGAAAGAATGGGAAAAGTTGCTGCCCGTAGGATTTAACAACCGCGTAGCCTTTCTTTGCCTCTGCATCGCTACTTGAGCGAAAAGAGGATTACTAAATCTTTCATTATGTTTCCATTGTAGACTCTTGGTCGAGGGGCTTATGAATTCCATGAAAGGGTGTTACGTGAAATATTTCATACGTTATATCCAGATTAATTCGGGCCAGGATCCGTAACCTTTTGAAAGAGGAAGATAAGAGATAGAGTGAAAAAAAAAGAAAGAAAATCGCGAAGTATATCATGGCTCATAACTTGTCTTTTTCTTTCTTATTAAAAATATTACTCATTTGTATTTTATTTTTCCTTGCGCCTATTGATTACTACGTCTCCACATGTCTCTAGATTACCTACGAATCTTTCGCATGTCTATAAACTGTCATAGGGATACAAAAAAAAATGCCTTTAGGTTATATACGCTATACTACGTATATCAAACATAATTGTCCTGATACACGTATGAATTATGATATCGAGATCGCAGATTGAGTTAAATAAATATGATAAAAAATGTATTTAAATTATTATTGACACACGGTATATTTGTTTTATTCAATTGAATCTGTAGATATACGAGATAACGTTGAGTGTTGACAGACGAACGTGCACTGTTAAATATACCCATAGTGAATTCTAGGGAAACTTTGAAATTCTTTATTTCAATAAATACTGCAGCACAAGTGCATTCGCATCCTCAAGTGCATACGAGGACGCGCAAGAGTGCTATGATCTTTTGGTATTTTCATAAGTGGCAAAGAAACCGTATCGAGGTATTAATGCTTTGCAATTCTATTTCTCCCAAGGGAAATATAGTTTGGGGAAGTACAAGAACAACACTCGAAGGAAACTTGTTTTCTACCAGACACGTAAGGCCGACTTTAAGTACAATGACGTACAGTACAATATACACTTAATACGTTGCGGCTATTTCAAAACAGCTCAAATGGCTGCATTTTATCGAACAACACGACTTTTCACGATTTGAAACGTTTATTTAAATTCGATATATTATATCTACTATGTATATATATATATATATATACTCGCACGAAACTCTTCGTGTCATTGTGCGAGGGCGTAGGTAAAATTTCCAAGTAAGGAGAATTCCATTAAGCGCGACATGCGATATCGTAGATATACCTGCCGGTTCATTCCCAAGAAAACGTTCCAAGAAAGCCTTCAACATTTTCAACAATTTCCAACAAAGAAGCACGAAAACTCCTTCTCCGATATATTTCAACGCCTTCATAGGTAAAGAGGATCACAGTGGGATACATAAGGAGTAAAATGTTTTTTTTTTTTAGTTTACGAGGAAAATTCTCTCTAATAGCTTCATTTTATAACTCGAAGCACATTAGATATAAATCAACTGGGAAGTATGTCGTGTACTTATGGACGACATATGTAATAGTATGCCATACAATATTAACTGGGGGTACATGCTTTTCTATCATATGTCACATGCGAATAGAAGTCATGACGTAAAGGTTGACGCTTGTATATATATATTATATGTATTTGAAAGGACCTTCATAGAAAAGACCCAGTCTATTGGTGCCACGTCCACAATAAAATGATGGAAATTCGTTCCGTATTGCTTGTGAGCGTTCAAAGAAGTGTAGAGAATTTTATTGAGCGTGGTCACGCAATTTTCCAGAAACTCGATAGACTCTTAGATAATGTGAAAACTCATTTGAAGGTTATGTGTTTATCGGGTTGCGACGTTTGTTAGAATGTCTCTGCCTTTTTTCATTTGAACGTTACAGAAAGATTAGTACTTATATACGGAGTTCAGGAATGAAGTTCTTAACGTATAAGAGGTATATATGTATACGTATATACGTGACAATAGTAAAATCGATTATTTCCTCTGTTAAACGCAACGTCGGACTTCCTTGAACTATTTCCGGCATAAAGCTGCTCGATTCTAGAGTTACGAATTTTGTCAGATAACTTTATGATATGCGATTAATAGATTGTGATATATTGAAAATTCTGTTATTAGTACCAACGATTTCTCGAATGCAGTTGGTAAATTATATTAGAATTATCAGAGAGGAAGTACTGTATACGCAGTAAGTTTGTACAGACTGTTCTCTTGAATGATTACACAGTGTCAATAATAGTCAGAGCAAATAGCGATAATTTCAGCACGGGTAAAATCTATGATTAAGGAAAGTACAAATTTCATATTAATTCGTGGCAGTAATTGGAACTTGGTTTACACAGTAACTCGAAACACTATTACCCAGTGCTTTATCCGTTAGTAAACACAGTAGTAAATCAAATCTGCCTCTAATGATGATGATAATAATAATAATAAATATATTTTCCTAAATTTGAAAAGTTTTAATTATATTTGGAAGATCCAAAAATTTATTAAAACCTTACCATACCCATATGTGCTTTGCATGATTAACGCGAATCAGTACTGCGATAAAAAATTAAATGTAAAAAAATGTATATTAAAGGCACTACTGGAATGTCGGTTAGATTGCACACATTATCAGACCACAAAAATGGACTGCTGTACACGGTCCGTAGCTATACAATTGAAAATTCCAAAAACTTCTGAATACCCCAAGTGCAGGATTACCCACTAGTTGATAATGCGATAATGAAAAGGTACAGGATTCCTAAAATTCATGCGTACATGTATGTGTTATAACGATGGTACATAAACAGCAATTCGTGTAAGCCACATATATATAAATCCAAAAGTTACGCGCAATCGACTATATCTGGATGCTAATTGCAGCTAATAATCTAACGGAGCAACCAGTGATGATCGCATTTGCATTATCGGGTCTCGGTCTCGAGATAGAACCACTTGGCGTCGCCACCGTCGAATCTGACCTATATTCATTCAACTAAATCTGAAGCGTTAAGTGCATTCAACTTCTAAGAAATGAATTTCGTGCCAGAACATTCAATTGCGCGTTTGTGCATTGCAATGCCGGTAAGAGTCGCTCTTCAACCAAAAAGTCTTAAGAATCGTTCGAGGCTCGACTTGGATTTTCAAGACTTCTTAAAAAAAAAGCCGCTTGTTATTTATAATATTACGCGACGTATCTCACGTCACGTAGTTAGCAGTGGGTAAGTCACTGCGTTCGAAAATTTCGTAGCAATTAGTGGCGAGCGAAACGGTCTGGAAACTGTTTAGCCAGGATAACGTTTGCAGTATACTTGACGTCAGTTATAATTTTCCACCACGGCAGGACTGGATTTTCATTTATTTAAAGTTGTCTATCCTGAACTGTACGTTATGATTTATATGTTACATGGGATTAGGATGAGAAATCCGTCCAAACTAGACGTATGCGGTTACTACTCACGTGTCGAGATGATGCGGGTAGCTTTTGATAAATTCTATGATAAATATTTATGTGATAGAAGGTAATGTCTGTATTCATCTGAAACAGAATTACGTCGATTCAATTGATGGTTTGATAACTCATAGCTTGACGTGTAAAAGTCCTTTACGTATCTTTAGAATCGATCGAAGCACTTTCCATTAACGATCTTTGAGTTGAATTTTTTTAAGGGACCACGTTACGATCGCAACCACGTTTATTTTTCGTTAAAGATACGAAGATTTATGATTCTCGTTAAGACATACGTCACGAAGTGCCACAAAAAAGGGTAACAAAAATGGGGATAGACACGAGCGTATCCGCTTGCCAAATTATTCTTTGAATGCGGTATACTTCATAAAATTATACGCAACTGCATAATTTGCATGGTGGTATATTTATTGCCAGGGATTAGGACACTTGTTAAATGTATTATATATACTTCAAGTATAAATTTTATATAGGTCAAAGTGTAACTGTTATGTACGTCAAGAAGATTATAATATATCGTTGGGTATTGGCCGCAACCGCGATGTAAATGTGACTGCAGAAATGTGCGTGTTACCGCAC